TCATGCGTATTTAACGCGTGTAAGTGCACGTGTGACTGAAAAACAATGCAATGAAAGATCCGGGGTTGTTGCAAAGACTCTTCAGCAACAAATCCCCCAACCCCCAACCACCGTGACAATGGTGTCAAAGCAACCACACCCACTTCCCACAGAGACAGACGAAGCACAACAACAAACCCAACATCAGACGGGCAGCCGCACGTGGCTCGGAGTCGACCCATTGTGCTCCTCCTTCGTGGTGCCGGGAACCCCCGTTGAGGCCCGACTCTCAGTAGAGTTGGGAGCCTCTGTTGGGGCCTGACCCTCGGTGGAGTTGGCAGCCCTCGTTGGGGCCTGAACCTCGGTGGAGTTGGGAGCCCCCGTTGAGGCCTGGACCTCGTTGGGTTGAACCGCGGTCGGAGCGCCAGCTGTGGTGACCGCACGCCGTCCTCCCGGCGAGCTGCGTGGTCTCTGCAGCGGCCGAGTCCCCTTGATGTGACCGCACTTTTTGGTATTTTTCGTTGTTTTTTCGATTAGAAAAAACAAAAAAAAAATACTCGCTTGTTCGGCACTTTGTTTCTGTTCATCGTGTCGTTTTTTGTTTGTTTTTAATACGAGAACTTTTTTTTTACATGTACACATTTTTTTTCCCGTGCAACAGAACTCCATTGTGGACCGTGTTCACAGACACAACAACAACACCAACAAAAAACACCCTCAAATACTCATTGCTCCATCCCCTTCCCCTCCCTGGCCCCGCTTCTCTCTCATCTGCGCCGCGTTCGCATGCCGCGGCATCTTTCTTCTATTACAGAGAACACGTGGCCGGCAGAGGCTACGCAGGGCAGAGGCGCGAGATCACACGCATGCCGCGAAGGATGATTTTCTTTGAGAAATTGGTTTATTTACTTACTTTGTATTACCACCCAAATTGCATCCTGATTGTGTTATCGGTGCCGTTTAATGAAGCGGAAAATCCATTCAGAACTCTTGCCGAGCAGGGCTACCTCCCATGGTAGAGAATGGCACACGGAATCGGATTTTTTCTCACACAGCTTAAAGGTCGCGGTCTGAGCTTGGCTTTGTTCGCTCCAGCGCTGTCCTCCAGACAGTCTCGTCCCTTCACCTGATGAAGGCCGCTTGTGTTGTGGCCGAAACGTCGTGAGAATTTTATCGTGTTATTTTATTTTATCAATTTATTATTTTATTCTCATTCTACGTGACTTTACCGAAAGAACCAAAGAAGATGAATTTCTGAGATACCTACAAGTGAATCTCTTACCTGCACTGCGCGACAGAATTTCCGCATACACCCTGTTACAGTAACGTTTGGTGCCTGATCGTCAAATACATTTCTATACGGCATGTATTTTATTCATTCTAAGAGATGGAATTTCTCCAAACTTAAGTGCAGAGACATATTTCACGCGATAGGCTATTTTTTGTACAGTAATCGGTGAGAGGGCTGAGACGGTCAACTCTTCGCAGGCGGCTGAAACCTGCATTGGAATCCCAGCATCTCAGCAGTGCCAGCTGATCGGCGCTCTGACCTCTGAGCTGCCCGGTGACCTCTCAAGACTAAACGTGTTTTTTTGTCCGATTGACTTGTTGTAAGTTGTATAGATTCTCTACATACGGTGGCAAGATAATCCTGCAGGATCGTCATTATTTGTGCTTGATTATTTGTTTATTATTTTACACAAGGCAATTTTTTTTAATGGCTTAAACACATTGCTTATTTTTTGCAATTTTCCACGTCGTAAAACATCAGGCGAAATGTCACATGCGACACAGGAATTTTGGCCAAAGCATTATCTGTGCTAAAGCAACCACAGGGTTGCACTTATCGCTGTTAAAACCCCAGTTAGTGGTGGAAGTTACACATTCATGTGGCTATAGTCATAAAATCATACTGTAGGTACACCACACTTGACTTCACACCAAGTTAAAGCTACCAAATGTCTTTGCTTTGGCCGGGAGGGTCCTGAATGGCTCACAGGGCTATACCAAATAAATGAAACTGAAATAAATAAACTGCAACTGAACTGGGTGGTTCAGAAAGGTTATCTCGGTGTCCTAAAAGCATTTTAGAAAAATCCGAATGTTGTCCTCTGTTTAAATATGTTTGGCCTCGTGCTCCATTCACGTCACGGGCAAATAGTGGTGCTGATTGATTTGAAGCTTTCGTGACTGCAGAAATCCATACTCTTTGGTTCTTTCGGTGGAGTCATGTAGGTAGAAAAATAAAACTAAATAAAAATAAATCACGACGTTTCGATCGCAACACAAGCGGTCGTCCTCAGGCGGAAAAAATAATCCAGCAGTGGAACTGCTGAACCAGCTGGTTCAGCCCTTCCCACGTCGTGGGAGGGGCTAGCCGAGTTGTGGGAGGGGCTACTGGAGTAGTGGGAGGGGCTACCGGAGTCGTGGGAGAGGCTATCCGAGTCGTAGGAGGGGCTACCTGAGTAGTGGGAGGGGCTACCCGAGTCGTGGGAGGGGCTACCTGAGTGTTGTAGGTGGCTACCCGAGTCGTGAGAAGGCTACCTGAGTCGTGGGAGGGGCTACCAAGTCGTGGGAGGGGCTACCTGTGTCGTGGGAGGGGCTACCTGAATAGTGGGATGGGCTGGCAGACGAAGGCGCTGCCAAGCTCACCATGTGTCTCGGTTGAGCCTCCCAGACATGTCGCAACTTTGCACAGCGTGGAACTAATGTAATGGCCAGAACCAGTTGGATATCACTCTGTGCCAATCAGTGGATTCTAAAAGAGTGCAACATTAACTCGGGTGTGAATGCATTCCTTAATCCCTCCATGGAGGCTATTTGAGACGGCCGGCCCGTCATTCGGCGAATATTGGGCGCATTTTGTGACATTTTTGCAAATTACAAAATCCACGCTAACCGCTGCGCACGGTTTGCGTTTTCTACAAATCTCAAGGCCGCCGAGTGAATTTAACGTCAACGCTGCCAGCCTGATTCCGACTTGAAACAAACACGAATGCAGGGGCGCTGATATTTCATTCCGTGCGGGGTCGTTCACATCGTGGTGGGATAAACCACGGCCCGTCCGAGAGAAGGGGAGCGGTGGGGGCCCGCTCGGCTCCGGCGCTTCCGCTGAATCTCAGCGGAACGAAGTCGAGTCATTGGAACGCCGCCGGAGCGTCCGGGCCGAACCGAAATGCGGCGGAGCCGTCTGGCCCGCCGCCGTAAGTGGAAGCAGCTGACGTCGAAACCTCGTTTCTGTGCGTGGGAGACGCGCGCTCGCTGAGGACCTCCGCGATCGACTTTGGACTCGATGGCGACGAGTCTCTCGGCGAGTTCGTGCTCGCCCAGAGACCGGGAGCAGGACGGTGGGGGGGGGTTGCGGATCGCGCCCCCGCTCAGCACTCCGTACCTCCCTCCGATTAGCGCGGTTGGCTAAGTACGGTGTGAAAGAAGTTCAACTTACGTCGTGCTGGTAATCTGGCTTTACGGCACCAGTATTGCGTAATATTATCAATGCAGCCACAATTCATAAATTTAATACTGAGTTATAATCTAACCTCGCGTGTCTTTTACCTTTTCCCGTTCCAATGATGTACGTGTACGTAATCAGATTTGCTTCCATACACATACGGCATCGGAACGGAACTGGAATATAATTAACGGAGGCTCCCACAAGGCCTTGTGGGAGATCGTATGGCACAATTTGGCATCAACTATCACAGAGTGCGGTCATGTCGCTACAGTTCTCTGCAGTGAGTGCAATGTATTTAAATACAACGGTGCTATGCCTCTCAAAATAAAATTGACGCTGAGTCACTCGCCCGTTCCGAGATCCAGCGGTGAACGGGACCCACCCTGCAACTTGCAGATGTCTTGGAACGGGAAAATGTTAAGATCACACTCACCATCTGCAAAATGGCTCTTGGACTGACTACTCTGCTCCCATCTTACCCTTCTCCTCTCTCTCTCTCCACGCGAGTAAGCAGTGGGAGGTCGCTGGTTCTCCGAAGCTGTCAACATAATCTAGAATTTGATTCCCCACCGACCATCTGTGCCTTCTCACCTTATCTTAACGTAATTTATATAGCGTCTGAACTAAGGCGCTTGACAGAGAATTAACAGCGGCGCAACATAAGAATGTACTGGTGGAGGCGAGGTGAATGAAATGGATGAGAGGAAGCAATGGGTGGCGATTCTGCGACGCGTGAATTCGGTGAAAGCGAAATTGATGACAGTAAATTATGACGGATGAATGACTGAATGAACGGGGAAAGAGTGATCGCGATACGATGGGACTATGAAGAGGGAAATAGTAACGGTGGCGGTTACGAGGGGGAGATTAAGGGGTTAGCTGCGGTGAACTAGGGAACAACAAGTGTGAGTTTTTTTAGTGAGTAGCGGAAAATTGGTGAGCGAAGGTGACCGTTGAATGCGGAGGGGCAAGTTTGTTCCAGCCCAGGTTCAAGAGTTTCCATTCCTTCTCTGCCTCTAACCAATTGCCTCTCTCTCTCTACAAAAGGGCATATAGATGTGGGAGCATTGCAGCACAGCAGTGGAGTTGTCAATGCCATGCTGTATCAGAGGATAAACTAAATAAATCAATCAATTTACCAGGCACGGGTTCGGACAAAATCGTCAGAAAAAAGGATGGCGTAAAGCGTTGGGAACGATGTGATTGTGTTGACGTGTTGGTGTTGATTTTTGTGTTGATGTGTTTGTGTTGATGTTTGTGTTGACGCGTTTGTGTTGACGTGTTTGTGTTGACGTGTTTGTTGTCCTTCCCCACACCTCTGATTAACACGGTTGGCTACGTATGGTGTGAGAGAAGTTCATCATACATACGTGTATTAAACACCGAGGGTATATCCAGTTAAGGGAGATGAAAGCCACCATTCGGGCTCTAACAAAAAATCCAATTAGCGTTCTACTGTAAGTGACCGAAAGCAAAACACAAACTTCTGGGGGCAACCACCCGGCTGCGTCCCCCTACGGCGTTTTCTGCGCGGCGATGGCAGTGGACCTTGGCTCTTGCCCCGCAGCAGGGCGTCGTGCCGAGGCGCCCGAGGTGACGGAAGCAAGCGGGAGGTGCTGCTGCTGGAAGAGTCGTCATCCCCGGGGAGGCGATGACTGCGCGCGAGGGACGACGCCGAGTCCTCCCGGCGGCGCTGTGCTTGTGCCTGCTGCTCGTTCGGGCCGCTGGGCTCGTTCCGTCGGTGCAAGGTGAGCGGACGGGCACGGTTGCCACGCGGTTGTCAAAAGCCGCGGCTCTTCACAGAAGGGAGTCCCCCGCGGCGACGTTGTTTGTCGAGGAGCGGCGTCTCGTATGCGCCACGTGCGTTACGCGGCGCTTGAATTATTGAGTTGTTGTTTTTTCTTCTTCTTCTTACTACAGAATTCTCCCCCCCACAAAAAAAGGCCCTTCTTGTTATTTTACTTTGCCCACCCCTGCATATGGGGGGAGAGCAGTTACATTACGTTGCTGTAAAAGGTGTTAAAAAATGATAGTATGATAACAGTAAGAATGTGTTTTGAATTTAAAAAAACAGAGATTGTGAAGGACAATTTCAGCTATTTTTTACATTCACGAATCATTACCATTGTGTCGCGTGATGGCACGCGAGGCCACTTTTGGTGCGGTGTGAGGTCACGTGAGCGAAGTCAATTCCTGTTGCATCACATTTTGTATCTCGGCCCAGTGTATTTTTGATTTTCTCGATGAGTCTAAATCTCGGCGGAACATCGCTAGGCTCCAGCCATCGCCGATTGAAGCTGAACTCGGCGAAAGCTCAAATTCGGGGTATGTCGGCCAGGTTCCCTGAGAATGAAACAACAAACATAAAATAAATAACATGAATAATATTACATTTGATATGTGGAGTGGAAAACCGGAGGACCCGGATAAAAATCCACGCGACCACTGGGAGAGAGAGAGAGACACGCAAGCTCCAAATATACAACAGGCATCGTCAGGGTCGGGATCGAACCCACGACCTCCTGCACACCAGGCGAGGTAGTAAACATCTCCTAGCCACCGCGGCACCCTTACCGCGCTTCGCCGCTGCTTTGCGCCCGAAAAACATTGGGCAAAACGACGCGAAACGTGACCGGGCCTCTGTCAAACCCGTTCGCGGCTCCGCGCTCCGATCCGCCGCAGTGTGCAGGACGAACGCCCCCGCTGCGGGCCACGTGGCCTTCGTGCTCGAGACCTCCAAGGGCGCTGCGCAGGGCGCCGCGCAGCTCCGCGCGCTCGTGGAGGTGCTGATGGTCGCCGTCGGGTGCGGCGTCCCAGCGGGAGAGGCGGGCGTGCGGTGCTCTCTGCTGCAGCCCAGCGCCGAGCACAGGTGCCTGCCGCCGCCTACCGCCACCTCTTGCGCGAGCGTGCGTTGGAGCGGCATAGCGTTACGCCGCGCTATGCCGCGCTATGCCGCGCTGCGAAACCCAGCGGTCCGCTCATGGCCGACAACAGTGGCGATTATCTGAACCGGTCCTGGGCTTCCCCTAGGTCGACCCTGCCGCAGATGTGTACCCGTGTGCGGTGTGTAAACCGGCGTCACTGGGGAGACAAAGGCGGCCGGGCGTGGTGCCGAACACCCACCCCCTGGCGTGCCATTCCGGCCGTCATAGGTGCTCGCGAATAGCGCTTGCCCCAAGAGTCTGTTAAGGCTATACGGGGGATCTTTGTATTTGTGCGGGGAGCGGTAGCGCAGCGGCTAGCGCGCCGCGCTACTAACCCGGCTACCCGAGTTCGATCCCTGTTCAAGGACACCCAACACCAGTGACGATTATCTGAATCGGTCTCAGGACTCACCTAGGTCGACTCAGCCGCAAATGAGTACCCGGTGCGTTGTGTAAATGTCGCCACCGGGGAGACAAAAGCGGCCGGGCGTGGTGCCGGCCACCCACCCCCTCGTGTGCCGTCCCGACGTTCATAGGTGTTAATCGCGAACAGCACTTGCCCCAACAGCCTGTTAAAGGCTATGCGGGGGATCTTTGTTTTTTGTGTGCCCGCGTTCCCCTGCCAACTCCCACGAATGAGGCGCACGGCTGAACTTTTTCACATCTCGGACACGTCGCATCGGAGGGAGTTAACCCAACAACAACAACACACAAAAAAATGAAAGTATGCCGGGCCCAGCGAAGCGTGCCGTGCCAGGCACCCAGGGCGGCGTGCGTGCGTGTGCGTGCGTGTGTGTGCGTGTGTGTGCGCGTGTGTGCGTGTGCGTACGAGTGTGTGCATGCCTGTGTGCCTGCCGAGCGAGCGCTGATCGTGCCAGTGGGTGCGGTGAATGTGCGGGTCGTGTGTCGGTGAATGTGCGGGAGGTGCGTGGGGCGGTGGGGTAAAAGGTGCCGTGCTGTGCGTGGGCGGGTGGCACCACACACACACGAGCCCGTGAAGTAACGGGCTCGTGTGTGTGTGTTTGTGTGGCGTGAATGTGTTGAGTGTGGCGTGAGTGATGTGTGTGGCGTGAGTGGTGCGCAGTGTGTTGGGAAGCGGTGGCGCGGCGGTGAGCGCGTGGCGCTACGAACCTAGCCACCCGAGTTCGATTCCCCCTCCTGCCCGACACCGGTGACGAATGTCTGAACCGGTCAGCTCAGCCTCAAAAGGAGTACCCTGGTCGCGATGTGGAAACATCACCACTGAGGAGTCAGAGACAGCCGGGGCGTGGTGCGAACCACCCACCCCCTCGCGTGCCAGGGGTCGGCTAACAGCACTTGCCCCAACAGCCCATTACAGGCTATTGGGTGGGATCTTTGTCTTTGCTTGGAGTGAAGCGGACGCTTTCCCCGGGCCTTGCCCGCCGCTCGTCTTCTCGCGTGCGCAGGTCCCGCCTGCGGCTGCTGGAGCTAGCGGGCGGCGCGGGCGCCCGCGACAGGTCTCCCCTGGGCGCCCCGGGCTCCGTGTCGGCGTCCAGGGCCCTCGCGTTCCTCCGCAACGCCCCCGAGTTCGCCACCAGGGGAGTCAAGAAGAGGCCCTCGAAGAAGACGACGCCCCCGAAGGCCGCGAGCGCCGGGAGGGTGAGAGATCCACACGTGCGCCCAAGAGCGGTTCGTTGTGGCACGCGGGCTGCTGTTCGCCACGGTGGATAGGAGATGTTAACTACCTCGCCCGGAGTACGGGAGGTCGTGGGTTTGATCCCGACCCCTGATGACACCTATCTTTGGAGTTTGCGTGTCTCTCTCCCCGTGGTCACGTGGATTTTTCTTCGGGGCCTCCGGGTTTTTTCCCTCCACATTTAGAATCGACAAGTATTTGCCTGCGACTATAAATGTCCAAATGATACACCACGTTCTTGAGCTATTATTTGTGGCCAAGTCGCTTCTGAAAAAGAGCTATACAGCTCAGTGGGCCTTATCTGGTTGAGTAGTTGAGGTTATACTGGTAGGAAACGTAGTGGACTAGAAGTCCAACCGGGATTAATTCACAGGAGGCAGGGATTAATTGTGTATGTCTGTGGATGTCTGTCCACGTGTATCCGGACATTCAGATATAAAAAATGGGAGGGGTGGGGCTGGGTGGAGAGGGGAGGGTAGGGAGGGGCTGAGTGGGGAGGGGCTGGGTGGGGAGGGGAGGGTGGGGAGGGGCTGGGTGGGGAGGGTGGGGCTGGGTGGGAGGGGTGGGAGGGATGGGAGGGGTGGGGCTGGGTGGGGAGGGGCTGGTCACCCCGTGGTGCCCTTATAAAACTCAACGTTTAACCTACTCACGCCGGCTTGTGCCTGCCCTCACAGTCGAGCATATTTACGGAATACACCACGTGGTGCCGCCGTTGACCCTGGCCACTGACCGAGCAACCAGCGTTCCTACCAGCCCTCTCCGCAGGAATGTGTTTCCAGTTGAGCCATCAGCGTCACGTTGCTGGGTAAAGAAGTGCCCTTCGGGAACTCTTGCGGTGCACCGCTCATTAAAATAGATGAAAACATCTTGAGGTGTAAACCCCATACAGGCCCCATGACCCATTGTGGCCCTGCTGGATAAGTAGATTAATCTGATCGTTATGCCACGCGACTTGGTCACATGGATACATACGTAGAGCCGCAACAGAAGAAGTCCAGCACACGCGTGTAGCCGTGTCGTGATTCAGCTGCTTCATTCACACTCTCCGCGGCCTCGTGTGCCCCGCACGGCAGCGTTCACCCGAATCTTCTCCCCTCCGTTGACCCGGTTCACATCATCCTCCCGCCTTCTTTAGTTCGAATCCCCCCCACCACCACCTCCTCCCACCAATTCCAGGGCCGCTCGCCGAGCCGGCGACCCGAGTGTCACATCCGATCAGTCTCCTTGGCTGCTTCGCTCGACCACCAAGGTCGCCGCTGAGCCAATGGGAGTCTCCGCCTCGCCGCGTTTGAAGGGCAGAGCCGGTGACCCACGCCGTGAGCGTCGACGTGAATTCATGAAATAATCGGCATCACCTCTCGTCGTCCTTTACTCGTTAAACGCGTGCACACACACACACACACGTGACACACGTAACACACGTAACACGTGTAACACATTAGGCGGTGCACCCAGGACCGGATTAAGATTTTGTAGGCCCCTGGGCTACAGGTCCTTTGAGGCCCCCAGTAATATTTTGAAAAGGAAAACAAAGTTACAGAAAAATAAAATGTATTTTTACAAGGCTAACAACAAATAAAATTCAGCATTCACAAGTGAATTAACTTTTCACTTCATCTCTGGAGGCCCTCCAACTGGCAGAGGCCCCTGCGCTGCAGCCCCTAAAGCCCCACGCCTTGATCCGGCCTTGGGTGCACCGCCTGCCCGCTGTGGTGTCACGTGTGGAGCGGGCTGAAAAGTGCACAAAGAAGCGTGCAGGGATGGATGGCTGAAATCGACGTTGCCGGACGTGAAGAGCAACGCGCTGATGGTTTTTTGGGCCCGTTGTTTTCGCAGGTGGTTGTCATGCTCACGGATGTGAAGCTCCGTGATGACGTGGCGGCCGTTGCCGGGAAACTGAAGGAGTCCGGAGTCGCCATCATCGCCGTAGGTAGGGTTACGCTGCGTCGGTGAAGAGTTCCTGTGCGTGGGTACGCGGACAGCGATGCGGTGGTGAGAGCGCTCTACCCACGGCCGAAAGGTTCAAAAGTTCAAACCCCGGTTGGGAGGTCGATCAACTTCGGCCCATCGCGTCTTTTCACGGTCGATTGAAATGGGTACCGCTGCGCGGTCGCTATTTCGTCGAGATCTCAGCGCGGGGCTCGACTCGCTGTCTCTCCGCCGCCGTACCCACCAACACCGCGCGGTCGCTCGATCGCGCGCGTCCCGCGGTGGTCGCGCTGTGGCGAGACTCTCCCCTGCCGTGGCAACGGGGAATTTCCACCGCCGGCTCAAGAGGCTTCCAAACGAGTTGAGCAGCAGTGGCGTCAGCGTGGTCGGGCATGGGGCCCTGGTGCAAGGAATTCAATGGACCCCCCCCCCCTCCCCACCATCCTTCCCACACTCCCTGTGTCCAATTACACCCCCCCCCCAACCCACTCCTCCTTCATAGTCCGACGCCTAGGCCCATCCATTCCATGGGCCCCAGTGCAGTTGCACCGCCTGCGCACTCGATGGCGACGCCTCTGGCCCCGCGCTCAGTTGGGCAGCAGGAGTATACTCGGCTGGGGTTTCGTTTAAGTTTGCTGCTCAGGTGCCTCATTCCGTTCGTCGTGTTCTTGTTAATGCAGCTGGCAGGCCACTGAATGCAATTCCTAGGATATCTTGTGTCAGCACCACCCAAGGTGCTACGTCGTGCGGAGCACAGCAAACTCCGTTGTACTATACTACGCCTTCACGTCTATGCTGCCCGCCTTCACCACCCAGCGCTGACCAGCGTGACAAAGTGCGAGTGGATAAAGCTCCACGACCCGCACGGCGTGGTGGAGACCGGCCTCATCCGGCGGCGGATCGACAATATCACTGTGCACATCCGTCCGGGGACACGTCACGCGTTTAGAGTATTTCACTGCTATAAATGTCCACACGATAAGATGTCATTTGTGGCATGGTCGCTTCTAAAACAAAAGATCTATACGGCTTAGTGGACCTTACCTGGTGAAATGAAAAGTACTCGTTACTCCCCCAGTTCCCTGCCCTCGTGGCCTCGCGCACCCCCCCCCCCCCCACCGTTGTCCACCGCTGGTGGACGAGAGTGCGGTGGTTAATGGGAACCGGGAGTTCAGGTGGACGAGAGAGAGGCCACGCCGGGGTCCGAGGCGCCGCGCGTGCCTCAAGCATCCCGGCGGGGTTCAAACCGACGCGTAGCACCCCCCCTACCCCCCACCCACCCCTACCCCCCACCCCTCCACCCCTCACCCTCCTACCCCCCACCCCCCTCCACCCCCACCCACCCCTCACCCTCCTACCCCCCCCTACCCCCCACCCACCCCTACCCCCCACCCCTCCACCCCTCACCCTCCTACCCCCCACCACCCCCACCCACCCCTCACCCTCCTACCCCCCCTACCCCCCACCCACCCCTCACCCTCCCACCCCCCTACCACACCCCCCACCCCCCCACCACTCTCACCCCCCCCTCATCCCCACACCACCCCTCACTCCCCACCCCTCACCCCCCTACCCCCCACCCCCACCACCCCTCACCCCCCCACCCCCACACCACCCCACCCCTCACTCCCCCACCCATGACCACCCCACCCCTCACTCGCCCACCCCCCCACCCCTCACCCCCCTACCCCCCACCACCCCCCTCCCCCAGAACCCCCCCCACCCCTCATCCCCCACCACCCCCGAGAGCCCGGCCATTGAGCGGAAGGATCGGCCGGCACTGTGGGTCACGAGTTGCTGCTCTGTCTGTCCTTCAACCCTCTTGACCGGGTCAGCGACAGACAAACTTCTCCCGGCCTTCATCGGTGGTTGCTAACAGCACTGGCCCCAAGGCGTCTGTTCAGTCTGTAGGGGGGGGGGGAATCTTCGTCTTTTGTGCGCAGTGGAGGGGTGGAAGGGGGATTGGCCCATAGGGATCCCTCAGCAGAAATTATTTTGGCACCAACCACTCCCACTTTTAATTTCCCCACTCCACGTGAGATGACAGGGGAGATAAAGAGATGGAGATGTCGTGAGATGAGAGAAACGTTGGACAAAAGTGAGAGGTGCAATGAGATGAGAGATACAGACCGGATAGGGCTCACAGAGATGAATAATCTTTTAATGTAATTATTTTGGTTTACTAGTGTAAAATAATCATTTATTAGATTTTCATTTTGAAATAAATAATATTTTTATTCTTCTGCTTAATTGAACATTTGTTACATTTGTTTTAAATTGTATATCCTTACATATCTGTAATTGTTTATTGTGAGAAGCCTCCCTGGCCGCCTGCGTGAACAGGCGGTCTACATCTTTTTGCCTAATCCTCGCCAGCTCAAAAACACAACAACAACAAACAGGCTCGGAATTCGAGCTGATATGTGGTGCGTTTCCCTTTTTCATTAATCCAGGCCCCCTTGAGCTCCTTGGAGGGGGGGTGGGGGCGGTGTGGGGTGGATGGACCCAAGCTTTAGCTTCAATCGCTTTACGCGTAGCAGCGTCAACGCACGCAGGCGGTCCCCATTTGCGCTGCGTGCCTGCGCGTGCCGGTTTCATCTCCGCTTCAAAGCCGATGAGAACCACATGGGACATAAATTGTGCTCCGCCCAAGGAGTCCCGCGTCCAATTTTTTTTCCCTCCGGTTTCTTTTTCTTATTATCGTCTCCTCGTTCTCGATCTTGTCATACGGGGGCCAGAGTCGTGATTGGCCACTCAGGACGGAAGAAGAGAGAGGGAGGGAGGGTGCTGGAAGGACGAGGAATGAGAATTCCAAGGTGGATGGTAGGGAATACATCTCAGCGAGCAGGAGGAGGAGGAGGAAGAATGAATCAGAGCTTTAGCGGGGGGTGCGAGTGTTCAAGGGAAGGTAAGGAAGGCGAGAATTAGAAGTGCCGGCCATGGGTTGAGAGGAGGGGAATAAGATGCAGTTACAGGAGCGGTGAAGATGATACCTGTGGAGGTCAGAAGGAGCAGTAGAGCGAGACCGAGGGTGTGAGATGGGAGGATCCATCGGAAGGAGGTTTGAGAAAAGCGATGGGGCACAGAATAGCAGCGAGTGGAGAAATATCCTGCGAGCAGCCGACCCCGTCAAATGTTGGGACTTTTTGGCTATACGTGGGTTACGTACGTACGTTGAACTTCTTTCGCCTAATCGGAGGTGCGGGGATCTGACCGCGCTGCGAGCCGAGCAAGCGGTCACTGTCGTGTGGTGACCGCTTGCTCGGGGTTAATCGCCGTTGGGTTGGACATCTCCTCCCGCTCTCTCCGCCGTTATCCCTGCCTGCTGCGGCTCCACACGGTAAACTCACTGCGGTCTGCGCTACTTCAACGGAGGAGAAACAGCAAAACGACACTTTCTCTCCTGAAGCCCTCTCGTCCCGAAACGTATTGCTGCTGGTGCCATCGCGTGCGAGAAGAGAGCAGAACGGGACACCGTGGGGTCGAACTGTGGCGCAGTGAGGACCCCGGGGGAGCCGCTGTGCTGCGGCGGTGAGGGCACGCGCGTGGATTCGCTACCCAAAGCGGGCAGGCTCGGTTACCCATGTGGGAGGTTTTCTCCGTTGAGAATGAGAATGGTAGCGCGTGCCTGTGGCCTCACTCTGTGGGGTCATAGGTCAGTGGACAACAGAGATTGGAGGGAAGCCCAAGCCCTCTGCAAGGTGACCTGGAGATTGTGGTACAGCAAGTGGGTTTGAAAAAGTGTCTTTGTGCACCGGAGACTCTACTCGCCTGCGAAGCGCAGCTCCTACGCCATCGCCTTGCGCCCTGATTGTGGCGCGAAATACCAAATGTCCTCACGGTCTGATTTGATGGAAGTCCAACGGCATCTGTCAATGACAAGGCTGAGCGCATCGATCACTCAACGTGGCGGCTACGTGATGCGCGCGCAAGGCACTGCGTGTGTGCATGCACGTGTTGCTGCTCCCTTGGGGGAGGTTCGTGAAGGACGCTGCTACTGGGCCTCCAACAACAACAGAGCGCTGAGGAGCAACGCTCACAACAACGAGCGGAGAGGACCGGGCGGCTAAAACACAGCAAGTTGGCACAGTGGGAGAGACAGATGGTGCATCTGCCAGTCGTCTCAGTCAGTCAACTCATTGCACCTGGGTCTGTCCCGTGACCTCCCGCCAGCGAGCCTTCGACACTCCACGTGGCCTCAAAGTGCAGCCGACGTCGCCGCCACTCATTGGCGAACGGTGGCTGTCGTCGTTGTCGTTGCTGTTGTTGCTCGCGACGTTCGCAGGTTCAGTGCGAGCGTGCGATCGGGAAAATAACTCCTGGGGTTCGCCACCACAGGAGCCCGCAAGGCGCAGAAGGACGTCCTGGACTCGGTCGCATCGGGCCGTAAGGACGTGTTCTACCGGAGGGACGCGGCGGCGCTGGAGGTCTCCGTCCCGGCGCTGCTGCGGCGCGTCTGCATGCACCTCGGCGGGTCGCTGCACGCCGCCTTATCCGGTGAGTGAGCCGATCCCCCGCCCCCCCCTGCCCCCCCTCTGCCGCCAACGATCCTCCTACCCTGGGAGATAGCGAGGTGGCGCCGCGGTGGCTAAGGGATGTTAATTCCCTCGCTCGGTATGCGGGATGTCGTGGGTTCGATCCCGGCCCTGACGCCCGCTGTATAGTTTTGGCGTCGGGGGTCAATTTGCGTGACCCTCCCCGTGGCCGCGTGGGATTTGTCTCCGGGTCCTCTGTTTCATTCCTGCACATTTTTAATCAACGCTGGGCGTTTAGGGCATTTGGCTGCTGCTATAAATATCCACACGATGTCGACGAGCCACTTCGTTGGGCTATCATTTGTGATCGCCAGGTCGCTTCTGAAAAAGAGCTACATAGCTCATTTGGGGCCTTACCTGGTAAGTGAAACAAAAATATTTAAAAAGATAGTGGGGGGCAGCCCATTGTGGACACTTGTATGCAGATGTGATTTTTTTAGCCTTCCCCCCCCATTCAAGTCATAAAATCCTGATTCATCATTTATCTCTGGGTCAGATAGCATCATTCATTAAAATGTGTGTCGTATGCCCTCCTCCACCCGACACGGGAACAATCTTTCCGGATTGTGACCGCTTCGGCACTGCGGGGGCGCCGGAGAGCGATCCTGCTGCACATTTCACAATTCGTACCGATCGGTCGAATTCTGGTTTTCGAAGACACATCTTACACAGCGATTGGACCTCAAAGGCCAACGACGGGCCGCTGTTATCGGTCGCGAAAAACCCCCCCGCAACGCGTTTCATCTGTGAAACCCGATTCGCGACGATGGCGTCGCTGAGAGCTGCGCCGCGTTCTCCCGACGACGACGACGGCGACTCGTGATAACCCCGGCGAGTAGGGCAACACCCCAAACGCGTGCCCGCTCACAGAAACCGTCCACGCACGACTCGTGATAACCCCGGCGAGTAGGGCAACACCCCAAACGCGTGCCCGCTCACAGAAACCGTCCACGCACGACTCGTGATAACCCCGGCGAGTAGGGCAACACCCCAAACGCGTGCCCGCTCACAGAAACCGTCCACGCACGACTCGTGATAACCCCGGCGAGTAGGGCAACACCCCAAACGCGTGCCCGCTCACAGAAACCGTCCACGCACGACTCGTGATAACCCCGGCGAGTAGGGCAACACCCCAAACGCGTGCCCGCTCACAGAAACCGTCCACGCACGACTCGTGATAACCCCCGGCGAGTAGGGCAACACCCCAAACGCGTGCCCGCTCACAGAAACCGTCCACGCACGACTCGTGATAACCCCGGCGAGTAGGGCAACACCCCAAACGCGTGCCCGCTCACAGAAACCGTCCACGCACGACTCGTGATAACCCCGGCGAGTAGGGCAACACCCCAAACGCGTGCCCGCTCACAGAAACCGTCCACGCACGACTCGTGATAACCCCGGCGAGTAGGGCAACACCCCAAACGCGTGCCCGCTCACAGAAACCGTCCACGCACGACTCGTGATAACCCCGGCGAGTAGGGCAACACCCCAAACGCGTGCCCGCTCACAGAAACCGTCCACGCACGACTCGTGATAACCCCGGCGAGTAGGGCAACACCCCAAACGCGTGCCCGCTCACAGAAACCGTCCACGCACGACTCGTGATAACCCCGGCGAGTAGGGCAACACCCCAAACGCGTGCCCGCTCACAGAAACCGTCCACGCACGACTCATGATAACCCCGGCGAGTAGGGCAACACCCCAAACGCGTGCCCGCTCACAGAAACCGTCCACGCACGACTCGTGATAACCCCGGCGAGTAGGGCAACACCCCAAACGCGTGCCCGCTCACAGAAACCGTCCACGCACGACTCGTGATAACCCCGGCGAGTAGGGCAACACCCCAAACGCGTGCCCGCTCACAGAAACCGTCCACGCACGACTCGTGATAACCCCGGCGAGTAGGGCAACACCCCAAACGCGTGCCCGCTCACAGAAACCGTCCACGCACGACTCGTGATAACCCCGGCGAGTAGGGCAACACCCCAAACGCGTGCCCGCTCACAGAAACCGTCCACGCACGACTCGTGATAACCCCGGCGAGTAGGGCAACACCCCAAACGCGTGCCCGCTCACAGAAACCGTCCACGCACGACTCGTGATAACCCCGGCGAGTAGGGCAACACCCCAAACGCGTGCCCGCTCACAGAAACCGTCCACGCACGCACGGACGCACGCACGCACGGATTCGCGTGCACCACACATACCGGATTGAAAGACGGTAGCGAGCAGAAGAGGGATTGCCGACGGAAGGAAAATATGAATTGGCCTGTTGATGGCAATTATCTTGCAATGTGTTGTTGATGAGAATTTAACTTCGAGATGATGTTTGATGCACCCTTATTTTGGTCATGAATCCGGCAGTGTGGGGGGGGGGGGGGTGACCCTGAGCTCGTGCCGAGCGCAGCCACCACGCTCTGACCGCTTCCACCGCCGCCGGCTTCCCTTGCAGAACAAAGTGACGGTGCTCGGGACGCCGGCGCCACGGGGAGGATGGAGCGGCAGGGCGCCCACGTGGCCGACAGGGACGAGCACCCCACGCAGAGCGACGTCCAGACGTTTGATGTCGGGGGATCGGGTAGGTGGTGGTGCTGGTGGTGCTGGTGGTGGTGGTGGTACTGGTGGTGATGGTGGTGATGGTGGTAATGGTGGTATTGCTGGTGGTGGTGATGGTGGTGCTGGTGCTGCTGGTGGTGATGGTGGTGCTGGTGGTGATGGTAGTAATGGTGGTAATGATGGTATTGATGTTGCTGGTGGTGCTGGTGGTGCTGATGGTGGTGGTGCTGGTGGTGATGGTGGTAATGGTGGTAATGATGGTATTGATGTTGCTGATGATGGTGGTGATGCTGGTAGTGGTGCTGGTGGTCGTGCCGGTGGTGCTGGTGGTGTGCTGGTTGCCGAGGGTTTCTGTCTGGATGTTTGTCAAAATCCTTATCAATTGTGTGTGTGCGGTGTGTTTCTGCCTGTGTGTCGGTGAGGGCGTTGGCAGGGTGGGGAGCGGTAGTGTAGTGGTCGGCGCTCTGCGCTAGGAACCGGGTCACCCGAGTTCAATTCCCGCTCATGAATAGCACCAGTGGCGAATATTTGAACCGGCCCAGGGCCTCCCCCTAGGTCGACTCAGCCTCAAATGAGCATCTGGTGCGGTGTGTAAACATCGCCACTGGGGAGACAAAGGCGGCCGGGCGTGGTGCTGGCCACCCACCCCCTCGTGGACCGTTCCGGCCTTCATAGGTGCTCGCTAACAGCACTTGCCCCTCCAGTCTGTTCAGGCTACACGGGGCATCTTTTTTTGTGTATGTGTGTGTGCATACGGACGCTTGTGTTGGCACAGTTAGGAGGACACGTGGTGCATCCGTCAGTCATCTCAGGCGGTCAACCAATGACACGTGGTTGTGTCCCGTGACCTCCTGACTACAGGGAGCCTTCGACATTTCAGGTGGCATCGAAGTGCACCCAGCCTGGAACACGCGCTGTGGTGACGTCGCCGGCACTTAAGTGGCGAATGGCGGCCGTCGTTGTTGTTGTTGTTTGTTGTGGGGCAGTGTCCCTGCGGGAGATTGCTCGTCTGCTGCTCTTCGACGCGACAGCCAGCAGCGTGCGCGTGTCCTGGAATGCGGTGCCAGGGGCTACGAGCTACAGACTCATCTGGGCACCCACGCCAGGTACCAAAGACAAAGACTCCCCTCCTCCCCCCGTATGGCTTTCACAGACTTTTGGGGCAAGTGCTGTTAGCGAGCACCTATGCAGGCTGGCACGGCACACGAGGGGGGTGGGTGAGCGGCCAACACCACGCCCGACCGCCTTTGTCTCCCCCAATGGCCATGTTTACACTCCGCACCAGATACTCATTTGAGGCTGAGTCGACATCAGGGAAGCCATAGGACCGGTTCAGATAATCGTCACTGGTGTTGGAACGTGAGCGGGAACTGCACTTAAGTTGCCAGGTCCGTAGCGCAGCGCGCTGACCGCTGCACTACCGCTCACCCACACACACGCACACACTTGTACGTGCAAGCAGGCACACTGCCACACACGCACAGAGATCTGAACCCGGTGACTTGAGTTCAGTTTCCATCCATGGCTAAGCCGGCCGGCCGGTGGTGGCTACGCATGCGGCTGCCTGTAATCCAGCACTGTGGAGGCAGCGAAGGTTGGTGAATCACCGCACAAACGTTGCCAAAAAACTCGCTTCCCGTGGCCATCGAGTTGCCATGCCCTGGCTCGCCGAGGTAAGGCAGTATAGCAAATGGACTAATCGTCAACTGTTTCATGGGACCTTTTTTGCCAGTATCAAAATGATGGGGAAAAAAAGAATAGGCTTTACCCTTTTCTGGCAGTGAAACAGCTGTTAAGATCAGAGCATGTTTGCTTGCATGTTTTTTCCGCAAAGTACGTGTGGCTAATGCAGACTTGATGCCTCGCGAAAGGTGTCTATTTGGTGTGTGAAGGTCTTAACGCCCGTTTTATTGGCAGTCAGGGTAAAGCATAACTTTAAACTTTCGTCACTGCAGGAATTAATATTCGTTGGTTCTTTCGGTAAAGTCACGTAGATAGAAACAATTGTAATACAAATAAAAAATAACGTGAATAAAAACGTCGTGGTATTTCTATTCACTTTATTTTTATTATTATGTTTTTCTACCGACGTGACTTTACCGAAAGAACCAAAGAATAGGGTAAAGCCCAGTCTTGTGTTTTTTTTTTCATCGCCATCTGTTTGCGGAGAGGCTGAACGGGGGAATGTTTGCGTTTGCGCGCCCGCGCGCGGCAGAGTTTGAGGGCCGGGACCAGGCGCGCGAGGTGACGCTGGCGCTGGGCACCACCTCGTACGAGATCACGGGCCTGGTGCACGACACGGAGTATGCCGTGTCTCTCTACCCCATCTACGACGGCTTCCAGGGCGTCTCCGTCACCAACATCGTCACCACCGGTGAGCCGGGGGGGGGGCGGCAGGGGCGGGTGGGGAGAAGGGGGAGGGGCCGGATGCGGGATGCTGGCAGACGACATCTCGCTACCGTGGAGCAAATGCCCAGTGGGCCGGTCCTTTCCCAGGGATGGTGGGCCGGTCCTTGTGGGGAAATTGCAAATGTGATCAGTGTTAAAAAAACAAATATGTAAAATTATTAATCCTCTCCAGCCCATTTGTTTCTTGGAGCCAGCCCAAATGGGCCAACGAGATCACACGGCAAACATCACGCTCACACGCCGTCACGTCGCGAGATCGAGCAGCAAATCCGTTCTAGATTTGAAGCTTTCGTGACTGCAAGGATCCATACTCTTTGGTTCTATTCGGTAAAGTCACGTAGGTAAAAAATAAAACAACAAAAATCACGACGTTTCGGCCACTCACTCACTCCACTCACTCACTCACTCCACTCACTCACTCCACTCACTCGCTCCACTCACTCCACTCACTTGCTCCACTCACTCTACTCACTCACTCCACTCACTCCACTTACTCACTCCACCCACTCCACTCACTCACTCCACTCACTCACTCCACTCACTCACTCCACTCACTCACTCCACTCACTCACTCCACTCACTCACTTCACTCACTCCACTCACTCACTCACTCCACTCACTCACTCCACTCACTCACTCTACTCCCCCTCGCTGCTGGTCCGTCATGGTCTCCACCCGCTCCTGGTCCATCATGGCCCATGCACCTCCTATGTACATCGTGCTCATTTTTATGCTAATTCCTTTGTCAAGCGTTTTTGCTTCCTCCCACACAGCTTAAAGGACGCGACCTGGGCTTGGCTGTTTTCACTCCAACGCTGTCCTCATGACAGCACGGTCCCTTCACCTGATGAAGGCCACTTGTGTTGTGGCCGAAACGTCGTGATTTTTGTTATTTTATGTTTTACCTACGTGACTTTACCGAATAGAATCAAAGAGTACAGCTACTCCATATCACGACTTTGGGCCGGTGTGTTTACAAATGCCTTGGCCGATTTTTTTTGTCACAGTCGGTCATTGCTCAGAGAGATACATGGAGACACAGAGACCCATAGAGTTGTATTACACAAGCCACAGTAATGCTGCTGTGACCATGCAACCTCAATTGTGGACCACGGAGTAAAACCCTCTGTGCGCGTCTTCAACGGCGGAGGAGGAGAAACAGCGACACTACACCGACTCTCTTCCCTGAAGCCCTCTCGGCGTGGCCAGCAGACCTCAACGCTGGCATCGAGCTCCTGAACAACATTGCTGCCATCATACCCAAGAACACAAATTGAATTCTTAAAAAATAAAATGTCACACACGTCGCACCATCCGGGTCATCACGGTTGGCTACGTACGGCGCGAACGCAGTTCGACTTACACACGCGCGTACTCACTCAGGAGGGTATAGCCGACTACAATCTCAACGTTGTATGCGAGGCGTCTCGATGCCCGTGTTCGTATTCGAACCTCGCAAAGCTGATTGGACGATCGTTAAACAGAAATAGTGAAACCGTCATTGTCGTCGATGTCGTCATCGTCGTCGTCGTTTTTGTCGTCATCGTTGTCGTCGTCGTCATCGTTGTCGTCATCATTGTCGTCGTTGTCGTCATCGTAGTAATTGTCATCGTTGTTGTCATCGTCGTCATCGTTGTCATCGTAGTCGTCGTCATCGTCATCATCGTTGTCGTCGTCGTCATCGTTGTTGTCATCATTGTCGTCGTTGTCGTCATCGTAGTAATTGTCATCATCGTCGTCATCGTTGTCATCGTAGTCGTCGTCATCGTCATCATCGTTGTCGTCGTTGTCGTCATCATCGTTGTCGTCGTCGTCATCGTTGTCGTCATCGTAGTAATTGTCATCGTCGTTGTCATCGTCGTCATCGTTGTCGTCATCGTCGTCGTCGTTGCCGTCGCGTGTTCCCGGCAGCGGGGTTCCTGTACGTTCCGGACGTGCGTGTCGTGGACACCGCTCGCAGCTCCATCAGCCTCGCCTGGAGCCGCGCCGTCGGGGTCACGGGGTACCGCCTCATCTGGGGACGCACAGGTACACGGGGGGGGGCACAGGTACACGGGGGGGGGCACAGGTACACGGGGGGGGGCACAGGTACACGGGGGGGGCACAGGTACACGGGACGGGCACAGGTACACGGGGGGGGGGCCTGGAGGGAGGAGGGGGGGGATGGGGTTGAGGGGGGGGGGGGCAGGGGGAGGGAGCGGGCGGGGGGTGGCAGCACCACGGGCGACGTGCATCTGGTGAATGAGGGATGGTGAGTGTGGCCAGTGTGTGGTGAGGGATGGTGAGTGTGGCCAGTGTGTGGTGAGGGATGGTGAGTGTGGCCATTGTGTGGTGAGGGATGGTGAGTGTGGCCATTGTCTGGTGAGGGATGGTGAGTGTGGCCAGTGTGTGGTGAGGGATGGTGAGTGTGGCCAGTGTGTGGTGAGGGATGGTGAGTGTGGCCATTGTCTGGTGAGGGATGGTGAGTGTGGCCATTGTCTGGTGAGGGATGGTGAGTGTGGCCATTGTGTGGTGAGGGATGGTGAGTGTGGCCATTCTCTGGTGAGGGATGGTGAGTGTGGCCATTGTCTGGTGAGGGATGGTGAGTGTGGCCAGTGTGTGGTGAGGGATGGTGAGTGTGGCCATTGTCTGGTGAGGGATGGTGAGTGTGGCCATTGTCTGGTGAGGGATGGTGAGTGTGGCCAGTGTGTGGTGAGGGATGGTGAGTGTGGCCATTGTCTGGTGAGGGATGGTGAGTGTGGCCATTGTCTGGTAAGGGATGGTGAGTGTGGCCAGTGTGTGGTGAGGGATGGTGAGTGTGGCCATTGTGTGGTGAGGGATGGTGAGTGTGGCCATTGTCTGGTGAGGGATGGTGAGTGTGGCCATTGTGTGGTGAGGGATGGTGAGTGTGGCCATTGTCTGGTGAGGGATGGTGAGTGTGGCCAGTGTGTGGTGAGGGATGGTGAGTGTGGCCAGTGTGTGGTGAGGGATGGTGAGTGTGGCCATTGTCTGGTGAGGGATGGTGAGTGTGGCCATTGTCTGGTGAGGGATGGTGAGTGTGGCCATTGTGTGGTGAGGGATGGTGAGTGTGGCCATTCTCTGGTGAGGGATGGTGAGTGTGGCCATTGTCTGGTGAGGGATGGTGAGTGTGGCCAGTGTGTGGTGAGGGATGGTGAGTGTGGCCATTGTCTGGTGAGGGATGGTGAGTGTGGCCATTGTCTGGTGAGGGATGGTGAGTGTGGCCAGTGTGTGGTGAGGGATGGTGAGTGTGGCCAGTGTGTGGTGAGGGATGGTGAGTGTGGCCATTGTCTGGTGAGGGATGGTGAGTGTGGCCAGTGTGTGGTGAGGGATGGTGAGTGTGGCCAGTGGCGAGGGCTGACGGCGTCTGCGTTGCGTCTTCGGCACGATGTCCGACGTTTCGCTGCACATGCTGGGAGCTTGACAGCTTCTTCTGCAGATGGGAGCTTCATCACAAAATGAGGATATCATGGTGATGATGATAATAATGATGATGGTAGTTACAATGATGTCTGATGCTGATGCTAAACATGATGACAACGCCGCTGATGCCAGTTATGATGGCAATAATGATGACGGTAGTGATGATTATGTCGATATTGATGATCGTGGTGATGATGATGATCATTAACATTAAAACAGATTGATCGTGACAACAACGATGACCACAATAATCATTGCGACATTGGTAATGATCACGGCACTGACCGATCATGGCATTCATCGCGGCAATATCGACGATCATCGATGATGACGACGACGATGATGACGATGACATTGGCGGTCTGTCCACTCGGCAGAGATGGGCCCAGAGGACAGTGTACTGCTGGAGAGGAGTGCGACGTCGTTCCGGATCCCCGGCCTGCGGGAGGGCACGCTCTACACCATCAGCCTGCTGGGCATCTATGGCCGCCTGGACGGGCCCTCATTCGTCATCACTCAGTCCACCGGTGAGAGCCCGGCGTCGAGGCCTGCTGCTGGCCACGACGTGGGGGCCTTGAGCAGGGAGAGTGAGGGAGAGAATTCGTATCGTCTCGCTTACTCCTCCGACTCCTCCGTTGTTGGAAGGAGCTTGATCAGGGGGGTCAGCAACGAAAATAACAAGGAGCAGACATTTTTTTTTCGAATTTGGTCAAGCAAAAAAGTCTACATTTCAAGAGCCGCAATGCACTGTGGGTGAATACGGTGAATACGAGACGGTGAATTCGGAGACAGTGAATACGAGACAGTGAATACGATACGGTGAATACGAGATGGTGAATCCGAGACGGTGACTACGACACTATGGTCCTTCGTAAATAACGTCACGAGGCAGCCCTTAAAGAGCCAGCATGCGACCCCTGAGTCCCAGAGTGAGCCTTCCTCTCCATGGCTTTACTTACAGGGTCCACAGTTTGGGGTGCACGACCACGGTCGCACCGCCGTGGCTCACGTCTTCAATGCATCTCTATGAGTGCCTGTGTCAAAGCAGCCACCGCATGCTGAAACAGCTTTTGTTCGGCCGGATTGAGGGCGGCTAAACGGGCGCGGTACGGGCTAGAGAAGCGATGGAGTGATGTGGTACAGGAGGATGTGGAGCTGAGTGGACTTGCCGATGACTGGTACCAGCGGTGTCAAGATCGGCCTCTGTGGAGGAGGCTCGTGAAGGACGCTGCTACTGGGCAGTTGGAGGCAGTCGCCCTCCAACAACAACGGAGGGCGGAGGAGCGACGCTCACAACAACGAGCAGAGCGCCGGGTAGCTAAAGCACAGCGGGTTGGCACAGTAGGGGGCTCAGGTGGTGCATCAGCCAGTCATCTCAGTCAGTCGACTCGTGGCACCTGGGTCTGCCCCGTGACCTCCTGCCAGCGGGCGTTCGACACTTCACGTGGCCTTAAGGTGCACATGGCCTGGCACAAGCGTCGTGGTGATGTAACCGCCACTTAGTGGCGAATGGCGGTTGTTGTTGTTGTTGTTGTGTCAAAGCATCTCTACAAATCAAGAAAACCCAGTGACCGAGACAGCAGTGTTTTTGTTACAGCTGCTGATGATGGTGATGGTGATTGTAATGATGATGATGACTAAAACTATTAAAATGATTTTCTTTTGAGAACAGGTTTTCCCCTTTTTTCTGGCAACAAAACAGGTGTTAAGATGTTAAAACACTAAACTGAAACCTTTTACAAGGAATCATGTCTGCAGTAACCACAATACAGAATGCAAACAAAAACATACTCTTATAATATATGCAGACATTATTTTTTGTAAAAGGTTTAAGTTTGGTGTTTTAACATCTTAACACCTGTTTTGTTGGTACTGGCAAAGGAGGTCCCATAATATTCATATTATTGGTTCTTTCGGTAAAGTCACGTAGAAGGGAAACAATAAAGTAATAAAGAGTAAGGCCCACTGAGCTACTATGTAGCTCTTTTTCAGAATCAGCCTGGCCACAAATGATAGCTCAATGAAGTGGCTTATCACGTGGAAATTTATAGCAACCAAATACTCTAAAACGTAGGTTTCTAAATGTGGAGGGAAAAATCGGAGGATCCGCAGACAAAAATCCACGCGATCACACAAATATACAGCGGGCGTCAGGGTCGGGATCGAACCCACGCCCGACCTCCTGCATGCCAGGCGAGGCAAAACCCACGACGATGACCGACGTCCACTTTGGCAGCGTCGGGCTCGTTTGAGGGGGACGAGGAGGTGGTGCGGGACCTGCGCGTGTCGGACGTGTCGCGGGACAGCGCTCGCGTCACCTGGGGCGGCTCTCCCCGCGTCCGCGGCTACGCCGTCACCTGGGTGCCAGTCGCCGGTGAGAGGCCCCGTTTGTTTGTTGTTGTTGTTGCCCGCACACCGCGGTGGAACGTTTCATCTCGCGCCCCGCGGTGTTCGTTATTTCTCCCAGCATGCACGTGCGCACGTGCGTTGACGTTATTTTCGCACCGCGCGTAGCCAACCGCGCGAGCCGGAGGTGCCGGGGGGGGGGGGGGAGGTCAACAAACTAAGCACAAAAAAGCAGTTCTTAAAGAAATGAGTTTGTCAGTCATCGAAGGCGTGGAGTGGCAAAGCTGATTTAATGTGACGATTCTGCGGCCGTCTGGAACGCTCTTACTTCCGATAGTAGGAAGCCACTGGAGCTTTGCACTATGAAATCTAGATCGACAAACTCATTTCTGGAGAACTGCTTTTGTGTGTTTAGTTTATCGCCCTTCGCCCCTGCACTGCCGAATAGCACGGTTGGCTACGTACGGTGCGAAAGAAGTTCAGCATGCGTACGTTGTTGTTGCTGTGAGTGCAGTCATCGCTGACTGGGCTGAGACCATCAACTCACGAATGTGCAGCTAAGACTGTGGTTGAAACTCGGCTCAATGCTCACGCTCGCGAGTTAAATTTTTGCCCCCCTAGTCTGGTCAACCAAACGTCATAACTGACAGATTTGTGTAGAGGCTTCCATCCAGCGGTGGATTCACAAAGGGCTCTAGGTTTTGCAAGTTTTAAGATACGCGTGACGTCCCGTCAAGAAAATGTGGGTAAGTATATTCCAGGAGGAAAACATTGCTCACGAATGTTTATGGCTGATGGGGCCTAAATGTTATTTTAATTTATGGTGATGAAACAAATCCCTTTCTGTCCGTCTCTCCACGTAACGAGTGAATTATCCGAGAGTCAGACTCGCATCTAAGAGGTGTGGTGCAACGCGGTGCGGTGTGGAGTGTGGTGTAACGTGGTGCGCAGTGTGGTGTAACACGGTGCGGTGTGGAGTATGGTGTAACGTGGTGCGCAGTATGGTGTAACACGGTGCGGTGTGGAGTATGGTGTAACGTGTGGCGCAGTGTGGTGTAACACGGTGCGCAGTGTGGTGTAACGTGGTGCGCAGTGTGGTGTAACGCGGTGCGGTGTGGAGTGTGGTATGGTGTGGTGTAACGTGGTGCGCAGTGTGGTGTAACACGGTGCGGTGTGGAGTGTGGTGTAACGTGGTGCGGTGCGGAGTGTGGTATAGCGATGAGGTGCGGTTTGGAGTGTGGTGTAGCGTGGTGCGGAGTGTGGTGAAATGTGGTGTGTTGTGGTGCGGAGTGTGATGTAACGCGGTGTAGTGTCGTGTGGTATGGTGTGGTGTGACGCGGTGTCGTGTGGTGTGGTGTAGTGCAGTGTGGAGTGTGGAGTGGTGTGGTGCGGTGTAGTGCAGTGTGCAGTGTGGAGTGTGGAGTGGTGTGTTGCAGTGTAGTGCAGTGTGGAGTGGTGTGGTGCGGTGTAGTGCAGTGTGCAGTGTGGAGTGTGGAGTGTGGAGTGGTGTGTTGCAGTGTAGTGCAGTGTGCAGTGTGCAGTGTGGTGTGGTGCGGTGTAGTGCAGTGTGGAGTGTGGTGCTGTGTTGCGTGTGGCGTACCGTGGTGCGGTGTTGAGCGTGATGTATCGCGGTGCTGTGGCAGGCGGAGTGGAGATCACACGTAACGTGCGTGCGGACGTGAGCACGTACGCCATCGAGGGCCTGCGCGAGAGCACCGACTACGTCGTCAAAGTGGCAGCGCTGCTCGAGGAGCGTGAGGGACGCGCCGCCAGCGTCACGCTGCGCACACGTGAGTCTCATGCTCCCACTCGCTCTCCCCCTCACTCACCCCCACACTCACTCCCACAGAATGCATTGCAAGTGTGTGCGTCCGCGTGCGCATTCCACGCTTAAATGTACAGACCTCGCGGCGACATTCAGAAAACCCTCCCCAATCATTACCAATGGATTCAAATACCACGTGGATTCAGATACCAATTAGGTTCAAATCCTGAAATGAATTGACACCCCAAATTGATTCTGGCCAGCGTCAAAGAGTAGGCCAAATACTCCCCTAGTGGGGCTCCGCAGCAGCGCCGTAAGTACGAAGCGGCCGTTCGTGGACCCCAGTCGACACCGTCTACGATCCGCGGCCCACGGTCGATCTGCCGATGCTACCCACGTGCAAGAACCATCGCCATCTCCGGCTGGACAGACCCCGGACGGAGTTTTCCCAGCGGATGTTCGCGACCCGTGCTCGCTCGAGCCCAAGCCGGTTTTTGTAACGGGCTTATAAGCGGCGTCGCCATTTCGAAATTAGCGCGGGAGGCATTCGTGACGGGGCCGGACTGACGGAGAGCGCGCTGCAATAACAAACGTTCAGGCTCGGAGCCTCCCTTCAGGCGCAAGCCCTTCCGCCAGGCCGTGCCGCGGGACGTCGCAGGGCTGCACCGCTGCCCTCACGGTTCACCGAAACGAACGTGGGTGCCAAACGGGCACTCGTCGGCCCAGCGCAGCCGCGGGCTCTCCACGCACGGTGCCCGCGTCTAACGCCCTGGCGTCCTCCCGTCGCAGTCGACCTGCCCAAGGTGCGCTTCCTGCAGACGTCGGACGTGACGGACGAGGCGGTGCGCGTCACGTGGAGCTCCCTGCCAGGGGCCACGGGCTACCTGCTCAGCTGGCGCCCCATGTCAGGTGACCGCCGTCCCGTGACGTCGTCGTTTTTTCGCGTTTTCTCCCACGTTTGTTTGCTTTGTCCGCTCTACTCTATCTCGTTGAATCTTGTCCAACTTGGCGACAACCGCCGCCATTGACCACCGCCACCACCGCCGCCGCCGTCCGTCCCGTTCGTAGCGAGCGCAGGCGTCAACGGGCAGAGGGAGGTTCGCTTGCCCCCCGAGGTGGAGTCGTACCAGGCGGGCTCCCTGCAAGCCGGCCGAGCCTACCTCTTCACCATCAAGCCCTTCTTTGGGCAGCGCCAAGGCCCAGCCACCGCCGTCACCGAGAGAACCGGTACGCCGCCAGAACCGCCGTCTCTCCGCCGCGCCAACGCCGCCAACATTTGAGCGACTCGAGTCGTCAGCGCTCTCTCAAACCGAGGTTGACGGCGTTTGAATGCATCCGCTCGGTCGGTAATACTGGGGGCACGGTGGCTTTCACGAGGGATGATTCGTGACCGACCAAACGTCAGAGTGAGGTTTTGCTTCGATCTTCGGGACCATCACTGTAGAAAAGATGGCCAAATTGAGCAACGGGTTGCCTGACACCTGGAGGTGAAACCCAGTGCCAAAATTATTGAGAAAGGAATGGGCAACCCTTCCGTTTCAATCTCCAAATGATGTCGATACGTAAGGGCAAACGCACGTTGCAGAATCCACGAATACGCATGATTGTGATGATTGTACCCTAAATTTGTCCAGATGTAGCATAGCCTTAGCTTGTCCGAGCTGGCACGTGACAAGTAGAGTTGCCACCTCCTGAGGTAGAAAAAAAACGGGACATTAAATGGGAAGGAGAATATCTCACAACACCATAAGAGGAGAGAAATCCATGTAAATTCTGACCCGCCCCTGCTGGACATCTATGATTTTAAAAAACCCCGGCGTTCCATTTGTCCATTTATCCATTTGTCTGTTTGTCCATCAACTAAATTATGAGAGCCTTCTGAACCAGTATGATCAATCTAATTATTGTTTCATCAATTGTTGTTCCATCCATTATCCAGAAATACACGATTTTCCACTTAATTTATTACATTTTCTACCTACGTGACTTTACCGAAAGCACCAAAGAGTATTGATCCCTGCAGTCACGAAAACTTCAAATCTAGATTGATTTTCCACTTATTGAGACTTTATTTAGAGTTTTGATAGTTGCAGTCATGGATGGAGGGTGAAATAAAATATATCTAATGAACTTCGAGGTACAAGCCAGTAGTATCTGCACACATTTGGGGGTTGGGGGGGTGGGGGTGAGAAGAGGATATCAGTGGTGGCGACGAGCACGGCACGAAGCGCTGAGAAGCCCTCCGCCGAAATTCTCGTCTACGATAAAGAGCTCCGTAGCTCATCGGATTTCCGCAGGACAAATTAAAAATTCTGAAACGCCGTTGCCTTGAGCGGCTGAGTCATTATTGTGTAACTGAACGAAAAAAATCGGGACTCTTAATGTCTGGGGAAGCCTCGAAAAGGGGACGACCCTGGGAAAACCAGACCGTGGTGACGTGCGATTTCCCGGCAGTGTGCAACCGCGCCCGGGCTGACATGGTGTTCCTCCTGGACGGGTCGGGGAGCATCGGCCGAAAGTTCAACCGCATCAAGGAGTTTGTGTTCCGGGTGGTGTCCTACTTTCCCCGTATTGGGCCAGACTCCACGCAGGTGATGTGGTGTGATGGGGGGCGGGGGGGGGGGTCAGGGTGGGGGGGGTGACACCGCACGGGACACCCAATACTCTCCGCTTGTTTTGGAACCCTCTGAGGAGGTGGCTCAGTGGTCAGAGCGGCTGAGCTGGCACTGCTGAGGTCCTGGGGTCGTATCCAGACAGCCGCCTGTGATCACACCGGGTGTTCAAGTGCAGAGCATTTTGTTCACTCAAAATACCGTCACACGAAATAAATTTGGTTCCGCGCTTAAGTCGGCTAAATTCCAGCTCTGAGAATTCAAAGTATCGGTTTCACTTCCATGAAATGAACATGACTCGTACATTGAGCGCGAGTGAAAAGGGCTGCCCTCTGCTGGGTGGACCAGAGTTCACTTGCAGGGATCTCAGGGGTAGCTCTGTGATATCCGCTTCGGTGGGCCCTCCTCTGACAAGACGGGTTGCATTGCTCTACGAGGGATGTGAAAGAATGCTTCGTCTTATGAGATGCCGTCGATAGCACAATCGCGATAAAACTGGGGTGGAGGGGGGGGGGAACTGTTTTTTTTTTCAAGACCATCTCGTGTTTGTGTGCGTGTGCAGATGGCGGTGGTGAAATACAGCGACAGCCCACAGACAGAGATTCCACTGACGCGTTTCAGGGACCGCAACTCCCTGCTGCAGACGCTGAGAGCCATCCCGTTCCTTGGTGGAAACACTTACACAGGTACACGCATGTGTGTGCCTGTGAGAGTGTGTGTGTATGGGGAGCGCTGGTGTAGCGGTTAGCGCCCCGCGCTACGAATCCGGCGACCCGAGTTCGATTCTCGCTCACGGCCAACACCGGTGACGATTATCTCAACCGGTTCTGGGCCTCCCCCTAGGTCGACTCAGCCTCAAATGAGTACCTGGTGTGGTGTGTGAACATCGCCACTGGGGAGACAAAGGCAGCCTTCATAGGTGCTCGCTAACAGCACATGCCCCCAATAGTCTGTTAAGGCTAAATGGGGGATCTTTTTCTTTGATTTTTGGGATCAGTGCACTGCGCTAGGAACCCGGTGACTTGAGTTCGATTCTCACACATGACCAATAGCAGTGACAAATATTTAAAACCTGTCCTCGGGTTCCTCTAGGTCAACTCGACCTTAAAAAAGAGCGTCCTGGTGCGGCGTGCTGGCCACCCGCTCCCTGTCTTGTGCCGTGCCCGCCTTCGTAGGTGCTCGCTAACAGCACTTGTCCCAAGCTGCCTGGACGAAGGCTGCACGGGGTGTCTCTGTCTCTGTGCGATGTCCAGGCCGCGCCATCCAGTACGCCCTGCAGTCGGTGCTGCAACCGGGGGGCGGCACCCGTGCCGGCGTGCCACGCATCCTCGTCGTCATCACCGACGGGCGCTCACAAGACGACCTCTCCGGCCCGGCCGCCTACGCCGTCGCGCAGGGTTCGACTCCCAGTCCACGGCCTTGGCTCCAGCCATGGACTTAGCCACAGCCTGAGACATAGCCCAAGCTATAGCCCTAGCCCTCGCTATAGCCCTGACCCTAGCTATACCCATAGCCTTAGCCATAGTCCATAATAAAGGTTGTTTTTGGGTTAGATTGCACGATTATAAATGTGTTGTTAAACCCGCCACCACCCGACACAGCCAATTAGTGAGGTGTGTGACGTAAACAAAGCGTGCCAACTAGTTACTACTTCAGCACACTGGTGTGTTGGCGAGTAAACCCACAACATTTACAACAATACGATTACGACGTTTCAGGCTATTTTTGGAAATATTGGTCGCGAAAGCCTACGTGTTAAACTTAGCCCTAGTCTTCTTAACCCATTCGCCCTAGGCCTAGCTATAGTTCAAACCTTAGCCACAGCTCTAGCATTAATCCGAGCTTCAGCCTGGGCGAACCACCACCAATATCACCGCGGACCATGCAGCGGATCGATCGTGGCGGCTGATGATGACGACAATGCCGATGATGATGACAATGACGATGATGATGACGACGATGATAACGATGACGAAGTTAACGACGACGATGACGACGACAGGCGTGCAGGTGTTCGCGGTGGGCACGGCGGACGCCGACCGCCGGCAGCTGGAGCTCATCGCCGGCAGGCAGCCCAGCACGGTGCCAGGCCGCAGCCGCGTCTTCTACCTCGACACGCTGGAGGCCTTCCGCTCCATCGAGGAGGACCTGGTGGACACCATGTGCGCTGTCGCCACCGTCGGACCGGGCCCTATCGACCCCCCGCAGGTGGGGCGCCACGGTGGCTAGGAGATGTTAACTACCTCGCCTGGTATGCAGGAGGTCTTGGGTTCAATCGCATCCCTGACGATCCCTGCTTTATATTTGGAGTTTGCGTGTTTCTCTCTATCTCATCATCATCACAGTGGCTGGGAGATGTTAACTACCTCGCCTGGTATACAGGAGGCCGTGGGTTCGATCCCGATCCTGATGCCTGTTGTATATTTGGAGTTTGCGTGGCTCTCTCGCTCATCATCATCATCATCATCACAGTGGCTAGATGTTAACTACCTCGCCTGGTATGCAGTAGGTCGTGGGTTCGATCTTGACCCTGATGCCTGCTGTATATTTGGAGCTTGCGTGTTCTCTCTTACTCACCGTGGTCGTGTGGATTTTTCTCCGGGTCCTCCGGTTTTTCCCTCCACATGTCGAATCAGCAACATGCGTTTAAGAGTGTTTGTCTGCTATAATTTGCATGTGATGATAAGCCACTTCGTTGAGTGATCATGTGTGGCCGGTCAGGTCGCTTCTGAAAAAGAGCTAAAGAGCTCAGTGGGCCTTACCTGGTAAAATAAAGAATTCTTTAGTTTGAGTTTTTAGTTTAGATGCCCCCATTGTTGTCCTGCACCCGGCCGTGAATCGGCAGCTCGTTGCCATTTCTCCGATGCCCGGTTTTAGTTTTTCTGCCGAGGGGGAACCCCCGCGTCAACTGCTCACCTTCGTAGTTGCTGCCGTTTACGTGACAAAGATTACTAATTTGGTTGCGTCGGGTGGTGATGGGTAAACGACACATTTATATTTACGCGATCGAATCCAAAAAAACACGTTATGGATAATATAGGTCGCGAAAGCCGGTGTGTTCAACTGCTGCTGTAAGTCGGTCACATTTGTTCAGATATTTGCTGATGGTGGCATCAGACGAAAGGACCACAATGCACTTCTTCAGGAAATGCTGATGGATTTTCACACGCACAGCTTGTGCCCTTCACGCATTTTTTGCGCGTCGTTTGAGACTTGCCGAAATAAGTCGGAGGTAATGCATCACTGGTGACGCATTACCTGCACCTGAGAGCCCAGTTTAATTTGAGGCGGCCACCTGGATTTAAATCTGGGATTATCAGCAGCGCCAACTCAGAGCTGTGACCTCTCAGCCACCGGGCCACCCCCAATGCCCCAGCGCTTTCGGTCAGCTAATTACATCACTTAAGCAAAGCACTTTTGAGGCCCGTGAGTGCAAAGGTGCCATGTCAAAATGTCAATACCGCATTCTCTCCGGTGTACAAGACGCTCCGGAAAAGTGAGACTCACCCAAACCTTGTGCCTGGTGGCAATAAAGTTATACAAATCCGGTCTCGTGCACCATCACACCTACCACATTCCGAGGTGCAGCCCCAACTCTTGCTTGAAAATATGGGTGAGGTGGGGCATGGAGAGGGGAGGGAAAGTACGTCTTATAACCCAGAAACCACGCTATTTATAATAATTGCGTTGCGTTTGTTGTTATTGTTGTTGTTGTTGTTTTGAAGCCTCCTGTGATCCCAGACCCGAGCGAGTGCACCGCCTGCTTGCCGGTAAGACCGCCGCTCAGCGATGCGAATCCACCACCCATCCCGCATCGCCAGACACAACAGCCGATGGTGTTCAGTGAGTGCCTGTTAATCCACACGAGAATGGGGTGGTGTCACTGAAGCCCAGCTGCCTTTTGTCTCCCCCATTGCCGATGTTGGGCTCGTCACACCGGGTGCACGTTTTGGGCCGAGTTGACCCATGGGACGCGTACACAGACTCATTGTTCGCATTGTGGCTGACGTGAAATATAAGCTAGCCGCGGACTCGCTTTTAGGGGTACCCGCATTTTATTTTAAGTCTTCTTGCCAATTGCATCTGGTAATCCAGAAATGTTTGGTTTAACAAGCTGGACCCTGCTGATGAGATCCAAAAGTTAATTAAAATGGGTCAAGAATTTGTTTTCTTAAACAAATGCTGCTTGACAGTATGTCTGGATAGCCAATAGGCTGATGGACTAAAAACTACGTTTTATTTATATGTGGAGACACAGAACAGAGGTACTACTTGTCCTACTTGTGTATGGCTATTGAAATTCTTTCGCACCATACGTAGCCAACCATGCTAATCGGAGGTGCCGGGGAAGGACAACAAACCATACACAAAAGAAGTTTTAAAGAAAGGACTTCGTCAATATAGATGATTTAAAAGTGCATAGCTCCAGTGGCTTCCTAATATCTGAAGGAAGATTATTCCAGACAGCCACTGAAACGTATCTGACAGCACTCGATGCGGTGACCCTCTTTATCTGATGACTATCCAAAAGCTGCTGCTGTGGAGGGTGACGGGAGTTTGCGGTCATCCTCAGCCGGGTATTGTGGTTCATCTGTGGCAAGCACTTTGTGTGTAATGTGTGCGATTCAGACAACCTGTTGCATCTGGTATCGTGAATTATCGGGAATTATACCCTTGGTTGGTAGTTGGGCTTGTATTGCAATTCACTAACCAATAAGGCACCTTTTTAAACACACACGTATGCACGCATACGCACTTGCGCACACGCCAGCATGCGCGCACACACAGGCGCGTGCATGCACACTATGCTTGCACCTGTGTAAATTACCACAGGTGCACGCACACGCGCATGTCTGCTCGCACACACGAACCCTCCTTCAACTCGTACAAATGTCTATTGCCTGAGCCATTCGTACATCTCAATTCCCCTTTTTCCTTTGCAGGGAGAGGAGGGAGATTATGTAAGTACCGAAACAGTGACGCAGCAGTTAAACCACAGCTAAGGTTAAGGCGAAACATACATTCAACAGGAAATACTCGATAATCGTGTTCCTTACATTGTCCTACTTACAAACGTTATTCTGTTGCGCAGTGTTTATGTGCAATGAAATGGCTTACTTATGCATCGATTAAAATCGATTCTGAGGTCAGCAACGCTTGCAAATGTTACCTTTGGAACTCCCTACCCGTGTTTCAAGTTTAGGGCCAAGACCTCCCTTGTTACCTATGCCTGTGATATGTCTGCGTATGTGTGTATGCAAGTTGAACTTCTTTCGAAACCGTACGTAGCCAACCGTGCTTATCGGAGGTGCGGGGCAAAGGGCAACAAACTAAACACAAAAAGAAAGTTCAAAAGAAAGTTTCCAATCTAGATTGATTGACCATCTCTCTCTCTCTCAAGCTATAAAATAAACAACGTCCATAGTTTCTGAGAGATGATGCGATTGCGAATCCACATCGTGTTGCATTGTATTATATCGTATCGTATCATCTGTCACGGTGCCACCTGGCCGGATAGCGACGACTCGCGCAGAAATTAAACCCTTTCCTCTCTGCCACAGGGTCCGCCAGGATACCCGGGAGAAAAAGGAGAGCAGGGGCCGCAGGTCGGTCTGCCGTGTGTGACTCAAAGGGTTTGCTTGCTATCTTCCCAGGACAGTAATAGTCATTGCAGTGATTGTAGGCGATCGCTGCTCGATGGATGAGAAATGCTCCTTCAGGAGAGCCGTGGGGAGCGCCGCCGCCCTCTCCTGCCACGACAGCAGCTGTCAAGAGCATTGCTCAGTGACGGTCGCTGCCTTCACAGGGCTGTAATCGCACAGGGCTTTGTCACTTGCGGGACAATACGTCGCTCGACTTGATGCTTTCGTGTGGCGTTCTCCCCTGGTGTTGTGGGATACCCTTCTTCTCCCCCCTCCCCCCTTCATGATGCGTCCCTTACTTGTACCTAGGAGGTGGCAACTATGCTTGTCACGTGTAAGCTCAGACAGGTTAAGGCCACGATAGGATTTAGGACTCTGTGACGGCAATCGCCACGTGCTTCGCCGACTTAACCCAAACGGAGCGGGAAACGCTGGCCGTGTGTGTCCAGGCAAAGAATTGCACACGGTGCATTTACTGGAATTTTTTTTTGCTTTTTAAGCCGAAGCTACAAGAAGATATAGGGATTAAACGTCCATAAGTTTGTCAGTTGTGTCACAATAAATAATTCAAATGTATAATGCGCATTCCATCCCAGGATCCCAATGCGCAATGCATGAAAAGCAGTGAAACAAAAACAGAAGCGAAGGCCGCTTTCAAGAGATGGGTTTTCAAAACTGACTTAAATCTATCGACTGACTCCGATTTCCTGATTTCAAGTGGCAAGGCGTTCCATAGCTTGGGTGCCATGCTAACAAAAGCCCGATCGCTGGACAATTGGAGGTCAGAAGATTTTAAGGACCTTGATGGAATATATGCATGTATTAGTTCCTGCAAGTGATGTGAGGGGAGCCCTTTTAAAGCCTTATAGGTTAATAGCAGCATACTGTAAGAGGACTGGTATAATGTTCTCACGGGATGGTGTACATAGTGTAAGCACTCTAGCAGCTGCATTAAGAACAAGCTGGAGTCTGCCCAGTACTTTGCTTGGAATCCCAACCAGTGTGGAGTTGCAGTAGTGGAGTCGAGATTACACAATGGACCAGTCTCTCAAAGTCAGCAGGTAACAGGAAGGGATGCTTTCTCCCAATATTTCTTCGGTGGAAAAAGGAAATTGTAACCACCCTGGATATGTGTGCCTCAAAGGCGACGAATTTATCTTGGAGTTCCTCCTCTCATCTGGGATTCATCTTCTTCTTCTGTCCATGATATGATACTGGTGTTGTTGAGCCTCAGAATGTGCCTACCCTGTCTGTCCCCTGTGTGACGCTCGCCTCGTGCCTTGCCAGGGCCCGCCCGGCAACCCCGGGGCCTCTGTGGATGGGGGGTTTGTGGTCGTTGAGAAAGGGGCAAGAGGCGACAGGGTGAGTCCACTCTGCGGGCACATGTACAAGTGGATCGTGCATGTTAAAGATCCCGTGACGCTACTCGCAAAAAAATAGGCCCGCTTTAGTATTGTCATATTCCCTTATTTAAGACATTTCCCTAATTAAAAAAAAAAACTTGTCGTACAAATTTCCCAATTGGGAAAAACATCACAATCGTTGCCGCCGCTACAATGTCCTCAAAAACGTAGCGCCTTCACCACACAAAGCCTATGAGAATCACGCGAATACCGAATGTGTGAATGATTTGACGGTGATTATCACGTGACGATGATGTTCGTGGTGGTGGTGGTGATGTCGCTGCTGGTGCTCGCTCGTGATTTCAGGGCTTCTCTGGGCGGGACGGCATTCCCGGCTCACCGGGGCAGCCCGGACAGCCTGGCCAGCCCGGTCCCCGGGGCCCTCCCGTAAGTGCAGCCTCACTCGCCCTCGCCACCGCTGCCCATGCTGACGAGCCGGGGAAGCCAAGCACGGTGCTGCGGAGGCGCTGCAGGGCGCGACGCCGCCCAACACAATCGATGTCGCAGGCTGAGCAGGAGTTTGAGCCGGCTTCCGTGCAATAATTGGGTGGGAGAGTTGGGAATGTCGATGCTCGCTCACAACGCCTAACCCTGCAGTTGAAGAGGCTCAATGAATAATCTTTGTCTTTGTCCTTTTTTCAGGGCCTTGAAGGCTTAACGGGACCCCCAGGACAGCCTGTAAGTAAATCAGCATTCAATTCACGACACAGAACACCTATAGCATGTGGATATCTATTTATAGCCGGCCGTGCTAATTGCACCTCTGATTAGCACAGTTGGCTACATACGGCACGAAAGAGTTTCAACATACAAATTAAAACTGTACATGAGCACATTTGCCATTTATTTCACGTCAGCTGTTTATTCATCGTTCTGTGCTCCTCGTATGAGTATTTTAGTGGATGTTTTGGTTTACTTTCTGGCGTTACTTCTTCACATGTTTAATACGTTTTTGTAAACCCTACTGAGGCACCATTAAAATATTTACGGACATGCAAAGGTTCGCCGAATCATAGATGCAAATCTACGACCGTGCTCGTGATTATATGCCGATGCACGCAGGAAACTATGATTTAAACAAAGTACATGCACTTCGTAACAATTTACTTGTTTCATCCACTTTGCCTGCCTACTCTTTGCAAAATCCTTGGAGGCTTATCCGGTTTTTTGTTTCTTTTCACAGATACTTTTCAATTGTTATTTGGCTTTATGCTGTAACAGAATTTTCGTACCTTGCAACTTTCAGTAGCCCCATAGCTCTGATGACGTCTCTTATCCCTTCATCAAACCTGCTCTGGGGCTCTCCTTGGTAATCCGTGATTTGCTGATGAGTCCTTTTGAAGGACAAAATGCATCCATGTCACACCTTGCTGTGTCTTTCTTGAAGGCCGAACGGGCAAAAGATTGGTCGCAATTATGTCAGCCGATTATTACTTTTTTATATATATAATAGTTATGACAATTATTGAATAATAGTAATAATATCAGCAACAATAATGTTGCAAAAATAATTGTAAAATGGGCTTGTGTGCAGGTGCGGTGTGGAGTGATACATCACGGAGATTGTGAGAGATGGTGGCATCACCTTCGTGGGGGTGGGGGCTGGCCTTCATCCAGCAGTAGGTTGAGCATGGCTGATCATGATGATGCTGATGAAGTCTGTAATTCTCTGCATTGGAAACGTGTCTCTCCGTGTTCCTGCAGGGGTTCCCCGGGAGAGATGGTGCCCCTGGGATGAGAGGCGACAGGGTACGTCGCCTGCACCTCGTCACAGAACCGCCGCGGTCGGCGATTAGCAGAGCGCACGCAGGGTGGGCCCCTGCAAGCGGCCAGCAGGCGTGGCGCTAGGGGGCGGCCTGGTGGTCACGTGGAGCTGGGGTTGGTGGATCACGTAGAGATGGAGAACGTCGCGGGGAGCGAGGCGCCCACCGGTTGGGAAATGAGGTGGTGCCGGCAAGAGGCAGGAGGGCAAGTAGGTTACCGGGAGACTTTCGGCTGTGGTGTGAGTTTTCTGCCCACCATGGGTGTGAGGGGGGTTATTTTCTTGGGTTTGTTAAAAATCAGATTTAGCGGTAGCCACGTGAACTAAACTGTAAACATCCAGCGACCAGCTTGCCGCATATGAAGATCAATAAGCATGACATCGTTACCTTTAAAGCTGAGACACGAAGGCAACTGCCGTCGTGCAATGGTGAGCCCACTGGACTTGCAATCGAGAGGTCGCCGGTTCGATTCCCCCTCCTGGTGCGGTGTTGTATTAGCAGGCTTTGTCGCTAAACGCGAGGTATTTTTTGTTTTTTGTTTTCAGGGGGATCCCGGTTACATCACGGACGGTCTCGGGTTGCCTGGACAGCCCGGGGAGCGTGGGAGATCGGTAAGAAACACGACTGCCTGTGAACAAATTACCCAGAATACACCCAATCTCATCAGACCTCCGTAAATAAGCCGGGTTGAGCCCTGGATAATGCTCAGATGGGCGATCACCGCGCATACAACATGTGTTGAAGGCTGCTACCGATGTTCGCACACTGCACCGGTTGCTCATTTCAGGCTGAGTCGGCCTAGGAGACGCCCGGGACCGGGTTCAGATAGTCATCACCGGTGTGTTGATGGCCGTGAGCGTAAATCGAACTCGAGTCGCTGGGGTTCGTCGCGCGGCTCATCCGCTGGGTCTCCACGCTGCGTCCAACCGTCACCAAGCACCGGTTAGGTGCGATCCCAGAATTGGCGCTCGTGGTTTTCGTTGGATTCAGTGGAATTTTTTGTTCACCTGTTTGTTTTCCCAGTGCTATGTACAGTGAGGGAAAAAAGTATTTGATCCCCTGCTGATTTTGTACGTTTGCCCACTGACAAAGAAATGACCAGTCTATTATTTTAATGGTAGGTTCATTTGAACAGTGAGAGACAGAATAACAACAAGAAAATCCAGAAAAACGCATTTCAAAAAGGTTATAAATTGATTTGCATTTTAATGAGGGAAATAAATATTTGACCCCCTCTCAATTAGAAAGATTTCTGGCTCCCAGGTGTCTTTTATACAGGTAATGAGCTGAGATTAGTAGCACACTCTTAAAGGGAGTGCTCCTATTCTCAGATTGTTACCTGTATAAAAGACACCTGTCCACAGAAGCAATCAATCAATCAGATTCCAAACTCTCCACCATGGCCAAGACCAAAGAGCTCTCCAAGGATGTCAGGGACAAGATTGTAGACCTACACAAGGCTGGAATGGGCTACAAGACCATTGCCAAGCAGCTTGGTGAGAAGGTGACAACAGTTGGTGCGATTATTCGCAAATGGAAGAAACACAAAATAACTGTCAATCTCCCTCGGCCTGGGGCTCCATGCAAGATCTAACCTCGTGGAGTTGCAATGATCATGAGAACGGTGAGGAATCAGCCCAGAACTACACGGGAGGATCTTGTCAATGATCTCAAGGCAGCTGGGACCATAGTCACCAAGAAAACAATTGGTAACACACTACGCCGTGAAGGACTGAAATCCTGCAGCGCCCGCGAGGTCCCACTGCTCAAGAAAGCACATATACATGCTCGTCTGAAATTTTCCAATGAACATCTGAATGATTCAGAGGACAACTGGATGAAAGTGTTGTGGTCAGATGAGACCAAAATGGAGCTCTTTGGCATCAACTCAACTCGCCGTGTTTGGAGGAGGAATGCTGCCTATGACCCCAAGAACACCATCGCCACCGTCAAACATGGAGGTGGAAACATTATGCTTTGGGGGTGTTTTCCTGCTAAGGGGACAGGACAACTTCACCGCATCAAAGGGACGATGGACGGGGCCATGTACTGTCTTGGGTGAGAACATCCTTCCCTCAGCCAGGGCATTGAAAATGGGTTGTGGATGGGTATTCCAGCATGACAATGACCCAAAAACACACAGCCAAGGCAACAAAGGAGTGGCTCAAGAAGAAGCACATTAAGGTCCTGGAGTGGCCTAGCCAGTCTCCAGACCTTAATCCCATAGAAAATCTGTGGAGGGAGCTGAAGGTTTGAGTTGCCAAACGTCAGCCTCGAAACCTTAATGACTTGGAGAAGATCTGCAAAGAGGAGTGGGACAAAATCCCTCCTGAGCTGTGTGCAAACCTGGTGGCCAACTACAAGAAACGTCTGACCTCTGTGATTGCCAACAAGGGTGTTGCCACCAAGTACTAAGTCATGTTTTGCAGAGGGGTCAAATACTTATTTCCCTCATTAAAATGCAAATAAATTTATAACATTTTTGACATGCGTTTTTCTGGATTTTCTTGTTGTTATTCTGTCTCTCACTGTTCAAATAAACCTACCACTAAAATTATAGACTGATCATTTCTTTGTCAGTGGGCAAACGTACAAAATCAGCAGGGGATCAAATACTTTTTTCCCTCACTGTAAATACCTGGTGTATATATGTGTAAATTATATATGGAAAAAACCGTAGAAATAACAATTACGATCTATAAATTGGCTACATTTGGTCTTACAGATATAATGAGGTTTTGTTGAGGGAACGGATGCACAAAAGTAACACAGCCCCAATTTTTAGGGTAAAGATTTGTATTTACAGGCCACTTATATCCCTCAGCCACTCCAATGCCCCTGCTGCAGTCTTAGCCAAAGGGGATCCCAGTGGCAGCTGTCCCTACGTGGTGGTACAAGCTGCACACAGCACTGGCCTGCAAGTGGGCCCCCGTATTTTGAGGACGCACTTCAGGAGAACATTGTCCTCCAGTCTACCATTGCGATGCCGAGATTGTTTCTAATCTTCTGTCTCTCAGGGTCTCCCAGGGATGATGGGGCCCAAGGGTTTTGCGGGCGACATGGGTCCTCGCGGACGCCCAGGGTTGCCCGGACATCCCGGCATTGCCATCAAGGTGAGGCCTAGAACCCCTCATTCCTCCTTCCACTTTACAGTTCCTCTTGCCAAGGTGAGGCCTACAACCCCTCATTCCTCTTCCACTTTACAGGTCCTCTTGCCAAGGTGAGGCCTACAACCCCTCATTCCTCCTTCCACTTTACAGGTCCTCTTGCCAAGGTGAGGCCTACAACCCCTCATTCCTCCTTCCACTTTACAGGTCCTCTTAACAAGGTGAGGCCTACAACCCCTCATTCCTCCTTCCACTTTACAGGTCCTCTTGCCAAGGTGAGGCCTACAACCCCTAAGTCCTCCTTCCACTTTACAGGTCCTCTTGCCAAGGTGAGCCCTACAACCCCTCATTCCTCCTTCCACTTTACAGTTCCTCTTGCCAAGGTGAGGCCTACAACCCCTCATTCCTCTTCCACTTTACAGGTCCTCTTGCCAAGGTGAGGCCTACAACCCCTCATTCCTCTTCCACTTTACAGGTCCTCTTGCCAAGGTGAGGCCTACAACCCCTCATTCCTCCTTCCACTTTACAGGTCCTCTTAACAAGGTGAGGCCTACAACCCCTCATTCCTCCTTCCACTTTACAGGTCCTCTTGCCAAGGTGAGGCCTACAACCCCTAAGTCCTCCTTCCACTTTACAGGTCCTCTTGCCAAGGTGAGCCCTACAACCCCTCATTCCTCCTTCCACTTTACAGTTCCTCTTGCCAAGGTGAGGCCTACAACCCCTCATTCCTCTTCCACTTTACAGGTCCTCTTGCCAAGGTGAGGCCTACAACCCCTCATTCCTCCTTCCACTTTACAGGTCCTCTTGCCAAGGTGAGGCCTACAACCCCTAAGTCCTCCTTCCACTTTACAGGTCCTCTTGCCAAGGTGAGGCCTACAACCCCTCATTCCTCCTTCCACTTTACAGGTCCTCTTGCCACTTTTCCCCGTCCCTCCTTCTACCGTATGCCTCCTCCCATTTCTCCGTGAGCTCCGCACTTCCTGTGGAGCATTATGGGTGATAAAATCCACATGGTAGGAAACGTTACATATTTTACTTTCTGCGAGTCAATCTGTCAGTCACAAGACTCAGTCGAGTAATTTCCACTAGACAGAGTTGATTGAGGGTTCATTCCGACCATAAGGAAGAAGACCCCAATGGCATTGAGATATGCACATTATGAGCTATGTACAACCTCTGACCTTTGACCTGGATATAAACCACACACAACTGAAGTTGTTCATGATGCTAATATTATGGGGATTTTAAATATAAAAAATTTATCCACCACTTTCCTATTTATTTTGAGTGGACGGTTGGAAATAGTTTTGTAAAATTAGTAAAAATGTGGGATGTGTAAGGGTCAAATTGAGTCCTTGGAGGGGGGAGACTTAAACCTTGGAACATTCCTTGGATATGCTTGAAATCTGTCAACTGCATGATGATGCTGGTTGTGACTACCAGCGAAACTTTAAATGTTGTAAGATTGCTGTCCAGCACAAGGGTAGTGCTGAAACCGCAGGAGCAATAAACTGGCACGTGTGTTCATCATGTGACAAATTTATGAACTGGTTGTGTCGGATGGAGGAGGGTATACGACGCAACATTTTACTCACGCAATCTGACACAGCATTCAATTGTGAATCAGAATATTGGTCGCGAAGGCCTTGCTCGACGTTATATTTTTTTCGTGGACATTTAAAAAAATATATAAATATGCGGAAAAAAGTCCGTCTCTTTAACGTTCAATTTCACCTGGCTCGGCAGGTGAAACAGTGGAGGCAAAATTCTCAAATCATCTCCTCCTCATCCTCCTCCTCCACTGCCGCCTCTGCCTTGTGATGTTGTTTACACACTGATCCGTCTCTCTCTCTCTCTCTCCTGTGTTAATTTGTCTCTGCGTGCGGCGACTGCAGGGAGACAAGGGAGAACGTGGAATTCGAGTGAGTGAACTCGTTAATTGATTTACCTTTTTCTCTTTTCATAAATCACGAGGCCCAAAGGCACAAAATGCCGAACGGCCAGCAACAGACAGCACGATTGTAGGTGTAATGGATAACGGTGTCAAGTTTTTTGTTGAACTGAACATGGTTATTGTATTGTCAGAGCCGTATTATTATAATAAGAAGAAAGAGATGATGGGAGGGAATTCCGAAGTGGGACAGTGCGAGGGAAGAAGCAGAAAGAGCTGTGAGGTGACATGCGGTGTGGTGAGTGGGTGAGAAGGTGAGTGTTGTTGTGATCTGTAGTGTGGTGAGTGGGAGCGGGGGTGGGTGAGTGGGTGGGTGTGTTGTAATCTGCAGTGTGGTAAATGCGTGGGTGAGTGTTGTTGTGATCTGCAGTGTGATGAGTGGGTGGGTGAGTGTTATTGTGATCTGCAGTGTGATGAGTGGGTGGGTGGGTGTTGTTGTGATCTGTAGTGTGATGAGTGGGTGGGTGGGTGAGTGTTGTTGTGATCTGTAGTGTGATGAGTGGGTTGGTGGGTGAGTGTTGTTGTGATCTGTAGTGTGATGAGTAGGTGGGTGGGTGAGTGTTGTTGTGATCTGCAGTGTGGTGAGTGGGTGGGTGAGTGTTGTTGTGATCTGTAGTGTGATGAGTGGGTGGGTGGGTGAGTGTTGTTGTGATCTGCAGTGTGATGAGTGGGTGGGTGGGTGAGTGTTGTTGTGATCTGTAGTGTGATGAGTGGGTGGGTGGGTGAGTGTTGTTGTGATCTGTAGTGTGATGAGTGGGTGGGTGGGTGAGTGTTGTTGTGATCTGCAGTGTGATGGGTGGGTGGGTGGGTGAGTGTTGTTGTGATCTGCAGTGTGATGAGTGGGTGGGTGGGTGAGTGTTGTTGTGATCTGCAGTGTGATGAGTGGGTGGGTGGGTGAGTGTTGTTGTGATCTGCAGTGTGATGAGTCGGTGGGTGGGTGAGTGTTGTTGTGATCTGCAGTGTGATGAGTGGGTGGGTGGGTGAGTGTTGTTGTGATCTGTAGTGTGATGAGTGGGTGGGTGGGTGAGTGTTGTTGTGATCTGCAGTGTGATGAGTGGGTGGGTGAGTGTTGTTGTGATTTGTAGTGTGATGAGTAGGTGGGTGGGTGAGTGTTGTTGTGATCTGCAGTGTGATGAGTAGGTGGGTGGGTGTTGTTGTGATCTGTAGTGTGATGAGTGGGTGGGTGGGTGAGTGTTGTTGTGATCTGGAGTGTGATGAGTGGGTGGGTGGGTGTTGTTGTGATCTGTAGTGTGATGAGTGGGTGGGTGGGTGAGTGTTGTTGTGATCTGGAGTGTGATGAGTGGGTGGGTGGGTGTTGTTGTGATCTGCAGTGTGATGAGTGGGTGGGTGGGTGTTGTTGTGATCTGTAGTGTGATGAGTAGGTGGGTGAGTGTTGTTGTGATCTGTAGTGTGATGAGTGGGTGGGTGGGTGTTGTTGTGATCTGTAGTGTGATGAGTAGGTGGGTGGGTGAGTGTTGTTGTGATCTGCAGTGTGATGAGTGGGTGGGTGGGTGAGTGTTGTTGTGATCTGCAGTGTGGTGAGTGGGTGGGTGGGTGAGTGTTGTTGTGATCTGTAGTGTGATGAGTAGGTGGGTGAGTGTTGTTGTGATCTGCAGTGTGATGAGTAGGTGGGTGGGTGAGTGTTGTTGGGATCTGCATTGTGATGAGTGGGTGGGTGAGTGTTGTTGTGATCTGTAGTGTGATGGGTGGGTGGGTGAGTGTGGTTGTGATCTGCAGTGTGATGGGTGGGTGGGTGGGTGAGTGTTGTTGTGATGTGTAGTGTGATGAGTGGGTGGGTGGGTGGGTGAGTGTTGTTGTGATCTGGAGTGTGATGAGTGGGTGGGTGAGTGTTGTTGTGATCTGTAATGTGATGGGTGGGTGGGTGAGTGTTGTTGTGATCTGCAGTGTGATGAGTGGGTGGGTGGGTGAGTGTTGTTGTGATCTGCAGTGTGATGAGTGGGTGGGTGGGTGTTGTTGTGATCTGTAGTGTGATGAGTGGGTGGGTGGGTGTTGTTGTGATCTGTAGTGTGATGAGTAGGTGGGTGGGTGAGTGTCGTTGTGATCTGCAGTGTGGTGAGTGGGTGGGTGAGTGTTGTTGTGATCTGCAGTGTGGTGAGTGGGTGGGTGAGTGTGGTTGTGATCTGCAGTGTGATGGGTGGGTGGGTGGGTGAGTGTTGTTGTGATCTGTAGTGTGATGAGTGGGTGGGTGGGTGTTGTTGTGATCTGCAGTGTGATGAGTTGGTGGGTGGGTGAGTGTTGTTGTGATCTGGAGTCTGATGAGTGGGTGGGTGAGTGTTGTTGTGATCTGTAATGTGATGGGTGGGTGGGTGAGTGTTGTTGTGATCTGCAGTGTGGTGAGTGGGTGGGTGAGTGTTGTTGTGATCTGTAGTGTGATGAGTGGGTGGGTGGGTGTTTTTGTGATCTGCAGTGTGATGAGTGGGTGGGTGGGTGAGTGTTGTTGTGATCTGTAGTGTGATGAGTGGGTGGGTGGGTGAGTGTTGTTGTGATCTGCAGTGTGATGAGTGGGTGGGTGGGTGAGTGTTGTTGTGATCTGCAGTGTGATGAGTGGGTGGGTGTGTGTGTGTTGTTTTTACCTGCGATGGATGTCGTACTCTTTGGTTTTATTCGGTAAAGTCACGTAGATAAAATAAAACAAAACAATTAAATAACGACGTTTCAGAGGCAACACAAGCTTCCGCCTTCAGGTGGAAGCTTGTGTTGCCTCCGAAACGTCGTGATTTAATTGTTTTATTTTGTTTTATTTTATCTACGTGACTTTACCGAATAAAACCAAAGAGTATGAATCCTTGCAGTCACGAAAGCTTCAAATCTAGAATGGATGTCGTAGTTGAACATTATGGATGAGTATTCACACATACTGTACTGTATACATAATATTCTACAGCACTTAGAACATTATATAAAATAGCTTTTTAAACATTGACAAAGCAAACAAATTGTGATCAAATATTACGGCCATTGGTTGATTCACTTCAATATCAATTAATGAATGCGTGAAAAAATACTTAATGATTACTTGGTCCAAATTTTTGAGATATTGAGGTGTTAATGCATCAGCTTGTCTCCTGTGCGGCTTAGAGTCGATAAATTCACGGAGTCACCAACGAGCCTCAATGCAGTCGTGACGTTGTGTGTCTTCTGTGTCAGGGAGTTTCAGGGTCCGGTGGAGGAGAGGCACAGAGAGGAGAACCTGGAGATACGGTGAGTAGGCGGGAGGGTGAGTTAGTAACTGAGTGAGTGGGAGGGTGAGTTAGTAACTGAGTGAGTGGATGAGTGAGAGAGTGAGTGGGAGGGTGAGTTAGTAACTGAGTGAGTGGGAGGGTGAGAGAGTGAGTGGGAGGGTGAGTTAGTAATTGAGTAAGTTGGTGGGAGAGTTAGTGGGAGGGTGAGTTAGTAACTGAGTGAGTGGATGAGTGAGAGAGTGAGTGGGAGCGTGAGTTAGTAACTGAGTGAGTGGGTGAGTGAGAGAGTGAGTTAGTAATTGAGTAAGTTGGTGGGAGAGTGAGTGGGAGGGTGAGTTAGTAATTTAATAAGTGGGTGGGAGAGTGAGTGGGAGGGTGAGTTAGTAACTGAGTGAGTGGATGAGTGAGAGAGTGAGTGGGAGGGTGAGTTAGTAACTGAGTGAGTGGGAGGGTGAGAGAGTGAGTGGGAGGGTGAGTTAGTAATTGAGTAAGTTGGTGGGAGAGTTAGTGGGAGGGTGAGTTAGTAACTGAGTGAGTGGATGAGTGAGAGAGTGAGTGGGAGCGTGAGTTAGTAACTGAGTGAGTGGGTGAGTGAGAGAGTGAGTTAGTAATTTAATAAGTGGGTGGGAGAGTGAGTGGGAGGGTGAGTTAGTAACTGAGTGAGTGGATGAGTGAGAGAGTGAGTGGGAGGGTGAGTTAGTAACTGAGTGAGTGGGTGAGTGAGAGAGTGAGTGGGAGGGTGACTTAGTAATTGAGTAAGTTGGTGGGAGAGTGAGTGGGAGGGTGAGTTCGTAATTTAGTAAATGGGTGGGTGAGTGAGTGGGAGGGTACGTTAGTAATTAAGCGAGTGGGTGAGTGAGAGAGTGAGTGGGAGGGTGAGTAAGTAACTGAGCGAGTGGGTGAGTGAGAGAGTGAGTGGGAGGGTGACTTAGTAATTGAGTAAGTTGGTGGGAGAGTGAGTGGGAGGGTGAGTTAGTAATTGAGTAAGTGGGTGGGAGAGTGAGTGGGAGGGTGAGTTAGTAACTTAGTGAGTGGGTGAGTGAGAGAGTGAGTGGGAGGGTGAGTTAGTAATTGAGTAGGTTGGTAGGGGAGTGAGTGGGAGGGTGAGTTAGTAATTGAGTAAATGGGTGGGTGAGTGAGTGGGAGGGTAAGTTAGTAATTAACTGAGTGGGTGGGTCGATGGACGTGCAAGTGAGCAAGTGATTGAGCAACTGAGCGAGTGAGTGATTAGATGAGCGACCGAGCGGGTGGGTGAGTTTGTTGACGAGGTGTGTTCTCATTGCAGGGATTGCAAGGCCCGATGGGCCCTCGGGGCCCAGCCGGGGATCCTGGGCCACCAGGACCTAGGGGCGAGAGGGTGAGTGTCCACCATCGAGGTCGATTTACAACCCTGAGCTAGCAGTTGAAATTCCATGTTATCATGGCGGGGGGCATTAATTCCACCATACAACCTGTTCATCACCAAATAACGCTCACGAACACACCGTTATTTTTCTTCCCCGCTGACCATGTGCTTTTGCCCATATGCAGGGCGACTCGATACGCGGCAAAGCCGGGCAATCGGGGAAGCCGGGGACTCCGGGAGACCAGGTAATCGTTGTGGATGCCACCTTCAGCTGAATCCCACTGTCGCATCCGCCTGGGAATCGCACCCAGTTTGTCCCGAGGTTCTGTATGCCGGGTTTGTTGGCACACATGTGCGGTACGGTGCTCTGTGTATTTCGAGTCTGCGCGCTCTCTCTCTCTCTCCGGGCCCTCCAGGGCTTCCCTCCACATTTAGAATGGACGTCATGCGTTCAGAGTATTTCGCTGCTATACATTTCTACATTGCGATAAGCCACTTCGTTGACCTCTCGTTTGTGGCCAGGTCGCTTCTGAAAAAAATTGCTATTTAGCTCAGTGAGATTTACCTGGTAGAATACAAAAAAATTGTTCAATCGTTTAGTTCAGTGGTTCTTAACCTGGGGTGCGCGCACCCCCAGGGGGTGCAGGATGCCCTTTCTGGGAGCGCGAGACATGGCCAGATTTTTTTGGAAGGTCAATCATCGAAACACTAATTAAGCACGGACACATAAGTACAACTCATTTGTATCATCAAACCCCGATGTATTTATTAACATAAAACATTTTTTGATGGATAGAAAATCAAAAGGGCTGCAAGGCTGCAGTGAAGGTTAAGAACCGCTGTGTTTAGTTTAATAGTTTATACGTGCGGACTTTTTTTTTTGCTGGTGCGCGAGCTTCCTCCCGCATGCAAAAACAATCAATGGTGGAAGTGGCGAACTATTGCACCACTGCCGCTCGTCCCGCGACGCGACTCCCCGTCGCACAACCCGGGATAACATCGTGAGGGACGGACGGATTTGAAATAACGCCGGAGCAATGTCTGTGTGCACGTGCGCTGAACTTCTTTCGCGCCGTGCGTAGCCAACCGACCAACGTGTGCTGTGTTTCGCAGGGGGAGAGGGGCTCCTCTGGAGAGACGGGCTTGCCCGTAAGTACACCCACACGGCACTGTCGGTCGGATGAATCGCAACCAGTGTCTGGTTAATTGTCCTGGAGAAATCCGATGAGCTTATGAGGCTCTCTTTGGGGTTAGATCGCGTAAATGTATAAATGTGTCGTTAAAACCCGCCACCACCCGACACAGCCAACTAGTAAGGGTTGTCACGTAAACAGAACGTGCCAATTTTTCACAGATGTCCAGTAGGAGCACGGGGACAGTAAGTTACAACAACAAACAATACAAAACAACGATAGGAGTGCAAAGTATAGGGACGGTAAACAAATCACAAAAAAAATTAATACGTAGAATAGATGAAGTTAAAATTGCATAAGTCCACCAATTCCCAAGCTTGGTCAAAGGCAGCAAAACAACAGCTAGAACAGTTTGAGACCACACCGGGACAAGCACACCGACGTTGTCAGGTTGGCTCAGTGGGATAAATACCACATCGGAGCAAGAGCGCTGTGAGCTCGGCAAACCAGGGGCGGTGAAACCAGATTTCAGCCGCCGGAGACTGAACCTGGCTTCCCGAGTGCAGCGAGCGAGCGAGCGAGTGAGCGAGCGGTTTGCCACCAGGCCCTCATCCAGACGTAGAGTGACAACGAGAACCGTTTGCGTTCGTGGTGCGGACCAACGTCGCTTACGGGGCAACCATCGCCGACTTGCCACGAAGTGGTGGTTTTTTTCTTTAAAAAAGCAACGGCCGTGGAGGGACGATGGGCTGAGTTGTTGAGCCTCAAGCCGGCGTTCCAATTCGGGAACCTTCCGCCGGCAGCAAAGTTGGTAGCTCTGACCGCAGCACCTCTCCCGGCCGGACGCCGAACCCACGGGGCTCGTGAAACGCCGGTCACGCGAGGTGCGTCGGTGGAAGCGATGGGCAGCCGTGGGTAGCCGTCGTCGTCGTGGCTTCTCGGCCTTTTGCTGCGCTCCCATTGGCCGCGCCGCTTGAACTCGCGGTCGGGGAGCAAGACGAGAGCGTGAGGCTGTTAAGGGGGGCGTCGTCCACGCAGACCGCTGGCCCAAAACGTCTGCCTCGATTTTAGCTGTTCTTGCGTCGCGTTTTTCGCGGTTCGCGTGCGCAGTATTCCCTCGTTAATCTCGAGGGGCACGCTCCGGAGATGCTCGTGAATGGCAAATTTCGCGGATAATGATATTGGCCTATGAAAATGAATTCCACAAATAAAGACATAATTAAGCTATTAGATACATTTAAATTATCATAATACAAAAAATTGAATTGGCTATAATAAAAAAAAGTAAATAAACATTAATGTCTTAAATAATAGTTTACAAATTAACTTACCTTAAGTTATGATGCTGCTAATTATCACTTTATCTTTCTCTCTTGATGCAGTCGTGTAGAGTTCCAGATGCAATTTGCGGATATCCAAAATCCCAGATAGCAAGTTCGCGAAGAAGGAGGGAATACTGAACTTGTTTATGACACAGTCGATATTGGTGTGTTGTGTAAATACTCTCTGTGCATTTGTGGACAGGGCGACAGAGGGGTTCCGGGAAAACCAGGAACCAAGGGAGAGGCGGTAAGGCATTGACAACACAATAGCAGTACTGCAGTAGTCGTAGTTATAATGATGATGATGATAAAACACAAGTGGGTGGGATAGTGAGTGGGAGGGAGAGTTAGTAATTGAGTAAGTGGATGGATGGGTCGATGGATGGGCAAGTGAGCGAGTGAATGAGTTGGAGAGTAAGTGAATAAGCGCGCAGGAGAGTGAGTGGGAGCGTAGATCTTGGCAAAATTAAAATTTAAAAGTAAAATATGACTGCATTCACAGTGGTGCACAAATAACGAAAACGCAACACGTTCGTCAATAACACTGTGGCCCGCAAGTAACAAAATGGCCCTACCCTGCGTAGCACATAGCCCTCTCTTGGCAGTGTCATTAAGCGACGTTTCTACGACCACGAGAATGCCGACGCAAGCCGTGCTGGACTATCGCAAGAAAGGCCACGACAAGCTCACCGCTTGGCCCCAGTGCTTTCCAGAGCCACGTGTCTCCTGTGGGCTTTGCCCCTCCAATTCCGCACCTCCCCACCTAGCGTTAAACGCTCTGAGGTCAATCGGCGGCTTTTCCGTACTTAATCAAATACTACTGGGAGACACCGTTGGCAGCATTTGTCAAGCAGGGAAACTCTGCGCTGGCTTTGACCTTATATAGTGTCGTCAGCAGAGCGTGCCCCGTTTGCCAGGCGACACCTTGTGACGTTACACGAGCCACACACTGGCTGTGGGACTGAAGAATATGGCTCTTTAAAGCAGCGCTACTCAACCTGTGGGGCGTTCCCTCCAGGGCTGGTGGGTGGTGGGGGGGCAGTGGGAGGTAGCCGTGAAATCGTCACAGGGTGAGGCACAGGCTGCCGCGTGGCTACCGTGCAGGAGTAACGTTGCACGAGCGACGTTGCGGCGACAAAAACAAAACACGCCAATCACTCTCTCTCTCTCGCTCTAGCGAATGGCAAGTGTGTGTGCAAATCACACGTCCAACTTTAAGTCTGCGAGCCACGCGATAGCTTCGGGAGTGGCGCGACTAATACTGCTCAGTCCGCCGGAGAGGAAGCGTAGGATGCGGTTGTTCGCGATGTGGTCCATCGCGTGGTTCGGGTGGCCGCAGTCGCACTGTGGGTTGTCTTTAATTCTCCACTTGCAGAGGAGGTGTGCGCAAAAAAACAAACAAACAAACAAACGCCAATATGCAACAAGAAATGCCTCACCAACACCGCTTAGAGGTGTGGAGGGGTCTTCACTCTGCATCGTGGCCTGAGTAGCCTTCGTTGTGTTTTTGGGTGGGAGGGTGTTGGGTACCGGTAGTCTTGATCGAGGGAGAGCGGGGGGGGGAGCTGGGGGGCACCATCCCAGAAGGGATGAGAACCGCTCACTGCCTTAAACGAACACTGTGATGGAACAGGCCCTTCACTCATTCATCAATTCTCTCGCGTGCTTTGTGTTGCAGGGCGAGAGAGGATCGAGCGGCTACCCAGGCCCAAATGTAAGGAGCTCAGGGGCCGCGTGCACGCCCACACGCACGCACGCTGCTCACAGTTCCATCTCACGCGACCGTTGGATCGTGTTGTTGAGTTCCGTTCCCCGCAGCGTCTCGCAGAGCCCCAGTCAACGCTGTGCACATTGACGCTCCCCATACGTTTTGTCTTCACGCAGGGAAGCCCGGGGGCATCAGGAACGCCAGGGCTGCAGGGCGTGCCGGTGAGTGGCTTCAGCGACTGCTCCTCACTGCTCCGACCTCCTCCTCCTCCTCGATGCCATCCCCATGCACGAGGGTCTTACTCCCTCGTGCATTTTCTGCCACCAGCTTCCATCTTCTGCAGTTCCCTTACAAACGCACTCCCCCATCGCTTCCCCTCGCCACGAACGTGCCTTCCCTCCCCCCTCCGCACCTCCGATTGGCACGGTTAGCTGCGTGCGGTGCGAAAGAAGGTCAACGTACGTACGTACTTCACACCCGTCGGGGGGAGGCCGTGAGGATTCAGCGGTTCGCTGTGGGGCCCGCACACCCTTCACTCCCACGGCGCGCACCTGCACATTGTACACACACGGCATGTGGTGACGCTGCCCCGCTGCGTTGGCAATGGTGCACGAGCGCAAGTTTCAACAAAAACATTATAGAGATAACAAATCCCAACACATTCGTCGATAACACCGTGGCCGTAATAAGGAAGAGTATCTCGCTTTGATGCTTTCGTGACTGCAGGGGTCCATACTCCGTTGGTTCTTTCGGTAAAGTCACGTAGGTAGAAAATAAAATAAATTAAATCACGACGTTTCGATTGCAACACAAGCAATCATCATCAGGTGGGAAAAGCACAGCAATATGTTTTTTCTTAGCTGAAGTGGGAGAGAGATGCCGTGGTAAGAGGTTATATCGGTAAACGTCGTGATTTAATTTATTTTATGCCTACGTGACTTTACCGAAAGAACCAAAGAGTAATGAAGAGTATACGATAGGCGATGGTCCTGGGGGCAGTGGTCCTTCTGTATCGTACTTGAATAGAGAGGCCAGACATAGAGTGGACAATCAGAGTTGGAGGCTGCACTTTACGCATTGGTGCCTGATGAGAATGGAAAATGACGCAGACAAAAGAAAGTCTCTGATACCATAGACGATATATTTCAATGACGTGCGCTTCTTGTCTCTTCCAGGGGACTGTTGGATCAATTGGCCCGAGAGGGCAAAGGGTAAGAACACATCACTATTTGTGCCACGTGATGCCTGTAAACAAGACAGCAACTGTGGACCTTCGTTGCTGTGTATTTGTACGTGCAGGCCCAGCCTTAACATTAACGGCACCCTGGGGAAGCGTATACATGTATCGCCCCTTCAAAATAAGTCTCTGCTAATTTAGCCCAAACATATGTTGTAATTTCTTGATCAATTGTGCGACCCATGTGTGTGCTATTCGGTATGTCGGGAGTGGCGGTGCGGTGGTTAAAGCGTTGAACTTCGAACCCAGCCACCCGAGTTCAGTTCCCGCTCAGGGCCGACATTGGTGACGAATAGCTGAACCGGTCTTGGGCCGCCCCTAGGAAGTCAACTCAGCTTCAAATGAGTACCTGGTGCAGTGTGTAAACATCATCACTGGAGAGACAAAGGCGGCCGGCCGTGGTGTTGGCCACCCACCCTCTCGTGTGCCGTTGCCGGCCTTCATAGGTGCTGCTCGTGAACAGCACTTGCCCCAACAGTCTGTTAAGGCTATACGGGGGATATTTGTCCTTTTGCCCACATACGTAAAATGTGTTAGAAGCGGTCCCATCCGCAGTTCTAGTAACATTTTGGCGCCCCTTTCAGCTTTGCATCCTGGGCGGCTGCCCTGACTGCCCACCGCTAAAGCTGGACCTGTGTGTGTGTGGCGTAGTGAATGCTGCATTTTTAACATCGCACTGCTGGGATTCTGGTGTCGTGTCCCCTAGGGAGATGCTGGACCCCCTGGCGGGACTCTGCCTTCGGTAGGGAGACGTGACGCGCGGTCGCGCGTTCGAGCGGACGCGTTGAGCCCATTGATCAACGTCGTCGGCCGTGATCGATCCGCTGTTTGATGAAGGCCTCCGCAAGCCGTCAATACCATCTCCTCACGGTCCTGCGACCGCGAGCAGTCCGTCTTACCAGCTGCACGCGGGCCCGATTTCGTCGCTCCATCTCCGCGGTGGAACGCGCGCTCGCCCGTCAAATAATTGACAGCGCTCGCAATGCACGATTCGACGTCGTGCGTCCAATTCCGCGATGTATACCCTGGGAAAACTTACAGCATTCTATTTTTGTTTACCCCCCGACGCGAATGACCTCGCTTTCTTGTCGTTGTTGATTGCGATGCAGAGTCCCGGGGATCCAGGATACCGTGGTGAAGCGGTGAGTACCAACCACCAGCGTCACTGCGAGACACGCGCTGCGCTCAAGCGTTCACGACGCGCGGACGTGCGTGCGGGCGTGCCCTCCGGGCGTTCGCGGGTTTCCTCCCGTGTACAACGCAACTGGCATTGCTCGCACATCCCGATGCTGTAGGATTATCTGAAAATTACTCATTGGGGATTACGCACAGCAACATCCCACCACCCTCCTCTTGCGGAAATCTTGGCAGGACGCTGCTGAATAAAATATAGTCTTGAGACTCAGGCAGAGGTGATTTGGGTGAGAAAAATGTAATGATAATGATGATATGACGCACACGCCCCGTGCCGGGAGCTTCTTCAGGAAGGGGGATGGGGTGGGGCTTACGAGCGAAACGTCGGACATTGGGCCAAACAACTCCGCGCGGTACGACCCGAACGCGCATCAGAGAGCTTCTATCGTGAACGCCCACACAGTCGTATCTGAGTGGGGGTCTTGCTGGGTAAGCAATCGGTGTCCTTGTTCGAGTGACGAACACGCGTGTCAGAATCAGATTCTTTATTTGGACTGGTAGAGGAATTCGATGGGCTACGAAGTTCTTCTTCACACGTGTCCAGCAAGCGGGCGGGGTCAGACGTGCTGTTTGTCCACCCGCAGGGCGATGCTGGGTATCGTGGCTTGGCCGGGAAGAAGGGTGACAGAGGCAGCGCTGGGGAGAAGGGCATCAAGGTGAGAGTCAATCCAGCCAGCTAAATGCTTACCTGACGGGGACCTGCATCACGCCAAACTCTTGCTTCCCCAATCTCCCTCTCCGTAAACCTCCGTGATTTGGGTTTCTCCCACGAGAATCCAGCACCCGCGAACAGGATTGTATCGCTCTGATCCTCAGGGCTCACCATGTGACCTTTCATCCAGTTGAAGATCATTTGCAAAATCATCCTCGCCGCTTTTCCTTTCGGTTCCCCCCACATTTACCCTGATGGTGCTGTCGGCGTCATGGAATGAGACGAGGTGTCCATTCGGATCTCACGAAGAAGCAGTGTAACCCTCTCCGTATTCGAGAAAGGCCCACGGAGGCGGATATTACAGAGCTACTTCTGAGCAACCCGTGTTCCCCTCAGTAGAGGGCAGCACTCTTCACACCGATCCTGCGACAGAGAGTAACGTTCGTTTGTGTGACAGCAAAACCAATGGCTTTCGGTCCCACAACCGTCAATATTGCGCAACTTGTGCACTACCAAATCTCTAATGTGATGGTTTTGTGCTCGGCCATTGGTGGCTGCATGTTTACTGAAAGCTTATTTCGCACCGCACGTAGCCAACGGTGCTAATCGGAGGTGCGACTGGGCTGACTCCCATCGGCTCGCTGCGCTTGAGAGCCCGGCTTGATCGTGGGTGGCTGAAGCCTGATTCAAACCCAGGATCTCAGCTGTGCCAGCCCGGCACCGTGACCCCTGAGTCGCCCGGTCACCTCACCCTCGCCGTAATTAGGATCACGGTCTTGCTCCAGCCTCCCCCCCCCGCCCCCCTAATTCACTCTCCCCCTTTATAGAGGCCCCCTGACTCCATCAACCAGTGCCTTCCGATGACACCCACTTGTCGACCGCAGCTCACGAGGGGGTCGCTCCTTCTCATCTGCTGACCCCAGTTGCCTCAAATGGCCTCTCCTTACTGGTCTGCATTACTGCCTCCAAACCTCTGTTTAAGTCCAGGGCCAAGGCTCCTCTTTGTCCCACCCACGAGCAAGCATCCCCCCACACTCTGTATCTCACGTAGTAATTCAGTCAACGTTTAGACGCCGCTTAAATCCAAGCCGAATTATAAATGAAGCCGTAGACTCATCAGTCAAATCACTGCTTGAGAAATGCAAAGTCGGAAAAAATAAGAGTGCTTGAATTGTGTCGCCACGCAAACCGCACTTGCCTTTTGCAATTTACGCGGCGCTCAGATCACGCTCAGATCACGCTCAGATCACGCTCAGATCACGCTCGCGTTCCGTCATCGCGGATTCTTTCGTCGATCAAATCCAGGGCCTTCTCAGACTGCAGACCGACCCTGGAACCACTGTGTCCTCGTAATGCCCCCCCCTACCCCCCACCCCACTCCGCCCCCCCACCCACCCCCTCCCACCCACGTCCCCCCACTTCCCCCACTCCGCCCCCCCACCCACCCCCTCCCACCCACGTCCCCCCACTTCCCCTACTCCGCCCCCCCACCCACCCCCTCCCACCCACATCCCCCCACTTCCCCCACCCCACTCCGCCCCCCCACCCACCCCCTCCCACCCACGTCCCCCCACTTCCCCCACTCCGCCCCCCCACCCACCCCCTCCTACCCACGTCCCCCCACTTCCCCCACCCCACTCCACCCCCCCACCCACCCCCTCCCACCCACGTCCCCCCACTTCCCCCACCCCACTCCGCCCCCCACCCACCCCCTGCCACCCACCTCCCCCCACTTCCCCCACCCCACTATGCCCCCACACCCACCACCTCCCCCCCACGTCCCCCCACTTCCCCCCCCCACCATACTCCGCCCCCACCCACCCCCTCTCCCGTGTGCAGGGATCTCCAGGGATGGGACCTCCTGGGCCTCCAGGACCAAGGGGCGACTCTGGGCCAAAGGTGACCTTTGAACTCTACACTGGTGCTGCCCCACTCGTTTAAAGCAACATGTGTTATGGTTGTTTTTAGAATTGCATTGCGAATTTTGCTGTCGTTTATGAAAGTAACCCAAGATTCGCTTCAACTGTGGAGAGTGATTTCAGAATATATAATTGTTAGGTCAAGAACGTATTTCCAATGTTTTGAACTCACGAGCATAGCAGAAAAGAGGTATTATGATGTTTGTGCCTAGATATTTTTTGCAGATGTTTCAATTAATAAGAAGAAAGTGATTATTTAACTTCCTGAATATGTTTTCCGAGTTAAAAGAACTTGGTTGGTTGTTTGTTTGCTTTTATCTACAGGGAGCCGTGGGGGCCGTCGGTAACCAGGGAGACAGGGTAAGGAGAAATAATGCTGATTAATAACTAAATCGCCCCTGCAATTTACTGCTGCTGCTTAACAGTGACAGCATTGCGTTTCCCTTACAGAGGAGGCGTTACCCGAGTCTTGAGTTGCCCTTGCTGTGCTGTCTAGGGAGACTCAGGGCGACGCGGGGACCTGGGGAACGACGGGCCACCAGGATTGGCGGGTCCACAAGGTCCCACCGGAGATAATGTACGCAGCGCGCTACGGCGCAAGTCACCACACGCACACCACGCTGATGAGATCGGGCGCGGTCCGAACTCGACACGGTGGCGACGGCACGGCCAGGAGCGTGTTACCGCCGCCCGCGGCGGCCTAAGCGCCGTCGCCGTCGGCCCTGTGGTGCACGGGCTGAAACGGGGCCTTACCTACCCGCTGTCCAAATTCCACCCTTCTCCTTCGTGGCCTGGAACCTGGGTCATTGCATTGCGCGCTTTCAAACGCTCTTCTGATATTAGGAAGCCATTGGAGCAATACACTTTTCAATCTAAGTTGAAAACTTACGTCTTTAGAACAGTTTTTTGTGTTTAAGTTTGTTGTTCTTTCCCCGCACCTCCAATTAGCATGGTTAGCTACGTACGGTGGGAAAGAAGTTCATACATACATGGTCCCCGGTTTCAGTTTGCACCGTCTGCAGTCTCAGTAGCCAAGCCACTGGCAACACAACTCCACGGAGCCCCCTGCCATACTGACGCAGGTCTTGTGTAGTTATCGTAGGATAAGCGATGTGAACGAGCGTGTAAGTATGTCCGTTGAACTTCGTTTGCACCGTACATAACCAACTTCGCTAATCGGAGGTGCGGGGAAAAAACACCAAACACAAAAATCAGTTCTAAAGAAATTAGTTTTTCAATCTAGATTTAAAAGTGCAGTGCTCCAGTGGCTTCCTAATGTGTGCGCATGGAAGGATTTATAAGCGACCGTCGCGACCACCACTTAACGTCCGCGATCCAGCATGTTGGAGGTGACGGTTGTGGGATATCCTAGACTCCGGAACCTGCTGGGCTGCACGGTCGTATGTTGAACTTCTTTCGCACCGTACGTAGCCAACCACGCTAGCCGGAGGTTGGCAGGAGACGAGCGCACTGAACGGCAGTGGGCGTGATATACGGACGTCGTCGTGGTCACAATGCTGTTGTGTGTTCACGGCAGGGCATCCGAGGCAGCAGAGGAAGGATTGGACCCCTGGTGAGTCCCCCGCCTTCAAAACACCCCCTGGACAACTCGAGCATGCCCCCTCTTGCTGCACACACGCACGCACGCGAGACGCCACGGTCCTGTCATCGGCGTTCATCATCACTGGCCATCATCTATCCGCTGCTGGATGAAGGCTGCCCCTCACCGGCTCGCAATCTAACGATCCATCTGGCTCCTCGACACGAGATAATTGCATTGCTCCATCTCCACGCTTAGGTGGACCCCCTCCTTTTGGCTGCCACTCAGCCATCTGTCTCGGCCGCCGGCCATCGTTCCTTCGAGCGACGCCGTTGTCCTGCTTCACGCCACTCGCCTCTCTTTGACGGTCAACATCTTGCGTCCCAACTTTCTCACGTTCGCAAATCCTTGCGTTCATGTTCCCGTCACTCAGTGTAATTACTCGCATTCAGCTCTTCGTGCTTCGTGGCATGCGTTAGGCGCTGGGAATTGTCTGCACATAAGGGTGGGGGGGGGGGGGGGCATGGGGGATCTTTGTAGACATTTGCCCTCTTGGTGAAGTTTAAATTTCATCCGTGAATTTTTTTCCATTTGCACGTCTTGTCCATTGGACTCGACGATACATTCCCCTCGCGCCCCCCCCCACCCCCCCCCCCCCCCCGGTGGTGACGTGGCCACGGGCGGTGACGTAGCCTCGCCGGCACGCGTTCACGCTTCGAAATCCAGCGGCCGCCCCGGTTACTACTGCGCGGTGTGTACTAACCACGACAACACCAAAACGTCGACGGCCTCACAGCGGATGTTAAAGTTCCCATGTCGTCATTTGCTGGAGTGGGCCATCGTGTGCCGGCATCAGGGTCCAAATTTTGACAAGCTCGAACAATCACACCACAAATGACACAATTGTGATTATACACACAGCGGCAATCGTGGACCCTTCACTGGCAGCTGACGAATGATCCAGGGTCACTCTTGAAATAGTGAGACTCACCCAGGCCTCTTGAGTCCTCAGCTGGTTCAGCAAAAATCGACTTGGAACTTGCCAACTCGAACGCACCAGAGAAAGAGTCTGCACGCCCATTTAGGCTTCCGTAGACATTGATATGAAAAGTTGGTGACGCGGTCCGAAGTTGAAGTATGTCGGCACCCCCCCATCAACATCAAAGAGGGTAAGAGACATTCCACTGCAGTCACGAGGTCAAGGTGCTCCCCGGGAAACCTCCCACGCACGCCGCAGCCGGTGCAAGGACCTCCACTTGTTTATTGAGCGATTGCTTTTACACAGAGCACCAGATACACAATAAAATATAGATATAATAATGAAATAAATACTCATGTATGTCGATGTTACATGTGAGTGGACGTCAGCTGTCACGTGGCCACAGAGCCAAGTGACAGCTTCCTCCTCCAGCACGTGCAGGGCAGCCAGTCGGCCCGGCACGCCCTGACGGACTTCGCAGCCGGAGACGATGTACGGCCGCGGTCTCCTGGCTCCCCGCATTCACACAGCGGGGCTGTCACGTAGTAGCTACGATGCCCCATCGATGTTCGGAAGCGGACACGCCACCCTGCCCCGGTCACACCGGGGACGGTTCAACTGAACCCCACCGGCGCCTCGAGGGAGCCCTAGAGAGCCACCCCTAGAGTGAACAGCGTGACGAGAGTAATGATCATCGCAACAGAGCGTGGTGAATGAATGGGCCTCCAGCGTGCTGGGTTTTCTCGCTGCCGTGCCAACGTGAGCCCGCACTCGGCGCGAGCGCTGACCGCGTTGACCGGAGTGTCTGAGCGTCGTTCCTCTGTGCTCCTTGTGCCACCAGGGGGACCCAGGGACTCCGGGCGCTGCCGGCGAGCGAGGAGCATCGGTAAACGTCGCGCCACGATCGTTCTATGCACCACCCACCCCCATCTCCCACCCCGGCCCGGTGTTATTTTAATCGGCAAATTTTTGTTGTGTGACTCGAATCAATAATTACCGGTCGCCGTCCACGCGGCGTGGAGTTTTAGTCAAGTCGGTCTGTCGAGCTTGAGCCTTCGTCGTGGAGTCGGGGTCTTCGTCCGGCCATCGTCATCGAAAATAAACGATTAAAGAACAGACCAACTTCAGCGCCGACGAACAGCTCATGGTCTGCCCTAAGACGCATCCGCACAAACCGTGCCAGATTGGGGATACCTCATGCACGAATGGAACATTAAAAACTCTCCACTTTGAGACTGTGGTCATCCAAAATGGACCGTACAGCAGCTAACGACACAATGCCCGATCCACAAATTCGAACGAGACACCACAGCGACGATACGCTCCCCCGCTCCTGACGTGGTTACCTGGCTTGACCACCTGGTTACCTGGCTTGACCACCTTGTTACCTGGCTTGACCACCTGGTTACCTGGCTTGACCACCTGGTTACCTGGCTTGACCACCTGGTTACCTGGCTTGACCACCTGGTTACCTGGCTTGACCACCTGGTTACCTGGCTTGACCACCTGGTTACCTGGCTTGACCACCTGGTTACCTGGCTTGACCACCTGCATGCGAGATTGTAGTTGTGGCCCGGCATCTACACGAGCCGTACGAGAGAAGATTTGCTCATTCCCTCTTAGCCTCGTCTCGTCGACGAAAGCCGCTGAGTGAGACACTCTTAATTTCCTCACCCCCCTCTTGAGTAGTATCAGGTCGGTGAACTCGGTACACCTACTCTTTGGTACACGTGTTTGCATGCGCACAGAGGCAGTGCACCTGTTTGGTCGTCCTCTGTGCGCCTCTCTCCACGTCCCTAAACAATCCCCAGCCTGCGTCTTCACCCAGCCCCGTTGATGTTCACCGTCACAGTCGGTTGCGCTCGAGTCTCTGTCGCGTCGCCGCGATCTTCGTCCGCTCGACGTCATCGAAGCTAAGCGGTTGCGAGAAAAAAACCCAAACTTCGCCACCGACAAACGCCGTCGGCAACAGGCGTCGTTAGCAAACCGCACGGCAGCACACCTGCACGCCAGGACACCCGCACGCCTGCACACCCGCACACCACCACACCAGCACACCAGCCAGCACACCCCACGCCAGCACGCCCACACGCCTGCCGCGTGTTTTTTAACGGCGGTCGGCTGCGATGCCTTTTTTCGTGCAGGGTCCGTCAGGAATGGACGGGGACCGCGGTGACCCCGGCGACAGGGGACAGTCCGGCAGATCAGGCAAACAGGTGCCGCATGAATCGTTTCACCAAATACCCAAACCAAACGCCCCCCCCTGCCCCCGCCTTACGTCACTGACATTGTAAGGATAATTCATCTGCAATTATAGGGCGCTTAAATACCCCGGCAGCAAAGAGCGATTTGCATCGCATCCCCTAGCAACCATAACCCCAAGCATCCCTGAGCCTTGCTGCAGTGCAGCCAAGGGGACCCCCAGTGGCAGCTGTCCCTGCTCCCTGCATCGTTGACGTTTTTGTTTTATCGATGTTCGCTGTGCTGGCTAAATGGGATCGTCCGTGTGACAAATTAAAATTAACTTCAAACCGTGGGTGTGTCAAGCGCCAGCCTGCACGTGGGGGCATTGGTGTGCCGTCAGGGGGGAGCGATCAATGTTTCACCGTGGATTTCCCTAATTAAGTGATTTTGAGGCCATTAAATGTGATCATAATAATAGGGTTTTCCCCTTTTTTCTGGCAACAAAACTGAAACCTTTTTACCAGGATTCATGTCTGCATTCACCACAATACCTGCCGTCAAAATGCAAACAAAAAACATACTATGATAATATATGCATTGTCCTTGAAACTGATTGGTCCACACCAAGGGACGGCTTTCTTTTGAGCCTCGACCCAATTGGTGCGCGACCAGATGACGCCAAAAGGCGTACAGCTCAAAGACAATCCACTATCAAAGTAATGAGGGCTCGGGGTGAGCATCTACATCATTAGACCTCCTTTGCCAGTACCAAAATATAATCGAATTTTCCCCCTTTTTTCTGGCAATAAAACTGAAACCTTTTTACAAGGATTAATGTCTGCATTAACCACAATACCTGCAGTCAAAATGCAAACAAAAAACATGCTATGATAATATATGCATTGTTTTTGAAAATGATTGGTCCACACCAAGGGACGGCTTTTTTTGAGCCTCGACCCAATTGGTGCTCGACCAGATGACGCCAAAAGGCGTACAGCTCAAAGACAATGCACTATCAAAGTAATGAGGGCTCGGGGTGAGCATCTACATCATTAGACCTCCTTTGTCAGTGCCAAAATATAATAATAGGGTTTTTCCCCTTTTTTCTGGCAACAAAACTAAAACCTTTTTACAAGGATTCATGTCTGTATTAACCACAATACCTGCAGTCAAAATGCAAACAAAGAACAAACTGTGCCACACGCCCTCCCGCATGGCCTTGTGGGAGCCTCGGTACCGATGCAGTTTTATTTTTTTTCTCAATGGGAAAGGGTAAAAATGAGTCGGAGAAATTGACGAACGAAACAATTTTTTTAATTGAGTCGTGACTCTGAACTGTGAACATTCACAGGAAGCCATTCGGGGGGTAATCATTAGCCGGCCTGTGGTGGTGCACGCCTGTAATCCGTGATTTATGTACGCATGTTGAACCTCTTTCGGACCGTACGTATCCAACCGTGCTAATCAGAGGTGGGGGGGGAGGACAACAAACTAAAGACAAAAAAGCAGTTCTAAAGAAAAGTGTTTTCAATCTATAATTAAAAGTGCATAGCTAATATCGAAAGAGCGTTAGAGACGGCCGCAGAAGCGCATCTGAAAGCGCGCGATGCGGTGACCGCCTTCGTTCAACGACGAGCCAAAATCCGCTGGTGCTGCAAGGGTGACCAGAGTTTGCGTGGTCATGGTTTATGCTTCGTGGGTGCTCGCCCTGACGGTGCACGTGACTCGTGGGCGATTTCTGTGTTCGCGTCTAGGGAATACCAGGCGTGAATGGGCCGAGGGGATCCAAGGGAGACACGGTAAGGGAGTGCGAAGCCGCCCACAATCCCGTAGGGCCAAGTGTCCTCACGCCCCAGGGACACACCGCCCTGGTAGGGTGTCACGGCATTACATCTCACAACCTAACGGCTGCCCTTCGACACTTAAAACAAAATCAACAATTATTACAAAACGGTTGTCAACTAAGCACGCGAGTATTTTCTATTATTATTATGAGGCTAAACTTTTTTGTTTTGTTTAGGTAAGTCCCACTGAATGCCATTTAAGTGTGGACGTGGAGGATTCTTAACGGTGGAAATTTGGCCAGATCGATATGTGGCCTTATCCCACCAATCATTTATGAATCGTAACATTCACTGCACAGACACGCGTGTCACGTGACTATTAAAGGCGTTGCGTACATATTGCCGTGCACTGTGTGTTTGTCTGCACTGTGACGTAACGTGACGTAACGAGGACGTGATGCCGGGTTTTTTCAGGGCCCACCAGGATCCCCGGGCCGTCCTGCCCAATACGTGAGTGCAGCTGCACCGTACAAGCCACAGCCTGCACCTCACTCGGCAGCCACTGCTGCTGCAACAGCGTGGGTGGGCCCGTGAGCAGCATCGTTAGTCGGCATGCAATCGCGGTCACTCTCTTGATGATGTGCCCCCCCTCCCCTCCCTTCACCTGCAGGTGCCCGATACGGACAGAGGGACTCTGCGCAGAGGAGTCAAGGCAAGGCCTCTACGCACAAGCACGAACAGCCGTCATCGGGGGGGGGGGGGGGTGGGGGATTCGCGCACGGCCGCCCGTTATGCACCGCCGCCGCTGCCGCCGTCGTTTTGCCGCTGACCGTTGTGGCCCCTTTTTCCTTCTCGGCGACGCAGGGGGCCAAGGGGCGCGCCGGCACTAACGGAAAACCCGGGTCGACCGGAGAAGTCGGAGTCCCCGGTCTCATCGGAGTACGGGTGAGTGGCCGCCACCACGGCACCCGCCCACGTCACCTCGCACTCGGGGCCGTCCCTACGTCTTGCCCGGCCCAACGGTCGCCGCGTGCACCCGTGGGGGGTGCGGCGGGGTCCTCGTCGAGTCGTCTGGCCGGTGGAGTGGATGTTTTCGCGAGCGCAGATGGAGCAACTGAAACCGGGGACCATGGCTCCTGAAAGCGGCCCCGACGTTCCCGGGCCGCGAGGGAGAGGGCTGAATTTGGGCAAGGCGCGGGCGGGGGGGTGTGGGGGGGGGGCGTTAAGGCCCCGTTTCATTCCTCGCACCGAGCTGGGCCCGTGGCGGCGGCGGTACACGCTCCTGGCCGGTGGCGTCGAGTGCGCGGGTGGTGCAGTTGTGGCACTTCCACAATGTGGAGCGTATGCCCAGTTCGGTGGCTGCACGTTAGCTGTTTGAAAATAGAGAAAATAAGTGAATTCGGGTGTCAACGGGAGCACACCAATGCACGTGGAGACTTCTTGTAGGTGGGTTTCTTTTAATCTGGGACTCCAGCTCGAGCCCTGAGTTCCTGTACACGAGAAGTCGGACTTTTTACTTCAGCCCGTGTCTCACTGCCTCACTGCCTTAGCAACATCGCTGCTGTGAGTCGTGATATTGGTTTCCCGCCCAAAATCAGGGGTGAGAGGGCAGGAGGGTTTGTGCCTGGGCGTTTTCCTGCTTGCTTCGGAAAACATTGAGCTCTGATCAGCCAATAGCATCCTGGTGAGTAATTTTTGTTTTTATCAGGGGGCTTTCTTCTGACTCTTAACTGACACCACGTGCCACACAAGCGCACCGGGGGGTGCGTGACCTCGCACAGCTTGCCCGGCTGCACGTCCGTCTGCGGCATACTCCGCGCGTCGTGTTGTGGCGTGCCATTCTTCCGCCCGGCGATAAACGCGCCGGATCGTGCGTCTTAAGCGTCGATTGTTGACGTCTTTCGGCGCGGTAATTTTTCGTTGAGGCTAATGACAAAAGAAAAAGAGAGGCCGTATACGTGAGATTGAAATAGTACAAAGTGAGACGGCGAATACGGACAAAGAACAGACGATAGACTAAAGTGACGGCCCCGGATCGTGAAAAACTCGTCGAGTGATTATGGAGGGGCATGTGAAGGGCGAAGGCTGAGTCGTGAATGATCACACGCATATTTGTATATTCATGCAAAATATTTTTTTATATAAATGCAATATATATTGGCAGTCAAGGATTTATGATGATGGTACACAAAAATCCATAATTTCCGTTCGATAACGGTTGACGCACCCTCGCGAAATGCTTCACTTGAGATTTGTCGTTTTTCTGTCTGCTTTAGGGGCCTGTGGGCGCACCCGGCTCATACGGCCAGCGAGTGAGTACCGTGTACACGTAGCAACACCACCCCCTACTGGCAGACGTGTCGCGTTTGCAGCCCGGACACTGTGTAGGCCTGAGGGACCGCTACCCACCCCTGGGGGGGGGGGGGGGGGGGGGGGGGGGAGTCCCGTTGGCTAGCCCGCAGCAGTGCATTGGAATGGTTGAGATGAGATGAGAGGGAATGTGAGGTGCTCTGGACTTTGCTGCGGCATTTCAGTGAATTTGAGTGTCTTTTTATTCAACTCGGTGAGAACCCACGAGACCAAGGCAGAGTGCAGAGGTCACTTGGCTCACCAAAACGGCAAAGAGGAATGAAATAAGATAGAGGGAGAAAAAAGTTTACAAAACTGCACCCCTATAAATGGCAAAGCCTTATCCTTTTGTAGTCATTGCTAAAACGTTTTTTTTTTCTGCACAGCTACAGCTCCACAATTTCCCGTGTGTGTACAATATCTCTGGATCTCTCTAAGACTCAATGAGGGTCCTGATTTAGTTGTCAGCTAAAGTCCTGCTTGAACATTTCAGCAACTTGGAGGAAACTGGAATTGCTGGAGAAATGCCACGCAACTCAATGGGATTATGCGAAAATGTTAAATGTTCTTATTTTTTTTGTTCCCTAGGGAAACCCAGGAGTCAAGGGTACTGCAGGGCCGAAGGTAGGTTTCCCGAAATCTGTTGTTGTACCAGTGATGTGATTTACATCCTTTGTGTGAGTTTGTGTGTCTTCATTTACGTGCATTATAGGCATTTATTTCATAGCATTGACCGTAATTATGTGATTTATTTATCTATATATCTATTGAGGAACGCCTCCCTTAGTCTAAAGACTCTCTTTCACGAGGGCCTCGCACTGGTGTGCGTGGCCGATTTAATTATGAACGAGCGTTTAGTTTTGTGTGAGAGGAGACCAGGGCACGCAGAGAAAACCCACACACAGAGCCCTCCCTAGGAGTACACGGCGAATCGGGGCAACCGCCCCGGGCCCCGTGCATTGGGGGGAGCCCTTCTGCCAGCAGTGGTGTGACCAAGCATTTGCAGGGCTGAACCTTTACACTGTTCCCAAAACTCTTTATACATCACTCAATTCATGAACGCGTTCGCGCTTATCGATTACAACTTCGTGCTTTTTGTTGCTGACCGCTTGGTGTTTTTAAGGCCTTTGTGTCCTGTGAGCTCAGCAACTGTGTGCAACTGTGGGCGCCATGATGTGGCTCGGAGATGTTAACTACTTCGCCTGATATATTGGAGGTTGTGGGTTCAATCCCGACCCTGACGCCTGCTGCTGTATATTTAGAGTTTGCGTGTCTCTCTCCCCGTGGTCGCATGGATTTTTCTCCGGACCCTCCGGGTTTTTTTTCCACGTTGAGATTTGACTGCTATAAATGTCCACATCATGAACCACTTCGTTCAGCAATCATTTGTGGCCACAGTCGCTTCTGAAAAAGAGCTACGTAGCTCAGTGCGCCTTACTTGGCAAAATAAAAAGTTTAGTTTTTAGTTAAAAAAACAAAACGTCGTGAAATGAGCGCGGGAAGTGAGCCACGTGAATTGGTGGCCAGCCCACGCGAAGAAGATTGCCGCCTTCTCCCGAGAGATATCCGGTGAGCTCTGTTGCCCTTCATTCCACCGGAGTCTGTTAACGCAAGGGCCACGCCAGATTCCGGTCGGATGAAGTCCACCAGGCACCGGGCACGCTGCGGGGAGTGTCGTGCGAAGCGCGGCGCCGACACGGTGCCCGTCGAGACACCGGGGAGGGAGAGGCGGGGGGCTGTCGTGGGACGTGCCAATGTTGTTACTGTAGAGTTCAATCCGAAGGAAGAAGCACACACGTGAAGTTGCATGTGTCCAGGAGGCTCAACTGGAACACACGGAGAGCTGGATGGCCCTCTCTCGGTCAGCCCCGCCTACTTTTACATAGCCATGCCCACTCAGCCAACATTTCCACCCACCCGTACAGCGAATGGCCTCTTTCTTATGCCGGGCCCCACCCACTGATCATTGGCCCCACCCACTCCACAGGTAGCCTCACTCACTCTTCAGGTAGCACCACCCACTGATTATAGACCCCACCCACTCCACAGGTAGCCCCACCCACTCATTATATGCCCCACCCACTCAATTGGTAGACCGCCCCTTGCCCGCATGATCCGGTTGATGAAATCGAATTTTTTACAAATACTTTGGGGGGACACTGGGACAGATATTCTGAAGCAGAGACTAATCCCACCAGGTCAGGACATCTGGTAGCTTTATTCACAATATATTTGTTACAAGGAGATGCTTAAGACTGTAAACATTACGAAATGTAGCACTCCCATCGTTAAATTATATTTCCAAAAGGATTTGTGCGTGACATTGATGGCGACGACTTTGATCGCGATGATGACAACGATTGAATGAGTTATTATGAATTGAATGAGAGCTCACACACAGATGTCCATGGGTGTTGGTGCCTGCAGGGAGACCGAGGTTACCCAGGGAGAGACGGAGTCAACGGGAAGGATGGAAAGATGGGATTACCCGGCAGCCCAGGAGCCCGGGTCTGACACCATGCGAACACCACCCAACTTAGAGCCACATCTACATTGTGTCTACATCCACACCTCCCATACCACTGTCACTCACACCCACAATCATGTACACATGTCACCCACGGCTCGTGTCTCTCCATCACTCACACCCACACCATGTACACATGTCACCCACACCACCCATCTCTCCATCACTCACACCCACACCATGTACATGACATCCACACCTCCCATACCACTGTCACTCACACCCACAATCATGTACACATGTCACCCACGGCTCGTGTCTCTCCATCACTCACACCCACACCATGTACACACGTCACTCACACCACCCATCTCTCCATCACTCACAACCACACCATGTACACGTCACTCACACCACCCATCTCTCCATCACTCACACCCACACCATGTACACTTCACCCACACCACCCATCTCTCCATCACTCACACCCACACCATGTACACGTCACTCACACCACCCATCTCTCCATCACTCACACCCACACCATGTACACACTCACTCACACCACCCATCTCTCCATGACTCACACCCACAACATGTACACACGTCACTCACACCACCCATCTCTCCATCACCCACACCCACAACATGTACACGTCACTCACACCACCCATCTCTCCATCACTCACACCCACAACATGTGCACACGTCACTCACACCACCCATCTCTCCATCACCCACAACAAGTACACGTCACTCACACCACCCATCTCTCCATCACCCACACCCACAACATGTACACGTCACTCACACCACCCATCTCTCCATCACTCACACCATGTACACTTCACCCACACCACCCATCTCTCCATTACTCACAACCACACCATGTACACGTCACTCACACCACCCATCTCTCCATCACTCACACCCACACCATGTACACGTCACTCACACCACCCATCTCTCCATCACTCACACCATGTACACTTCACCCACACCACCCATCTCTCCATTACTCACAACCACACCATGTACACGTCACTCACACCACCCATCTCTCCATCACTCACACCCACACCATGTACACGTCACTCACACCACCCATCTCTCCATCACTCACACCCACACCATGTACACACATCACTCACACCACCCATCTCTCCATCACTCACACCCACAACATGTACACGTCACTCACACCACCCATCTCTCCATCACTCACACCCACAACATGTATACACGTCACCCACACCACCCATCTCTCCATCACTCACACCCACACCATGTACATGTCACTCACACCACCCATCTCTCCATCACTCACACCCACACCATGTACACGTCACTCACACCACCCATCTCTCCATCACTCACACCCACAACATGTACACGTCACTCACACCACCCATCACTCACACCCACAACATGTACACATTTCATCCACACAACCCATCACTATTTGCATCGTAATTTCGTTGCTTTTGTTTCCCGCTCGTTTCAGGGTGAAGCGGGAAAGGCCGGGGAAGCGGGAAGAGACGTAAGTGTTCTTTTGTTTCACGTACAATGATTTTAGAAATACAACTGCGGCCTGATTCTACAGATGTTTGGGCCAGCACGTTTTTTAACAAATGAACAAAGAGACCGAGACGTGCTTTTGAGTCCACACTTGAGAGTAAAATGTGGAAGTTGTGACTTGTCTAAATGTGAGTTAATGTCAAGGAAATGAACAAGTGAAAAGGCCCTTTGATAAGAGAGCATGGCAGGGAGAAATATTTTTTTTATGTTTCCATTGGCTTTTCAATGTTTTTACCCACTAATTATCAGGTGTTTTTTTCGTTCGAATAACTGTAATTTATTTAACATGAAATAGGTTGTTTTTTACGTAAATCTAGAGGATGGACAATAATATAAACTTCCTCCCTGATTACGCATCCCACGTGGTGGCGAGATGTTAACTACCTCGCCTGGTATACAGAAGTTCGTGGGTTTGACCCCGACCCTGACGCCTGCTGTATATTTGGAGTGTGTGTCTCTCTCCCCGTAGTTGCATGGATTTTTTTCAGGGTCCTCCGGTTTTTGCCCTCCACATTGCGAATCAACGTCATGCGTTTAGAGTCTTATGGCTGCTATAAATTTCCACGTGATGATAAGCCACTTCGTTGAGGTATCATCTGTGGCCAGGTCGCTTCTGAAAGAGAGTTCTATAACTCGGTGTGCCTTACCTGGTTAAATAAAAAAGGTTTTAGTTTTAATATAACTTCCTTTATACTCTGGTGAAAAAATACATTTAGGGTGCAGTGCATACATTTTGAGTTGCGAATAATCTACACGTGAGAGGCTTGATCCAATGACGGGACAGTTCTAATCAGAATGTCGCTGTAAGAGCGATGCATCAATTACAGCACGCGAGCCCAGGAGCTGCCATTATGTAGAAACTATTCTGTTTAGGGTAACGGTACGTGGCTCGACACGTCGGTTCTTGCAGCAATTATTATTATTACGATTCATAATAGATGTTTCGGTTAGGCCGTAACAACGATCCGGTTGAATTTCAGTCGTAAGGCCATCCACCGCCGTACATAGCCAAACGCATTAAACTGTCACGTGCACATCCTGCGTGTCCACAGCACGGCAATCACTGAATGTGGTTGTGGGAGTTGTTTTTCGGCTCGCCGGTGAGCAGAGACAGCGATACCTGGCGCATCGTTAAACTCGCGCGAACCAAGACGCTTTAATCCGTTTGGCTGTGTCGAGTGATGGTGGGGACGGTCTTACGATGGACAATTTGGCCCAGATGGTTACTCCCGTGGTTCTAGCCCAAAACTGAACCGTGAGCGATGAGTTGCTCGACTCACGCAAATAACATTTCCATTTTTAATAATTTTGAGTTACTGCTCTGACATCTGTTATCAATGCAGTGATGTAATAATAATAGGATTTTTCCCCTTTTTTCTGGAAACAAAACTGAAACCTTTTTACGAGGATTCATGCATGCATTAACCACAATACTGCAAACAAAAAACATACTATGATAATATATGCATTGTCCTTGAAACTGATTGGTCCACACCAAGGGACGGCTTTCTTTTGAGCCTCGACCCAATTGCTGCTCGACCAGATGACGCCTTTTGGCGTCATCTGCATTTTGACTACAGGTATTGTGGTTAATACAGACATGAATCTTTGTAAAAAGGTTTCAGTTTTATTGCCAGAAAAAAGAGGAAAAAACCTATTATTATATTTTGGTACTGGCAAAAGAGGTCTAATAATGATGAATGCAGTGATAGTCACTTCACTCTTGCCACCCGTTCTGTCGATGATGATGCTTGTTCTTGTTGTCGTTCTTGTGGTTGATGTTGTTGTTGTCGTGACATGCTCTGTGCGCGATTCTGGCCTCGTCTCATTCCTTTTTTTAGGCCAAGGCAGGAGCACGGGGAGACTCGGGCCTCAGGGGCCCCGTCGGGCCACCTGGAAACCCAGGCACCCCGGTAGAACACACGCTCGTAAACGTGACATTTGACCTTTCATCGTTTTGACCGTGAGTCGCGCGCTATTGGCCAATGTGCTACCAGGCCGGACCGCTCTGGGCCTCGCTATTCATGTGCTGTGAAAAAAGGCCATTGCCTGAAACGTCACCTATCATATATTTTTTGAATCAAGGCCACAAAGCGTAATTGAGTGGGAGCGTGTTGAGCTTTTGTCGTTGTTGACGGTGCTTTCGCGCCACTGCCAATGCACCAGCAACGTCACCACCAACAGAATACGGTCAGATAGGCAAATGTGTACTTGATACCCACCCATACGAGAAGCGTCTTTAAATATAATAATAAAATTTAAATAATTAATTATTAAGGTGAACGCTGTGAATGCTTAAATGAATGTAAATAAAATAGAAAAACTATTTTAAAAAATTTGCGGCCAATTGTTAATCCACAACTGGATAACGGTCGTGGGGTTGTTTGACCATACTTCACCGCGCGTATCAGTGCAAGCTGGGGGAATGGGGATATTCTTCACTGCTCATTTTAGCTGTGGCAGGGAATCGAACTCGAGTTGCCAGGTTCATCGCTTCTTCGTACGCTAACCGTTGCGCCAACTGATGAAACCGTGTCAACGATGTGTGATTTGTGTAAATATATGGACGAATAAATGAACAAAAAATTGACACTACTGCACTCCGAGATAGTGCTGAAGATCCAGATATTGTCGTCTTATTGTTTTGGTTTTCAGTTATTTTATAATTGAAAAAATTACAATTAAAATGTGTAATTTTCACTTCTATCATGAGTAAATCGTTGTGGAGTGTAACACTTTTGTGCGTTTGTGTGTTCGCAGGGCAAGCCAGGCACAGATGGAAAGCCAGGCCTTTCAGGAAGAAAGGTTTGTCCGTAAACTTCACCGGCACTCTCATTCATTTCTGACATATTTTTTGTTCCACAACGTGAAAACGGTTCAACAACTCACACGCCGCTCATCGTTAACCCAAGATAATTCCGTTGCATCAAGCGGGAGGATGTAAAGCCATTCCGGTGGTGGTGGCACTTGGTAAAGAGCAGACCTTCCAAGCTGCGCGTTGATGGTGCGGCAGCGTTGGTGGTTATCAGAAGTCGGTGGTGGAGAGGAGCGTGGATAACCAACATCATTGGCTGCCGCGACCCTGGGCTGCCCGACACCACAGCTTGGTTAATCCACTGTGCGATTGCAGTGCCTCAAGGCACTTTCCCAGCAGTCTTGGATATAAGACCAGGACCCACGAGGTGAAGGCCGATGTCAAGGTCACAACCCACGAAGGGCAAGTCCGAAGTCAAGGCTGGTTAAGGCCATCTCCTCGAGGCTGCCTGGTTAGCTACAGTGAACAAAGCTCACGTTGCAGAACAAAACTGATAAATTACACCGAGAAATGTAATGAAAGTTGGAATTGTGATAAATTGCACGTGTCCAGTTAGGGCGCCACGGTGGCGAGATGTCATCCGCCTTGCATGGTATGCAGGAGGTCATGGGTTCGATCCCTACCCTGACGCCTGTATATTTGGAGTTTGCTTGTTCCCCCCGTGTTGGCGTATATTTTTCTCAGAGTCCTCCGGGTTTTCTTCCACATATAGAATCAACATGCGCTTACAGTATTTGGCTGTTATAGATTTCCACATGATAAGCCACATTTATGGCCAGGTCGCTTCTGAAAGAGAGCAATATCACTCAGTTGGCCTTACCTGTTAAAAAAAGATATAATTGAATAGTTTTAAATAGAAACAAAGCCCTCGAAGTCTTGGGCACGAGGACACCTGAGGCCACACAAGCCAAGGTCCAGGACGAGAACGGAGGAAATGTTCGTGAACTGGCCTTGGGGGCCCTGGACCGGCCGCGAGGGCCCCAAGGCTCCCTCCTGGCTGCCGCCACGCGATGGCAGAAACGCGTGGGGCGAGGCGCGGTAGCATCGCTCCGCCGCCCGGCACAGGAGAGGACGGTCGAGGCATTCCCTGATTTTCCGCATCACTCAGCGTCGATGGGATTGCGTTCGCGATGCCGTGTGCACTCGTGTTCCCTCGCGCGTCTGTAGTATGGAAGTCATAGGTGCTTGCCAACAGCACTTGCCCCAACAGTCTGTTAAGGCTATATGGGCTGTTTTTGTCGTATGGAAGTAGTCGTGTAGCGGTTCGATTTCCACTGAAGGCCAACACCAGCGACGATTATCTGAACCGGTCCTGGGCCTGCCCTCGGTCGAATCAGCCTCAATTGAGTATCTGGTGAAGTATCTGAACATCAGCACCGGGGAGACAAAGGCGGCCAGGCATCGTGATAGCCACAAAGTCCCCTCGTGTGCGGTGCCGGCCTTCATAGGTGCTCGTTAACGGCACTTGCCCAAAAAATCGCTTGAGGCTATACACGAGGGAATCTTTGCTTTTGTAGTCTGGGAACAGGTTCGATTCGCTGGTTTGACGGCCGTAGACAAGTTTTCTTGTGAGCTCGCGGTTGCTTTCCTTTGTTCCGCCGTACGAGTCGCTCCGTCTAAAGCGCCCCTCTGTCGGTGGCGTTCAGGGCGAGACCGGAGTGCCGGGAGAAGACGGCATCAAGGTGCGGCCACAAGCACAACCACGGCTCACCCACATGGCCACGTCGCCTGGCACACCACACCCCCCCTCCCCATGGGCGCTGTTTGACTGAATGGCTGTGTGCGGGGGCCGAGTGATTAAGGGGTCAGAGAGACTGAGTCGGCGCTGATGAAACCCTGGGATAACAAACAACGATTGAATTCAGGTCCTCGAGTGTATGTGTGTATGTATGTTGCACTTCTTTCGCACCGTACGTAGCCAACCGTGCTAATCGGAGGTGCGAAGTTGTAGCGAGTTGATGGTCTCAACCCAGTGGCAAATCGCTGCAATGGCTAAACCATCAAGGAAAATATTGTTTGCACTGCCATGCAGTGAACATTTCTCGGCCGTGGGCACAAATGTTCGCAGGTTTCGTAAACCCTCCCAGCCTCTGTCCGCACGACAGCATTTTGTCGATCAGAAGGTGGATGATCCCCAACCTCTCTCAAAGACATTTGGCCACCGTCGAAGATTAAATCAGCCAATAAATCAAAGCTCCCTTTCTAGGGGCTCTCCAGAGCTCGCTTGAGTGGAGACCCTTCCGCCAGCAGTGGCGGAAGCAAGCGATTGCAGGGCCGCGCCTTTTCCACATTTAAAAAATATATATTGTTATTTGTATATTTTGCTCGTTTTGGTGGCGTGTTGGTCAGGCTGTGTCGTGCCGTTCGGTGCTGATGAGCGACGTTGCCTTTTGCGATCTCGTGCAGGGTTCAGCCGGGGACCCGGGCCGGTTCGGTCGAGATGTGAGTACGACCCAAGACAGCCGCACGCGTCACGAGCTCCGCTTGGGAAAGCAGAGGCTGCTCATGAGGCCCATGGCCGGCCTTTAACAGAGATTCTTATCCTTACAGAAATGTGGACAACATAGGCCCGTAGTGAGATGAAGAGACGACAGATGCTGACAAGGTCGAGATGAGAGAGATTAATTGGCTTGATGTGTTGACTCGCTTGTTGTATGTATGTTGAACTTCTTTCGCACCGTACGTAGCCAACCGTGTGCTATGTGGAGGTGCGGGGGAAGGACAACAAACTAAGCACAAAAAGCAGTTCTCAAGAAATGAGTTTTCAATCTAGCGGCTTCCTAACATCGGAAGGAAGAGGCGTGTTCCAGACGGCAGCAGAAGAGCGTCTGAAAGTGGGCCATGCGGCGATCTGAACTCGAGCTGAGATTTAGTGCACCCCTATATTGTTCATTCATTCGAGGCTCGTGGCCCCCAGGTCCTTGCTTGGTGTGTTTATGCCTTACGCCACCCCTGCCTGAGTCTCCACAAGGTGGCAGCAGGCTCCTTGGCTAAAGCTGGCACTGAGGTTGTACCATCGGCACATGTAGCCGCGAGGGTGCTTAATGACCGGTTAGCAAGGTGCGAATCGCACAGTAAGCACATCCATCCCCCAGCACTACATGGCTGCCTATGGTTGTGCGGAAGCAGACATTGGACTGGGTGCTGCAAAGTCACAAACCACAGTGGTTTAGTGGGCACGGTGTACACTCTAAACCCGTCGTTTATTGAAAATGCGATCTGAGTACACTGAGGTCAACGTGGACGTGTTCAGTCAACGTCCTTGCATCCTGTGCGAAACAGATTGAGATGCTGGACATCTTTGGGAAGAAAGGAGCTTTATAGCTCAGCAGATTCCTCCAGCATAACCAAATATTCCGATTTCTGATCTCTCTCTCTAATTGACCACACAGACGTTGTGCTCCCTGACCTTGCCACGGGGGCTCCGGTGCTGCACTATGTTTCTTCCCGAGTGACTACGGGGCGATGTTATTGCTCGTGTCAATGGCAGGGCAGGGACGGAGCCAAGGGAGACCGGGGGGAGCACGGCTTGCCTGGGAAGCAAGGCTCCCTGGGTGCTCGAGGCCCCGCTGGAGCTGTGAGTATGGCCGCAGTTTTGTTGTTTAAACACGCACCAGGCTTTCGCGACCAATATCATCCATAATACGGGGGGGGGGGGGGGGGGGGGGGGGGTGTTGGTTAGATCGCGTAAATGTTTAAATGTGTCGTTAAACCTGCCACCACCCTGCGACGCTGAAGAGGAAACATTGTCCATCTCCAGAATGTGCATCTTCCTCTCTTTACATTGAACCTCTTTCACGCCGTACGTAACCAACCGTGCTAATTGGAGGTGCTAATCGATCTTCGGTCGCGTTCAAAATGTTTTTTTAGTATAATTGGTAGTTCTTGCGAAGAATGCAAATATAAAACAATGCAAAATTCAGGTCTGAATATATATCTTAGAAAAAAATCCAGTTTTTAGTCTCATCGCTACGTCGGAAATATGTAGGAGCACGAGAAAGTGGTGAGTATAAACTACTTAAATAGCGCATTACATAACGATGCCTTCTGCCATGCACACGAGAATTATGAGTCTGGCTTGAGGCAAGGATTGGGAATTACCGTAAATAAATGTGGGCGTTAGTATAGGTCAAAGGTCAGCGTTTTGCTTGAAAATGAAAGTGACTTTTGATGTATCGCACAGCAATATTGCTTTCATGAAACTCGCAGAGCCTTTTCATGATTAGGCCTTGAGAATCACGATCTCCATCGCATTTCAAATACCCTGTGGGAGAAAAAATATTGATATATTTTTTTAATTAAAACGATACGTGCAAAAGTGTTGTATATGAATGAAAGTGAGTGTGTGTGTGTGTGTGTTTAGGTTATGAATATATTTTGTAATGACCTTTTTTTATTGAAAGTTTTTCTTGCTGGGCTGGTGCTTCTGAGCTGGCAACGCTCATAACCTGGGTTCAAATCCGGGTTTCCCATTAATAAGCCAGGATCTCAAGTGCATGCGAGTTGATAGCATCAGCCCAATCAACAATGACTCCACCAAATAAACCCGACCAAATAAAGTTGAGTTTCTCACATAATTTGGTTAAATCCCAGCTTTGAGAATTAAAACAAAAAATCAGTTTCATTGCCATGCCGTGAATATTTCTACGCAGCACGGCGTGGCAAAGTGCGCTTTGTAATGCGGATAAAAGAAGCCCATTTGAACAATATTAAGTATTTTTCCACAGGCCATTCTCTAAGACAGTGCAATGCTCTGCGACACTTCTTTGTCAAGGCAATGCTTAGAAGCACAACTGACACAGGATTGTGAAAAAGTGAAAACAAAATAATGTTGCTTTGACACTGAAGAATGGGTGACACTGTGATGATTAGTTTAACACGTAGACTTTCGCGACCAATATTATCCATAATAGAGTAATAATTATTATCCATAATTCTACTCAAATTGTATGGGTTGACTCTCCAACACACTACTGTACTAGTAACGAATTGCTATGTTTTGTTTACGTCACAAACCTAACTAATTGGCTTTGTCGGGTGCGGCGGGTTTAACGACACATTTGTATTTACGCGATCTAACCAAAAAAAAACCTCTCTCAGTGATTGTTGTTGTTGTTGTTTTGGCAGCCGGCTGAATATCGACCGACCGGCGGTGGACAGATCACCGGTATCCCTGGCCCCTCCGGTCTGCCGGTAACCTCCTCGCGGTGTCGTCACGGTGAAACCGACAATCTTGTTGGTTTAATTGGGCGCTGTTTGGTGATTAAACTTGGGGCCGCTTGACGAGCGGTTACGATGGACGTGGCAGCGGACGAACTTCTTATTGAAGCGTAACGGACAACCTGCTTTGACACAGGGGGTCAGAAACACCGAGGTCATTCATGAAAAATAAAACCTCTTTCGTATAAAAGTTGAAAACTTGCGAAGAATCGTGAAGAGATGTGTGCCAGGAATGAACGCTGAGAGACCGAAAGAGGAATGCGTGGCTTCGGTGAGCACACGCTCAGGTTAATGACCTCATCGAAACTATGAAGAAAGGTCAGCGTGGGCTTGGGCAGGACATGCAGCTCGAAGGGACGATGGACAATGGTCAAGAGCAACAGCAGGAGCGGCAGCCGAGGAATGCAACGCGTTCGATAGTGAATGTCGATTGAGGAGATGGAGCGATGGAATCAGTTCGTGTGCGGGGTGGATTGTTGCATCGCAGGACCGTGAGAGTTGGTGACAGCTTGGGGATGCCTTCATCCAGCAGTGGATTGATCATGGCTGATGACGACGACGGTGACGGTGACACCGACAAAGCTTTTAGATGTAGCTAAGAGATACCAACAACTTCAGAATCAGAATATTTATTTATACTGGAGGGGTTGTACGTACGGCACAGAGCGGGGCAACAGTAAGTAACGTGAGCACGAGCAAGTAACCGGCACTGCGCGTCTGTAATTTAACTGATAACCATTGCGAGCCGTTCCCTCTCAGGGCACCCACTCTTCCGACTTCCACAGTGCGGCTGGACCCCTGGGGCTGAGCGATAACTACTTACCCAGGTCTTTAAGCATTCTATTCCGGGTAGAAACCCCCCCCCCCGCAGCCTTAATAAGACTGTGTTTATTTCCGAAAGCCATCGATGTGGTTTAATTGCGTGGGGAAGGCAGATGGCGGTTCGTTTTTCTTTTCTTCCTCCGCAAGTGGAAGTGGAAGCGAAGGAAGCACGGACGGATGCTTGCTTAGAATTACTCGCGAGGTGCCGCGGAGAGGGGAACGTGCGCGGACCGGGGCACCGTGGCGCAGGGGTTTTTAATGACGACATCCAAACTATCGGGCGGGGGGGGGGGCACGTCGTGGCCAGAGGGGCAACGACGGGGCGACGCTCGAGCGGAGCGGTGGAGCGGCAGCCAAAGGAGGGATTGGGCCACGTCCGCCGCAGGGGCGGAGCGGCGGGATCGATGGCCGCGTGGTAGCGAGGCGGGTCGCGGCGTCACACGGCCGTGGCGGATGGCGAAGGACACGGGGAGGCCTTCGCCCAGCAGCGGGTAGACCACGACTCAGACGGTGACTGACGGACGGCCAGAGATACGACACAAACGTGCGGTGCTGGACGTATCATCATCGTGGGCGGAGTTTGTGGGGGACGGGGGGGGGGGCACAGGGGGCGGGGGGAAGCCCCTCCCAAACTGGACACCTTTATTAATTTATTATCAGTAGTTTATCATTAAGATCAAAAACACCACTTAATTAATTATATGCACCCTGCAAATCCTAATGAAACCCCTGCCTCCCGCCCCTCTGCACAAATATTGGAGTCAAACTCCACCTGTGATCATCATAATCAAGATTCATCCCTCCGCTTCCCCGCCCAGATGTCAAACCACATTAACCGGGTTGCAGGTTTAATTGTGATTTCATCCTGAGGAGCTCGTTGCTCTGGTTCGCTCTGACCAGAGAAATGAGTTGCGCCGCTTTGTCTTTGCAGGGGCTGCCCGGAGTTCCCGGTCCGATGGGGGAGCAGGTACACGACGCACGCAATTTGCAGGCTCGTCGGCGCCAGATACACAGAGAGATGGGATGACCCGGGGGGGTGCGATAACCCACCGGCGTTCAACCAACAGAGAGATCCCGGCCGCGGCGGTGACATCCATATAAAGCCCTCGCTGACCCTACTGACCTTAACACCGGGGGAAGCGGGGGGAGGCCTGTCCTATCGTCGTCGGCGTGTAAAGATGACCCGTCGCATCAAGCACGGGAATAGAAATGGCCCCGGGTGACTCAGCCGAGCGCTAATACTGGCCCAGCGTTACCGAGACCTCGGATTGAAATCGGGGCGACACCGTTGATTAAGCCTGGTGCTCGGGCACGCCAAGCTGATGCTCTCAGCCCGGGCACTTCACATTGAGGCTGTGGAGCCAGACAATTGCGTCGGCAGTAAGCGGAGTGGTAGTGGTGTGTCGCTGCAGTGATGATGCCTCCATTGGACTGGGCAAAAAAAAAAAACACTTCCGTTATGTCACGATTGTTCCTTTTTTATCATTTAATTTGGTATATTCACACCTTGGAAGCCGTAAAATAAATGTTTGATTCGATTGCCATGCGACGAACTCCTCTGTAGCAGTACGAAGTGACATTGAGTCGAGGTGGAGAGGTAACTTGGCAGCGTTGCCCAATGATCGCTGTTCGCCTGTGTTGCTGGTGGCGATCCAGCGCTGCCTGGCGTGGTCGAGCGTGCGTTTGAAACTCGTTGCATTTCGAGCAATTGGAGCCCCCAGCGGCCGCCCCGGTTAACACTGCGTCACAGTGGACGTTCAGAGATGAAGAAAGAAGTGGGCCACCCCGGTGTCACGGTCAACATCTGTTGGATGTGAAATTACTCGCAAGTTACCCAACTGGGTGAAGCCGCGTCCTCGACTCGCCTGCCATGCATCGCGTCTTCGCGACGCCCTCGCGCTGGAAGGTCGGAGTGAACGCCACACCGTTGCCGATGAATCGATCTTCACTCTCGCGATGTCCCTCCCCCCATGTTTGTGTCTCGCGCAGGGACTGAAGGGTGGCACGGGATACAAGGGCGCCAGGGTGAGTGAGTGCAGCGGGCTAGGGCTTTGAGCCGCGTGCAGACCCCCGTCGGAGTAAAAATCGCGCCGACGCCGCGCGCCGACGTGTGAAAAACGGTTCCAAGAGGCACCGCGGCAGTGGAATTCGCCCCAGCCCGGAGTCAAAAGTCGCCGCCTCCGATTCGGCAGCAGCGGCGCTCGAGTCAACTGCCGAGTCGTTTGTTGCCCGGCGAGTTTGCTCGTGCTGATTGCGTCACGGCCTGACGCTAGGCTCCTCGTCAGGAGTTGACTCCTGGGTCAGCACGCTGATAGACTGGACCCTACCACAGGAATGTGGAACTCGCCCCCTGCCCATCTCTCCCTCGTCCTAACTAATCCAGTCCCCTCCACGCACTCTGCTCCCTCTCACGTCGCTCCACTCCTCGGTGGGTTGGTTCAACGTTGGTCGTGTCGTGCTCCGCTTTATTAAGTCGCGCTTGAGTGCGTTGGGGTTCCTCATCGTCACCGAGAAGGAAGGAATGTCTCAATGTTTTGTCCAGCACAGGATTTCTTCAGACATCGATGCTGAGATAGTGTTTCCCCACAGAGACAGTCCAGTACCTGTGATTATTTTGAAGTACCCTGGAGTGATAGGGCTTTTGCCAGTGCAGCTCACACGCTTTGCAACGCTTTGCCTTCGCTAATAAGGCATTCAGAGCTGTGAGATATATTTACGTCCCATCTTGAAAATCATCTCTTTAAATTCGTCTTTACCCCCCCCCCTAGTTTTTTGCCGTTTAGCCCACTGATTCTGTGGTTTATTTCCTGCGCATTGGGGATCTACGGATGAAATGAGCCTTGCAAACGTGATCATTGTTATCATGTACGCCGTTTCCTGTCCGAGACTAACATTTCTTTGTGGCCGTTTTGGTTCTGATCTCAGGGGTTTGCGGGGGATTCTGGGAAGCCCGGAGACCCTGGAGCCAAAGTGGTGAGACACAATAAACCAGATACACGGAGCCAGTGGCACAGAGTTCCTGGGTTTGAGTCTGGGTTTCAGTCACCAGCTGTTAAATCGGGCCCTCGAGAACGGTGATTATTCCGGGTCCACTAGGAGGGCGAGTTCAGAGTCTCAGTCTGGTCTCCAATGGCTGCACAAACTTAAATCGCGTGCAATGTGTTGGAATTCCAGCTCTGAGGATGAAAAATTTAAACATCAATTTAATTGGCACGTGATGAACAATGCTTGCAAGGCACTAAGACGTCTGTTGAAGTGCCTCACAAGTAGTTCTGCAACATCATCTTCTGGGGCCGTGCTTTTACACAGGGTAGCGCACTGATAAGTTGAAAATTCCAAGTGGATTTTTTTCTTTTTTTGGCACAAAGACAATTGCCATATGATATGTATAACAGAAAACAAATAAACGTTTGGGGTAAAAACACTCCAAGAGATTGATCAAACAATCCCAAACAGGACCCTCTCAATAACGAGTCTTGAGACTCGCTGAGAGCCATTCCTACTTGAACTCTGTATGTATTTGATTCACTTTATTTTCCTGCTGATAAAATTATATTATTACTTATAAATGGTGATGCAGGAGTCGCGGTATTAATCATATACAATTAGCACTGTTGGCTACGTATGGTGCGAAAGAAGTTCAACATTAATACATTAATCCTGCAGCCCACATTCACTGCCATATGGCCAAGAAAATACCCAGGAGAAAAACATTGGTACCGCCCAAGGACGCACGGCTTTAAGTGGCACCAATTTATATAAGTGGCCAATCAGAGTGATTTACTTGATGCCACTCATTTCAAGTACTTATCGGATAAATCGCTCATCAGAATCAGAATTTGTATTCGTACCGGAGGAATCCGACGAGCTACAAAGCTCGTTTTCACAGATGTCCAGTCGGGGCTCGCGGTCAGAACTTTACAGCAACAACAAGTGCACACAACAACAAAAACGACGGCAGGAGTGCCGTCGGCCACATAGAGACATTGGAACGGCCCAAGAGATGCCACCTCAGATGGTGCCGACAGGTGAGGTGTCTGCTCCGGGCCCGTGGCCCATTTAAGTGTCGACCGTTACGAGACATGCCGCTACGTACGCCGCCCGGTGTGAAAGCGACGTGCTGGTGTTGCCGGTTCACCAGCGCTACATCGGCCCATTTATTAACCCCCTGTTTATTTATTTTTACTACAAAATGAAACAAGTTTTACTTGTTCGTGTTTGTCATTGTGACGTTTTTCTCTTGCGAATTTTAACGATTCGTGTGTGTGTGTGTGTGTTTGTTTCTTCCCACCGTGCAGAATATGTTGAAAATCCTCGACCAGTACGGGATCCGGGTGAGATTTAGTAACTCAGTTTCCTGTATCTACGTGAAATATACAAACCTGCTTGGTTCACTTGTTGCTTGTTGTGTGTGTGTGTAGCGGTAGTGTAGCGGGTAGCCACAGTGTGGAGATTAGCGCGCCGCGCTAAGAACCTGGCGACCCGGGTTTGATTCCCGCTCATGGTTAACACCAGTGATGATTATCTGAAACGGTCCTCAGCCTCCCCTATGTTGACTCAGCCTCAAATCGTGCAGTGTATAAACATCGCCACAAGGGATACAAAAGCGGCCGGGCGTAGTGCTGGCCACCCACCCCCTCGTGTGCAGTGCCGGCCTTCATAGGTGCTCACAAACAGCAACAGTCTGTTCAGGCTATACGGCAGATCTTTTTCTCTGGATAGCGCAAGCACAGTGGTTAGCGCGCTAGGCTGTGAACCCGGCTACCCGAGTTCAATTCACAGCCACGTTTAACGTCAGTGGTGATTTGCCTGAATCGGTCCTGTACTGAGCGACTCTGATATTTATATTTTTGCATCTAGTGCCCCCCACTGCCAGCGAGATAGGTGGTGTCTAAATCACACGTACTTGAAATTGTTGTAACTTCACTACATTTTGTAAATTGGTATCTCAGTTACACACCTCAAAGTAATTGGTATCCTTCGTCTAAGTTACACGCCGCGCGCTTAACTGGCAATTTGTAACCGATCTCCGTGACGCTGGCGGCAGTCGGTAATGCGAGCGCACTCTGCCCGTCGATACCGCCACCCCGCGCCAGATCGGCGCCCTGCGGCGTCTCATCGAGCAGAGCTTCGTCGGCACCGGCGACGGGGGGCGGCCGCTCGCCGGGAGACGGGGCCCCAAGGGCATCGGCGGAGACCGCGGTCTTCCTGGCGAAGTCGGAACTCCTGGCAGGGAGGTACGCGGTCCCCCCTACCCCCCTCTTTCCCGGCCCACACCACCGATCAGCACGGTTGGCTACGTGCGGTACGAAAGAAGCTCAACGGGCGCACCGCACGTACCGGGGCGAAGGTGCAGGCCCCGCAACTTCGCTTGCTTGCGCCGCAGTCGCCCGCCGAAGGGCCTCCGCTTCAGCGAGTGGCTTGGGAGAGCCCCGCCGGAGGGGATGTTTGGCCTACTCTTCCACGCTGGCCAGGAATCTTTGGAGAGGTGGGAGTGTGCACACTTTACCCCATCACGTACGACCTCCCGATCGTTAAATGGTATGTTATTATGGTAAGAGTAATATTATTCAAATTAGTGTGGGTTTTATTTTGTATAACACACACCTTGATTGCTAATGTAAAAGCCCCTATAACCCCACTATCTTACCACCTACCGTGTAATTAATCAATGTGAAGTCTTACCACTTTGGGGAGGAGAGAGGGAGGAGACTCATTCATTTTTTGTGTATGTGAGAGAGAACCCCATTAGCTCTGATCAAATCCCCTAGAATGCATCCGATGTCATCAGATCTCAGAAGCTAAGCAGGATTGATCGTCATTAGGTGGGTGCCCACCGTTCGTAAAACAGGTGTTATAGGCAACTTCAGGGTTATGTAGATTATTTGCCTGCTTTACATTTCCACGTGTTGAGCTGTTTAGTTGAGCTATCATTTGTGGCCAGGGTCGCTTCTAAAAAAAAGAAGCTAATAGCTCAGTGGGCCTTACCTAGTAAAATAAAAATAGTTAATCGTTTTTTGTTAGTGATTTGCTTACATTTCCTATACTTTGCACTCGTGCCGTTTGTTGTTGTAATTTTCTGACCCGCCCCTACTGGACATCTGTGAAAAAAGAGCTTGATAGCTCATCGGATTCCCCCAGTACATATATATAAAGATTCTGTTCCTGTGCAGTTTTCCCAATCTACTCTTGCACGTCTACGCCCCCCGCACTCACCAGGCCCGAGTAACCCACCGCAAAAAAATGATAATAATTCGGTTACAATTTTTAGTTGATTGGCCAACTTCATGGAAGTCGTCGCGGCTTTATTCATAAAACTATTTGTGAACTTCGTGGCTTCTTTCCCCACCAGTCTCAGATCTTTCTTTCAGTTCCACACTCGTGCCTTTCTCTAGGGGGCCCAAGGCCTTCCTGGGCCACGGGGCGAAAAGGGGGAGCTTGGAATGGTGGGGGAGCTGGGCCCCCCAGGGATCCCGGGTCCTGTCAGGGTGGTACGAGGCCCCCGTGGGCCCAGGGGAAAGAACGGCGACGCCGGAGAGGCGGGCAAGCTCGGCGTGCCCGGCCGGGATGGCGAGCAGGGCGAGAGGGGCAGCCCGGGAGGGAAGGTGAGGTCCTGGCAGCTCGTTGTTGCAGAGCGTCGCGCTTCAAACCCCGCGGCCGCCCCGGTTAATACTGCGGCGGGCGTACTGGCCGTAACGCGTTAATCGCCGTCTGCTTCGGCACAATGGGGATCAGTTTGTTGTCCTTCCCATGCACCTCCGATTAGCACGGTTGGCTACGTACGGTGCGACAGAAGTGCAACATACATCTATTGTGGATTAATGGCGTAAGAAACAACACAAATTATTTCGTGTCGTATTTAATTCCCAACTTGCGAAGCTTCTAATTTTTATTCCCATCTCGTTAGCCTACTCATCTGTCAACATAATTTGCACTGAATGTGTGTGTATTTTTTTGTAACAGACGCAATCGCCGTGAGTGTATGAATGCGCCATACTGCACCGCTAAAGAACCGCTTTAACTAAAGTTAAGAAGCTCAAACTGCAACAAAAATTAATCACCGTTTGTTCAACTAAACTGTTTTTTTTTAAAGTTAATGCTTAATACAAGTTTCAAAGTTGTGACTTTGTAGAAAATAAAATAGCTAAAAGAGTGACTCATAGCTATTAAGAGTGGAATCCTTCACCAAAGCAATTTAGTTGACGTCGAATGGAATACTCTGTGCGACGTTGGTGTGCAAAATGTAGTTTGGCCAAAATTAAACTCACAATCGCAGTCGTTTGCCAAACATTCCAAGAATGGCTTCCCCCCCGAAAATTACTGTGGATTCTCAGCGATGCTAAATCATCGAAAGGTTACTTTCTAATTTGTTTTTGTTTATTGCGCAGGGTGATCAAGGCGTCAGAGGAGCCAAAGGCTTCGCCGTGAGTAAATCGTCAACGAGCGGTTTCGCTTTGCGTCGTACCCCGCAGTACCAAATCAGCCGCTATTTATCGCTCCAAATTCCAACAGCCGGGCCCGAGCGCGATGGCTGGAATTTGTTGAACTCTGGTTAGTGACGCCGTCACGTGTGGGTAGTGTCAGAGGGCACGGGAGAATGGCCTTCTTTCTGAGGACGGATGCAGGCGACTTGGTCGGCGTAGCGGAATTCCCGCGCTGCGTACTCGGTAATTCAACTGCTCGGCTGAATTCGCACGTCGGCATAAACGGCCGGTGGGGGGAGGTTTCCTCCGAGGTCTGTGATGGAGTCTCTCACTCGTTTTCCAAACAACAACAAAAACAGACATTCACAGGCGCGTGTATCGAGCGCTGCGGGCGTACGGACTGTCAACGCTTGCTCAATATGATGCTGAGCGCAGTGCACTATGATTGTCATTTCATAATCATCAACCGTGGTCAATCCGCTGCTGGATGAAGGCCTCCCCAGACCACTGCCATCCTCTCACGCTCCTGCGATGTGATAATCTCCCGAGCACCTGCATGCAAACTGATTTCGTTGCTCAGTCTGCTGAGTGGACGGACGCACGTCCTATCGGGCACATTCAATTCCTTGGCTGCCACTTCGTTCTTACGATCGTTGCATCGTGAGAAATGGTGGTGGCTTGGGAAGGCCATCATCCAGCAGTGGAATGGTCGCGGATATTGATTAATTATTCACTTCCACCTCCGGCAATTCGATGCATTTTCTCAATTCATGGCTGCGAGTTGATTCAATCGTTTGCTTCTTTTTCCAACATTGTGGCCACGAGTGGCTGCAAGGGGTCATCTGAACTCATCACATCCAATTCAATATCGTATTTTTTGACACAAGCAACGCGATGCATGCACCCGTGAGCTTAAGGAACATTTGCTATCAATGAGGGAACCCGATGCGTTGGTTCACCTCTGCTGTGCACCGAGCTGCTTCGTTCCGTTGCTGGCATCTCTATCTCGCGGTCAAGGCCTCTCTCCGCTCTCTGCGCTCAGGGCAGGAACGGAATTCCCGGGCCCATTGGGCCACCAGGACCACCAGGACCCCGTGGGACATCCGGCCGAAAGGTGAGGGCGTCCGAAGAACTCCCTGCAACAATGGTTGTGTTTACACCACGTATGTGTAGTGGGCTCAAACGGAGACTCAGATGTACTGTTTGGAGGCAACGCATTTATTAACACCAACACAATAACACAAAGACATAGGGCGTAGAACGTAGATTCTTGAGGATCACAACAGCAGCCGGTCCCATGCCTCTGGTCACGTGACCTCCGGGGTCAACCAGAGTGTCATGGCCCCTTGAAACCCCGTTCCGGGGGCGGCACCCCCCGCAACCTATCCTGTAGGGCTGGTACTACACGGAGCGCGTGGTGCCACTGGTTGCTGTCAGTCCGTGCTCCTCGCCCCGCTAGGGCCGGTACTGCATCCGCCTTCGGTGGTGTTTGCGATGTCGATACAAACACCGTGCCTCTCCCGGGCCGGCTTCACACAGTGACATGCAACAATGTCACTGCATATGTATATAATTTCAATATCACGGTTGCTGAGCACAAGGCCCAAAGGCACGTTAATTTCCCCAAGTGAAGGCCATTGAGCTCAGAAGCTGTATTTTTCAAAGGGCTACTCAGCCTTAAATTGATCTGAGCATGGCTGTTGCAAGATCTTGGCAAAAGGGAGACAATGATGGGACGAGGGGAATTCCAAAGTTGAGCAGTGCGAGGGAAGAGACGCAAAAAGAAGTGTTGTGTCCTGCAGTGTGGCGAGTGGGGGGTGAGTGAGTAGATGACCGAGTGGGTGGGTGAGTAGGTGGATGGGTGTGTTGTTGTCGCGACCTGCAGCATGGCGAGTGGGGGTGAGTGAGTAGATGACCGAGTGGGTGGGTGAGTAGGTGGATGGGTGTGTTGTTGTCACGACCTGCAGTGTGGCGAGTGGGGGGTGAGTGAGTAGATGACCGAGTGGGTGGGTGAGTAGGTGGATGGGTGTGTTGTTGTCGCGACCTGCAGTGTGGCGAGTGGGGGGTGAGTGAGTAGATGACCGAGTGGGTGGGTGAGTAGGTGGATGGGTGTGTTGTTGTCACGACCTGCAGCGTGGCCGTTGAATACAGTGCGGATGAGATGAAGCAGCGAGTCTGGCAGACTGAGTCTCAACATGGGAGGAGGAATTAATTAGTGGAGTCTGCGGGAACAACAACCGTGACAGTAGCGATAGAAGAGTGATAAGTAGGCGACCAACCGCCGGTGAGTGAGCGAGTGACTGAGGTGAGTGCTGGATCATCAGTCACAATTTTCGCGATTCGGGAGTTCTAAAGAATCAATCGTGGCTCTAGAAAATCTATCGTGGCACAGTTAATTCGGTGTCAAAATGAATACCATATCACGTTGCTGGAAGCTACGGCGCGCCTTGTCCTGAAGGGAGATTGACCGGCCTCCTCTGCAAAGAACTGTTAGAATTTTCTCCCAGTGACTCAGGGCTCTCAACGGGCATGAACTGCCACCAAATTCCCGTTTGAAAAGTCGAAGCGATTGAACTTCGTCGCGTCCTTAACGACGATGCGCTTGCCGTTGAGGCTTGCATCCAGGCGTCGCTGATGCACGTGGCCTGCATTCCAGCGCTGCGGAGGCGAGGGTTGGCGGATGATTAGGCCAATGTTGTGAAACTTCCCAAACCCCCCAGCGGGGCTACGAGGTTGCCATCTCTGTGGCTTGCCAGGGTATGAAGGCGAAGTACAGCAAGTGGGTTAATATCCATCTGTATTCCATCTGTATGGGGGATTGAGTGTTACCCCACCCCAGCACACCAGGGTTTCCTCCGGGTGCTCCGGTTTCATCCCACGCGTGTAAATACTCAAAAACGGAGTTGGCCAAGCATCCACATATAGGACCAGCGAGCTTTGGGAAATTGATTGTCGTGCCGGTTCTGGCTCTGAATCGTGACGCAAACTGCGCACCGGAGCGGCGTCGCGATCCTGCGCGCACCATGCTTACGCCGTTCAAGTTGCCTTGCGCAGCGCCGGCGTCTCGAGAGAGTGTCTCAAGAGCAGCGCTGGCGGCGTGTCGTCCCTCCAGGGCACGGTCGACCCCGGAGGCGCCAAGGGGGGAGAGGTTGGACCGCCGGGTCGACCCGGCGTTCGGGTGAGTCCCTCCTCGGCCCGCCGGACGTTTGCGGTCGCCGCCGAGGATCCGCTGGCCAGCGGCTCGGCCGGCTCTTATTAGCCGTGTCGGAGCCAGACGCGATTCGCTCCAAGAACTCGATTGTCTTTTTCTCTCAGTCTGTATCGATGCTTGCTTTTTTTTTTCTGCCCACCGCTTCAGAGCTCACTCTGGTGGAGCGCCTTCTGCTTATCAGTGGCGCGAGCGAGACTTTCACCTTGACCTCCTCTGTCTCGTTTTGCACAGTTGCATTTGCTTCACGAGCCTGGGTGTAGCGTTATGTCATTTTGAATAACATGATAACAGCCAGTTCTCTTGCACGAGATTTTGTGGACGTGTGGCGAGCTTGAGTGTAAAAATGTGTTTTCATTCGTGAATTGTTGCATTGTTAGCTTAATACGTAGGCTTTCGCGACCAATATTATCCATAATGTTATCCATAATAGAAACAGGAGGATTAATCACAATTCTGGCTGTCACCTGATGAGGCTGTTTGTAATTACCGGCGAAACGCCGTACTCTTAATTGTAAATGTCGCGAGTTTACTCCAACACACGAGTGTGCTGAACTAGTAACTAATTGGCATGTTTTGTTTACATGAAGAACAGTACGAATTGGCTGTGTCGGGTGGTGATGGGTTTAACGACACATTTATATTTACGCGATTTAACCCAAAAAAAACCTCCATTATGTTGCATCGTTGCCTGCCTACCAACAGCTTAGGATGGCTGGATTCAAATCTGGAGTTCAGTAGCACATGGTTCAACAGGGTTCTCAAGTTTTCCGAGTGGATGGTGTCAGCCTGGTCACCAATGATTGCACGCAAAAAAAAAGAAAAATCCACGTTCAACGATTGCACTTTGACTTGCCAAATTGCCGGTTCTTAGCAACCCGGACTTTCAGTTTGGCCGCCGTGCAACAAGCACGTCCACAACGGGGCACGTGAGAGAGTGAATCGCTCGTGGTGTGGATAAGAGATCACTTTGAAGCAATCTCAGAAGTGGATCGGGTAATATCACTTTCTTGCGGGCCATTCTTTAACACAGAGCGATGAGCGATGCCTATAGGACAAATTGTACTGGTAGGAACTAAGTTGTAAACTGAGTGTACCAGCCTGCAATAGATTAATGCGTCCGTCCGTCCGTCCGTCCGTTCCCTTTCAATACTTTAACGAAGTGAAATCTCGTGCTGTTGGGTGTAAAATCAGCAATAGACAGCGCAGAGACTTGTCCTACCAGCCCACCCTGCAGGGACCTGTTATTTAAATTGTTTAAAAAACATCCGTGACATCACGTTGCAAGGGGGGGGGGCTGTTTCTTGACACACCGTGATGCACTGCTGATCGTTAGGGCTCTTGTGGCATGGCGCCAATCGCGCAAGCAGAAATAAAATTGGAGATTAACAAAAATCATTGCCCTTGGTGCTGTGGAAACGTCACTTTGCCTTGCTGCCGGTCAGCACGTCCGTTTCTCCGGATGCCGGCGCCTCAAATCCCGCGAGGCTCAGCCGAGATAACGACCACATTTCAGGGCCCCGTGCCTAACGGGCATCGTTACAGACGTGGGGCTCGTTTAATTTAAATTCCTCTTTCGTCCGTGCACCGTACGTGCGTGCGCGCAAAAAAAAAACTCCGAGCCAGTCGGTCGCTGCCCAGCGTAACAACAACAACAAGAAAAGTTTCCTATCTGCTCTGCAAAGTCAAAACTTAACGCGACCCTGCGCATGACCTGTTTGGCGGCATGCAGATCCCGGTGCAAATGAGGGGGCGACTTTGTAAAGTGTGAACGGTAACCGCGCGCTCGGCTGACGGGAGAGTTTGTGTCTCTTCGCCCAGGGAGATCGTGGTCGCACTGGGGACTACGGACTGAGAGGAGACAAGGTATGGTCGAATTTGCATTTGAAACCCTGGCTGCTGGCTATAATAAGGGAATGCCACCATTATGGTTTTACAGTTTCTGCGCTCCATGCCCCGAAAGACTCCATTGACAAACATGTACCCGTTAACTTGATCAGATTCCGCGCGGGTTTTTGATGTCGGCGCTCCGCATTCGATTCTCGCTCACGGCAAACGCCAGCGATGATTATCTGAAACGGTCCTGGGCCTCCCTTAGGTCGGTCGACCCAGCCTAGAATTGAGTGCCTGGTGAAGTGTATCAACATCAGCACTGGGCAGACAAAGGTGGTCAGGCGTGGCGATGGCCACCCATCCCCTGCCGTGTGGCGGTCGTAGCTGCTCGCGAACGGCACTCGCCCCAACAGCCTGTTCACAGGCCACGTGGGGGCATCTTTGCGTTTGTCTCCTGCTCTGTGTTGGCCACAGGGAGACGCAGGCGTGAAGGGAGACAGAGGGGAGAGAGGTGACCCGGGAACACGAGGACGCAACGGCCAGGCCGTGAGTTTGGGCGCCCCGATGCTCCTCGCGTGCTGGTGGTTGGTGGTACGGTTCGGGGGCAGTGGGCGGCATTGGTGCGGTGGTGAGCACGTTGTGCCACGAACCCGGTCAACTGAGTTCGATTCCCGGCGTTGGCTAATATTGATGGCTGCGTGATATCTGAACCAATCCTGGTAACCCCTCTAGGTGGACTCAGCCTTAAATGAGTGTGCGTTGTGTGAATGTCAGCATTTGGGGAGACGAAGGAGACCAGGTGTTATTTTCAGAATCAGAATATTTATTTATACCGGGGGAATCCGATGAGCTATAAAGCTCTTTTTCACAGATGCCTATCCCTTGCCCACCATTCTGACATTTATCGGTGCTCCCTTAACAGAACTTATGGAGTGGTGGCGCAGCGGTTAGCAAACTGACCAAATCACCTGGAATGCGCTCGACCTCCTGCCTTCGATTGGCGACGCTGACAAAATCGCCCGTTGTACTGTAGTTCTATGCTGCCACATCTGTGCTTCTCACCTTAACAGTCACCTCTGAACGATCGCATTTGTGTGCTTTCAGGGGAGCCCAGGAGCCCCGGGAACCCCAGGGAAGGATGGAGCCCCGGTGAGCCGACGCGGGACACTCACCTCAGATCAAATTCATTTCGTGTGCCGCACGTGCCCCGCTCGTGCCATCCTTACGCCCGTTCTCGTAGCCTGCGCTTGATAATGGTCCCGCAAGCCATCGGTCAGGTGGCAGCCTGCTCGTGGCGTGGACTCGCGCACCACCGCCGCCACCCTCGCTTCGAAAGAGCCGCTGCCAACGTTTGGCGCTGCTCAATTTATTTGCTGTGATCGCAGATTTTATCCGTGTGTGTGTGTGTATGATGTATGATGGGAGCCGTAGTAGTGTAGTGATTAGCGTACTGCATTACGAACCCGGCGACCCGAGTTCTGCTCCCGCTCAAGATCAATAATGGTGGAGAATATTTTAACTGGTCCCGGGCCTCCCCGATGTTGACTCTGCCATGAATGAGTACCTCGTGCGGTGATGATTGACTACCCAACCCCTCGTGTGCCCTGCTGACCTTCATAGTTACTTGCTATAACAACACTTGCCCCAACAGTCTGTTACAGGCCACATGGGGAGTGCACGTGATCTCGTGTGCGAGTGTATATGTGTACATTTGGTGTTTGTGTTCCGTGTTCATTCCTTCAGGAGCTTTAATTAATTCGACCGTTCATCATTATTAATTTACCCGCACGCTACTTGCTGATTCCCTTGCTTGCATCCGCCTGGGCACGGGGCAGCCTCACCGCACTGGCACAGGAGATGAACCTCGCCCACGTAGATCACTGCAACTACGGCCGCGACGCGTCCATCATGTGACGAGCGTCTCCGAGAGCAGGGACACATGGGAGCGAACCGAGCGAGAGAAGGAGTGAAACAGAGAGGTTTCAGGGCGTCCGATCGCAACGTCGATGACATCGACAGTTTGGAGGAGGACATTAAAAGCAGAGAGAGAGAGAGGGGCGAGGTGGGGGGGGGGTGGTGGATCGGTGAGAGTTAAATTATGAACGAAACTATTTTTTATTTTACCAGGCAAGGCCCATCGTGCTGTGTAGCTCTTTTTTCAGAAATGATAGCTCAACGAAGTGGCTTATCGCATGTAAATCTGTAGCAGCCATATCCTCGCAACGCACGTTGATTCTACACGTGGAGGGACCAACTGGAGGACTCGGAGTAAAATCCACGCGACCACGAGGAGAGAGAACACGTCAACTCTAACGATACAGCAGGCGTCAGGGTTGGGATCGAACCCACGACCTCGCGTATACCAGGCGAGGCGGTAAACATCTCGCCTTCTCGCCTTCTCTGCTCCTCGGCGCTGAGAGTGAGCGATGAGCATTGCGCCTCTGCGAGCTTCTCCTCGGCACATCGTTCGCAGCTTCGCGCCAACAAACACCTGCTGATGCTGCTGCAGCGAGCAGCTGGGAGATGAATTCTTTATTAAATTGTAAAATCATCGCCCGAGTTGGTGCCCGCCTCTCCCCCTCCCCCCCCTGCGCCCCCTCCGCCCCCTTGTGTCACGGCGGCTCCCCCTGTGGGTGTCACGTCAGGCACGGGGCGACGGGGATAATTGCAGCCTCGTCGACGCGCCGCTCCGTAATTGTTATTTTGTAAAATCGCCGCCGTCCGTTGGGAAATTGGATGAAATTTCCACAAACGCTGATGTGATCTAATTGAGCCATTTAATTTGATGCAGTTGAAATGTTTTGGCGCAAATGCGGGTGCGTGCGTGTGTGGGGAGCGGCGGCGCAGCGGTTAGCGCGTTGCGCTATGAAACCGGCGACCCGAGTTCGATTCCCGCTCACGGGCAGCACCGGTGACGAATATCTGAACCGGTCCTGGGCCTCTCCTAGGTCTACTCAGACTTAAATGAGTACCTGATGCGGTGTGTAGTAAACATCGCCACTGGGGAGACGAAGGTGGCCGGGCGTGGTTCTGGCCACCCACTCCCTCGTGTGCCGTGCCGGCCTTCATAGGTGCTCGCTAACAGCACTTGCCCCAACAGTCTGTTAAGGCTGTACGGGGGAGATCTTTGTCTTTGTGCGTCCGTATACGTGCGTCTGCGCATGTGTGCTTTGTGTTGTTCTGATTTCTCCTTTTACTCCACAAACCACAGGGTGCACGCGGGGAAAGGGGCCTGCAAGGAATTGCCGTGAGTACCGCTCCCTCCTCCCAGCCGATCAGTGGCAAACAGAAATATGCAGCGTTTGAATCGTGAGAGCGGACACTCGTGAGGCGAGTGGGCCAGCTGCATCCCAAACTTTTTGACACACAGGGGTCAAAGCCGTATGCTGTTTGCTTCTGTTGATAACAAAAAACTTCACAAGGCCCCCTTTTCCGTTCAACACGGGGACCCCCTGTGGCTACTTGCCCACCTAGAGCCTAAACAATCCCAACAAAGCCATTAAACATTCCTTCCCAGCTGCCGCTGAAATCGTAGAATGCAACCTCGCAGCTTCACACCAGGTGGATCGGCTTGAGGCGAGGAGCGCCGTCCGAATTGCCAGCTGCGCATCTGAGTCGCGGTGCCACGATGTGTGGAAGGGCGCAGCCAACCACAGGAGAGGCATTTGATTCCCAGTTTCCCCAACCCCCACCCCCCCTCCCACTTCGCCGCCGCCCGAGCAAAGTGTCAGAAGGCATCAGGCAGAAGCAGGTGAACGGTACCCGCCCTTGGGGGGCCTCCTGCCAGCCTGCCGGGCCATCCAAGCAAGGCTCTGTCTGCCAATATCCTCGGCGAATAGCTATAGTCGGCCCCTTCCTCTTAACCACCAAACACGTCCCCCCCCCCCACCTCCCTCCCTGCTGGGAATCATTATTATTTATGGATCGCACGCTCAACAAAAGCGACGGACTTCCAAAAAAAAACTACCGCTTGGCTCACCGGGCCGCAGGTGATCCCCACGGAATGGGCCGGGCGTCAACGTGAGAACACCGCCCGCCTCCACACAAATCGTAGCAACGAAAGCGGGGATTGTTGTGGTCGCAAACATACAACGGAGGCTGCCTCCTCACTTCCCTGCGCCGCTCGTCGGATTTCCGTCTTCAAATCAGCCGCTGCGGCCTGCAGCCCCCGAGGTCTTTAGAGCCGCAGTCGCTCGCGGGCAATGTGAGGCTTCGTGGGCGTCAGGAAATAGGATGAGGTGGAACGGAAGCAATCGGTCTCCCCTGGACGCTAAGGGCTTGCAGGACAAAGCTTATTAGGGCCAACTTTAACGGAGTCGTCTCGGGTGGGTTTTGCGTTTTTCTTTCTGGCGTTGTGCACTTTCCGTAATTGTGTAAACAAATTATCCAGAAGTTTGCGGTGACAGCGGTGGCTTTGCATTCTTCGAAATTAGTTTTTTTTTATTGAAGTGTTTCTGAGAGTAGTTAAATACATACGCATAAATTAACGAGGCATAACTCCAACTTTAGGTTGGTGTGGCTTTTCAGAAGCCGGTTGCTACAACTTGTCGACATAGCAGGTAATATAACCTGATTAAACACGTTCTTGTCGCACGCAAATTGGTACGTCGCTTCCCAATAGCAAAGCTCAGTTTTTCTTCCCCAAGGCATTTCTTACCTGCTGTCAGCGAGCTCAAGCCGATGAAAAGTTACCAAAGATGTGTGGGGACGTAGCATACGTGGAATTTTTTACTCAGAGACGGAAAGATGGGCACGTGGATTCGAGAACAAACACGGATTTGGAGACATCGTACTCAGTTGTTGAGGAAACTTAAAGGGTTTGGCCAGGACATGGTCAATAATTTAAGGAGGGATTTTGGACGAAGGATGAGACTAGCAAATGAGTGGCAGCCAAAGGAAGGGAACGCGCCTGAGAGGACGTCCGAGGCGGAGATGGAGCGATGTGTTGGTTCGACAGCTTGTGGGGTGGTGTGGGGTGTTGTGGGTCCTCATCCAGCAGTGGCTACATCACGGCTGTGCATGTGTGACAGAGACGCGAATGTCTCGGTGATGCGCTGCATTGTGGGCGGGCCACATCGAGAGAAATGTGGGGGTCCTGCTACGTAACTTTAATGGGGGGGGGGGGGGGGGGGGGGGGGAGGCCATCCCCAAATAAATAACATTGATCTTTTGTTTTATTTTTACCCTTTCCTCTGAGCTTCGGGCCCAGTAAAGTTGTATCCCCCTCCCTCCTCGTCCACTTGTCTGGCCTGGCTCTGTGCGCGCACGCACGCACGCACCCACGAGTTGGATTCTCAGTGACGCCGGTGCTTGCGCTTGAGTGGGCGGATGGGCCGGATGGGTATCCTTTAACACGCGTGATTTGTGGTCGGTGTTCGTTTGCAGGGAGCCCAGGGAGATCCTGGAGCCTCGGGCATTCCGGTACCAGCAAAACACGCGTCAATTGTACCCGCCGCTGATTAATACATTTACACCGTAATGTGGAAGCATTGATTTTCCGTTCCACTACGCCTACCGCTGGAGATGTATGCGCTCTACAGGGCTATTACTGGCACCATGCAAAGGGAGGAATAACGTGGCTTTTAATTTATATACGCGCGAAAAAAACTTCACCAAGTCTCCCAAGGCTTTTTTTTTCACGAGGTGTCCCGCTACATTGGGATATTTTTCGCCAATTCCTTGAACTTATCTGGAAACTAAACTACTTTTTGTATATTATATTCTTAGTTTTTTCGGTAAAGTCACGTTGAAGATAAACAACAAAATAATAAAATATATATAAACAATGATTTTTTATTGTTTTATATATATTTTATTATTTTGTTGTTTTTATTGTTTTATATATATTTTATTATTTTGTTGTTTCTCTTCAACGTGACTTTACCGAAAAAACTAAGAATATGAATTACTGCAGTCACGAAAGCTTTAAATCAAAATTAACTTTTTGTATTTTACGAGGTAAGGGCCCACTCAGCTGTACAGCTCTTTTTCAGAAGCGACCTTTGGGCACGAATGATGGCTCAACGAAGTGGCTTATCACGTAAAAATTTTTAGCGGCCAAATACTCTAAACGCACGTCGATTCTAAATGTGGAGGGAAAAACCGGCGGACCTGGAGAAATATCCACGCGACCACGGGGAGAGATAGAACATGCAAGCTCCAAATAAATGAGCGGGCTGGCTTCATGTGGAAAAGAAAAGGATTGTGCTCAGATGGGGGGGGGGGGGGGAATTGGCCCAGCAGTCTAAAGAGTAGTGCCTCTTTGTTGGATAATAAAATAATAATTCTTATTTTCATTGCCGATAACTAAAACGCCCGGAGTGCACCGATTTCGTCGCATCTCCAATCGCTGAGCAGCCCTGAGCCTGAGAAGTGATGGCTTGGGTGACCACCGTGCTTGCAAGGGCTTGTGAAGGCTGCCGCATAGCTAGAGGGCAGAGCAGTAGAGAAATCAATTGTCGTGCTGTACTTTGCTCCGTGCATTCACCAGCATGGTGAAGTATCATAAAATAACCGGCCAAGACCCACACGGCTTGGGGTGGCAGCAGACCGGCAAAAGGGCTATTCGTGTGCAATTTTCACATTTGAATAACATTTCTTATGTTTGGTTTTCAGGGCCCCCAAGGCACTAAAGGACATCAGGGACCTCCTGGAGCAAAGGTGACGAACTGGAACCCTGCATGCTTTGCCCTCTGAAGAGGGACCACAGCACAAACGGTGGAGATCCTGGGTCCAAACCCAGGCCTAGGGTTTCATCCCAGAGCCGTAGCTACTACACATTTTGTCACGGTTACGGCACCAAAGCCTTCACGCCAACGGCCGCCACTGTTTGTTTCATTCCAAATAATTCGGCTTCACGTTCAGGCAGCAGAGCCCCCGCTATGGCAGTGTTACAGCCACGCACGAATAAAGTACGTTCTCAATCATCGCGGATTAATGGCCTCAGCTCAGATGGTTAAAACGTGTTGGGTAGACATCGCCATGTGACAGATGCTCTTTGCAGGGCATTTAAAGTGCTTGCCCTCATTGTGGCCAAGAGGCCTTTAGGCTTTGCAACTCTAGCGTTCAGAGCTATTTTCCTGGAAGAGATTTGCATGGAAATAGCTTAATCTCATAACATTGATTGCCAGTGGCCTCTCTTCAGACCAGGAAGAATGGCTATTGCCCAAAACATTACGTGAGCCTATGAATGTTCTTGTTCTAAGGCAGTGGTTCTTAACCTGGGGTGCACGCACCCCCTGGGGGTGCGAGATTCCTTTTCTGAGAACCAAAGGGGTGCAGTCTGCAGTAAAGGTTAAGAAGCACTGTTCTAAGGTAACGTGAATGATAACAGTAACGTTTGCCCCGCACCCCCGTGGATTAGCCACTGGCTGGCACCGCTACAATCTTGGGTTCAACCCTGGGTAGTCGCCAGTGACTACACACAAATACCATAAGGTTTTACTTGAGTTTTCAGTTTAATTTGGCAGAAACTCTGGCTTTGAGAAATCGACCTAGTTCCGACTGCCATGCGACATACATCTCTACAGCATGCAGGAAGTCGTGGGTTCGATCCAGACCCTGACACCCGCTGTATATTTGGAGTTTGCACGCTCTCCCTGTGGTCGCGTGGATTTTTCTGCGGGTCCTCCGGTTTTTCCCTCCACATTTAGAATTAACTTCACCCGATGTCGTCAGATCTCAGAAGCTAAGCAGGCTTGATCATCGTTCGATGGGTGCCCACCGTTCATGGAACAGGTGGTATAGGCAACTGCAGGGCTATGTAGATTATTTGGCTGCTTTACATTTCCACATGATGAGCTGTTTCATTGAGCTATCATTTGTGGCCACAGTCGCTTCTGAAAAATAAGCTAATCGCTCCGTGGGTTTAACCTGGTAAAATAAAAAGTTTAGTTTTACGTGGGAAGGTGCTATGGCCTCTCGTATACGTGCCAATTCAAGGCATCTCAGATGGAGATGTGTAATAATATATCCTTCCGCAGGCCGTTCTCCAACACACGGTGGGGTGAGTGGGGTGGGGGGGGAGGGGTGGTGGGGAGGGAGGGAGGCGGATGTACTGCTCTGCAAGAGTTTCCGACAGGACAATTTGGCTCAGGGCGGAATAAAAAATTGATAAGGAAAAACAAAATCTCATAACTAGTTTCGCAGACAGACATTACTGTAACAGCTCGTTAACAAAACCCGCCGTTGCTTCCCGTGACGTGTGCAGGGAGACGAAGGCTTGGCCGGACCGGCGATCCCGGTAGGTGCCAACTTGGCAGACGTGAGCGGCGTGCTGCCATTGCCACCTGCCCTCTGCCCTCTGCCTGCATCTGAGCCCACATTAGCGTCTTCCGCTCGTAAATGTGTAAATGAGATCCACGGATGTGTGATCCAACGGTGGAGCGAGCGGTTCGCAATCCGAAGGCTTGCGAAGTCAAATCCTGGATGGTGGTGGGAGGGTGTGGTTGACTCAGCCCATTATCCTTTTCTTGGGGATTGATACAATAGATCAACAGTATGTTGTCCTGTGGGGGAGACTTGCCCTCGCCATAGCAATGTGGAACTTCCACCACTGGCTCCCAGTGGCTACAAACAAGAGATGAGCAGCGTCCCGAAGCGCATGGCTTGCCGATGTTATTTATTTATTGAGTAAATTATCCTTTCAAGAGACAACTTGGCACAGGTGAAATGTCCTGTTTCTGTCGAAGCCTCCAGTCTACCTTTGCTTAGTTGGGGGTGGGAGGAGAGTGCGGGTTGCTCTCTCCTCTAGTCTGGAACTCCCTTCCCCTATAGCCCTCCGTGTTGTCAACTCCTTTCCCCTGTTCAGGTCCAGGCTGAAGACCTTCCTCTTCTTCCCTGCCTGATAACCACTGAGCCAAACCACAAATTGTATTCCTGTTTTTATTCTATCGAGTCCAGCGATTTGACCTTAGGGCCAGTAGGAGTCTGAACTCGTCCTGGGCACCCCCCCCCCCCCGCCCCGAGGTAAATTTATCTTCATAAACGTGTCTCCGGTGCGTTGCGTCAGCGCGAAAACACGGAGGATAAAGGCACCCAGGCATGGGCGGTTGCCCGCTACGCTACCGCATCGCGAGCCGTGCCACCCTGGTGCCACGGTGGGAGATGTTTACTCCCTCGCCTGGTATACAGGAGTTCGTGGGCTCGATCGAGTCCCTGACGATTACTGTATGTCTGGAGCTGGCATGTTATGCCTGTGGTCGAGGGGATTTTCTCCGGGTCCTCTGGTTTGTCCCTCCATATTTAGAAATATGCGTTTAGAGTATTTGGCTGCTATAAATGTCCACATGATAAGCGACTTCGTTGAACTATCATTTGTAACCAGGTCGCTTCTGAAAAAAGCTGTATAGTTCAGTGGGCCTTACCTGCTTAAATAAAAAAGAGTTTAGTTTAACAATTGCTTGCTAACAGCACGTGACAACACAATGTGGGCAAGGCTACGTGGGGGGCAGTCGTTTGTGCGGCTTGTGATGTTGTTGTGGGATAATGGACTGCACTACAAACCGAGTAACATGGTTTTGACCCCGAGGCCAATTCGGCCTTGGTGCAGTGTAAACATCGGCATGGGAGGGGAGGGGGGGGAGATAAAGGGCAACTGGCTGTGATACATTCCACGCCGCGGTGGCGAGATGTTAACTACCTCGCCTGGTATACAGGAGGTTGTGGGTTCGATCCCAACCCTGACGCCTGCTGTATATTTGGCGTATTTGGCCGATCATTTGTGGCCAAAGAAGCTTCTGAAAAAGAGCTATATAGCCCAGTGGGCCTTACCTGGTAAAATAAAAAAAAATCATTTTTTAATTGTTTACGTCACCTCCTTCGCGGATTGCACCGCTCTCTAACCCTGGCGGGCGCTCTCTGTGCAAGCGGCGTGCATGGATCCGTTAACGTTTTCTTTTCTCTCCCCTTGGCGGCAGGGCCCTCCTGGGGCCCAGGGACCCAAAGGCCTCCCCGGCGCGGCAGGGATGCTGGGGCAGCCCGTAGGTCCCACACGAGCCACCGGAGCGCCGTCGCCACCGCCGCCGCCACACGTTCCGTTACTGATCATCGGCGAAAACGCTTTCTTCGTTACGTTAGCGATGGCGTGGCCTCGCCGCGATATGTCTCGGTTTTGTTGTCTTAATTCTATTTATCTCTTGCCGCAGGGACCCAGTGGTGAAAGCGGTGCGCCTGGAGCAAAGGTCACTACGAATTTAGCTTTTTGTAAATCGGAGCGGGCTTGTTAGGGCTCTCCTTCCCCTATTCTTGTTATTTTATTCTTTAGCCTCTGATATTATTTTTGTTTTTCGAGATATTTTGTTGCCTTGTCTGATTATAATGCTGCCTGCCTTCTTTCGCGACTAACAGTCTTCCTTTTGCAACGTCTTGCCTCTAAGCTTTGAATTATGTTGGGACCAAAATATCCGCGCGATATTATAAGAAATATATATGCCTATGTTTCTTATGATACGTACGTATTTAAAAAAAAAAAACGCCTCTTGGTCACGTGCGATCTGACTTCACCTTCTGCGGCAAAGCACAGCGCTCCGTTGTCCAGCAAAATCTGACAACGCATCGTTGAGCCAAGACTTCTAAGGAGCCACCTTTGTCTTGCCGGCCAGACCACGGGGGCTTTGATGGCGATTGGCCTTTGCGCTCAAATGGGCCTTACCTCGACTCGACCTCCAGGCCTGTTGAACACCCCAACGGAAGGGCGGAGGCTCGCGATGCAACGATTACCAGTCTGTACATTGAGCAAAGGCCGGAGGTGACTGAGTTGCTGGAGGGACACATATTGGCCGTGTTAGAACAATGACCCAGTACTACAATGTCAGCGTATGCGCGTGTGTGTGTGTGCGCGTGTGTGTGGATGCCTAGCGTTTAGCGCGCCGTGCTATACTAACCCGGCGACCCGAGTTCGATTCCCACTCACGACCAACACCGGTGTCGATTATCTGAACCGGTCCTGGGCCTCCCCTATGTCGACTCAGCCTCAAAATGAGTACCCGATGCGGTGTGTAGTAAACATCGCCGCTGGGGGGACAAAGGCGTCCGGGCGTGGTGTTGGCAACCCACCCCCTCGTGTGCCAATCCGGCCCTCATAGATACTACCCACTAACATCACTTGCCCCAACAGTCTGTTAAGGCTATACGGGGGATCTTTGTCTTTGCCTTTGGGTCAACGAGGCTGTAAAGCGACGGTCTCGGCTCACTCGCGGGCAACTGCACGAATTCGAAGTGAACAAAAACAATTTAAGTTTACCCCTTAATCTGTCCCCGTCCAACTGTGAGCGCTCAATTTACAAATGTATCGCGTGATTCACTGGGACGAGTCAGAGGGCACGGCGACGGAGGAGATGGAGCGTTGAAATCAATAAACGCGCAGGCGCTCGGCGGATCATTGCGTCGTAGCATCATGAGAGGTGGCGGCGGCGTGGGAGAGGCTTTCATCCAGCAGTGGACTGACCGTGGCTGATGATCATGGTGATCAGAGTGACTAACCGCTAAGGGGAAAAATATTGTGCTCGGGTGTGACACATCGCGAAGGCGGATGATGGCAGCCGGAATAAGTAACAGGCGCCCGAGATAATGTCCCCGGGGTGGAGATCGAGTGATGACATCAGATCATGTTCGAGTACGATAGGTGTCGTGAATTGATGGTCTCACCCCAGTCACCATTGACCGCATGAAAGGAAATCACATTCAGTTGGTTACTCACTTAATGTGGCAGAGTTACAGCAAATATCAGTTTGGGTGTCATGCCACGACAACAACAATACCCCCCAGCGGCCGAGGCAGTTGTAAAAGTGCTGCCGCTGATTGTGTGGATCAGAGGTCACTGCGAGAACGGATCTCAGAAGTTTATTCTGCGATGTCCGCTTCCGTGGGGCCATTCTCCGCCACAAACGGAGCATTGCACTAACCCATCAAATCATTCGTTGTACGACATGACTCGACAGCGCACGTGAGATTCAAACAAGTACGTAAATAAATGCACGATTAAACAAATGAAAGCCGAATAATGATGACGTTTAAAAGAATCCTCGGCCAACTGATCATCGCGCGAGCCTTGTTCCTTCTGGCCTCGCGCCATGCACCGAAGCCGCACGCCCGCACGTTGGCGTTGTCGGAAACATCACGAGGCGACCGCTGGGACGCTAATCCCATCGAAACTCATTCCGCGGTCCGACCCCGCCAAGTATTTTTGCAGGCGGACGGGAGCTTCCTAGGGAACACTTAGGGCGAGCGCTCTTGGCTAAACGAGCGGGAACAGAGGCCAGACCCAATTACGGGCAGGGCAGATTGACGGCTGCTTGGGTGTGCGTGTACGTGTGTAAGTGTGCGTGTGTAAGTGTGTGCGTTGTGTGGGGAGCGGTAGTGTAGCGGTTAGCGCTACGCTGCGCTATGAACCCGGCGACCCGGGTTCGATTCCCGCTCACCTGCCAACACCGGTGACGATTATCTGAATCGGTCCTGGGCCTCCCCTAGGTCGACTCAGCCTCAAATGAGTACCTGGTGCGGTGTGTAAACATCGCCACTAGAGAGACAAAGGCGGCCGGGCGTGGTGTTGGCCACCCACCCCCTCGTGTGCCGTGCCGACCTTTATAGGTGCTCACTAAGAGCACTCGCCCCAACAGTCTGTTAAGGCTACACGGGGGATCTTTATCTTTTTTGTCTTGTGTGCCATGTGTTTACCGAGTGTTTTTTTTGTGTGTCAGGGGAAACCGGGACAGCCAGGAGTTCCGGGAAGGGATGGCAGCCCCGGACTGAGAGGGCAGGATGGGATACCAGGCCGAATGGTGATGCATGGCGCACACACACACATACAATCTGACACAAACGAAGATGCTCATGCACACACATTCACATATACACTCGCGCACAAGCTCAGATACACTCTCCATGAAGCCTGAACAGACTTTTGGGGTAAGTGCTGTGAGCGAGGGAGGTGGTGGCCAGCGGCGATGTTTACACACCACACCAGGTACACATTTGTGGATGAGTCGACCTAGGGGAGGCCCAGGATCGGTTCAAATAATTGTCACCGGTGTTGGCCGTGAGCAGGAATCGACCTTGAGTCGCCGAGTTCATAGAGCAGTGCGCTATCCGCGACACTACCTCTCCCCGCACACTCGTACACGCTCGTATAGAAGAATGCATATGTGTACACATGGAAAAAAAACATAGATCCTCCGTATAGGCTGTCGCAAACTATCGGGGGATAGTGCTACTCGCGAGCTCCCATTCTGGCCGGCATACTGTTACATCCTGACCATTTTCATAAAGTAATGATATACTGTGTGCAGCGCTTAATTTCAGCTGGACCTGTCCGGATCAGAGACCCACAATATATATTTCCGCAATCCGGCACACAACGTCGATTATTCTCTGTATGACTGTGGCTACGAGTCACTTGCCTACATCCGTCTACCGGCGAGCCGAAAAGAGCGCAGTGAGAAGTGAACCGGAGCTCAAGTGGGAAATCTACATCCAGTTTAAGCCATGTGTTCCATTCTGTACAACGTAGAGCATTAAGAACACTACGCGGCAATCGCGTTTACTTTATTCGTTGAATGCATGGACCATTTCCCGTGAGTGCAGCTTCAGCTGGCATTCAAATTCATCGCGCAGATGATGACGGAGAGGCCAACGCTCAATCTTAGAGGCCCAGATCCCAGTTCAATGAGTTCAGACTTCATTCCCACGCGGAGCAGAGATTGTCCGTACTAATGATCGTAACGCCCTGTAACAGGACGTTCAATGCGCAGTCTTTTTTACGACCTGACGCCCCCCCCCCGCCTCCCAGTTCTTTGCCATTTGCGTGACCAAACGAGGACCTTTTTAAGATTCAACTTTTGTTTTCACTTGTCACAGCAAGACAGGAGGAATTGTTCTTATGCTGGGGGGCAGATGTTAATACCGCGTAATTAGCAGTTCTCTTATATTGTCTTGGTGGGGGGGGGGTGGGGGGGAAGGGGGGGGCGGGCGATGGACGCCGAGGTTTTTGTTGGTGCGACCGGACACACCGCCAACCAGCGGCATCGAAAGCAGATGTAGATTCATTTGAAAGTAATTGTCTGTGAATTGTGACATCAAAGAAATTGTTTCCTCTCTTTTTTACAAATTCCAATTGTGCCACGGGCTTCTTGTGTCAGGATTTGGAAGACGCTTCCATTGGAATCTTTTTGGCAGGGCAGTGCAGCAGCCCTGTGTGTAAGAGAACAGCCCGTGGAAGATGATATCATGGGAGTACTTCTGAGATTCATTTGAGTGTCTTTTTTCACACCCACACACTCGGGACAATACACTCGCCCACGTGCCCTGCTGTACAGGTGTTTGCCAAACGGCAGCCGAACGACGATTTATATCATTGTATTCTCAGCGTTAGATAATAATTTGTTTGCCAAATTTGGCGAACAAATCAATTTGAGCAACTTCACTTTACATGGTGTGCTAAGACCATCAGCTCTGTGGCCTTATTGATGACAGGGCTGAGACCATCAACTCACTGGACTTGAGAACCCGGTATTATCACGGGTACAGCCGAACCGCGGATTTTAACCCAACTTCCCAGCGCTGCCAACTCATGGTTCTGACCCCTAAGTCAGGCGGCCACATTCACAGGAAATACTTGTCGACTGAGTTTTATTGGTTGTCGTCGTTGTTGTTGTTTTCACTGTGCCGGTCATCTCTCTTTCAGGGCATGCCAGGGCCCACTGGACTACGAGGACCCAAGGGAGACACGGGCCCCATCGGATCACCCGGCGTGGTACGCACCTTCGCGCCATTCCGTTATCTCCAACGTAGAGGGCACAACCTCACCGTGGAAGCTGTTGGGGGCCCATCTAGCGAATGGTTTGCCACGGTGGCGAAATTCATTTGCTGGGTGGCTACTGCGGTGACGAGATGTTAACTCCCTTGCTTGGTATGCAGGAGGTCGTGGGTATGATCCAGAGCCTGACGCCCGCTGTATATTTGGGATTTGCATGTTCTCCCCGTGGTCGTCTGGATTTTTCTCCGGATCCTCCGGTTCCCCCCCCCCCCCGCATTTTAGAATCAACATCACACGTTTTAGAGTATTTGGCTGCTGCAAATTTCCACACGGTGAGCCACTTATTTTAGCTATTGTCTGTGGTCATGTCACTTCTGAAAAAGAACCATATAACTCAGTGGGCCCTTACCTGGTAAAATAAAAATAGTTTAGTTTAGATTAGGTTTCCTGGTGGCTATCGGTCAGAATGCAAATAGGATTCGCGTAGTTGGCCTCCCGATTCGTCATTGCAGCACTGTGATTATATTAAGTTGCATAATTATTGGCAATGCTGAGCCGCCTGTTAGTGCCCTTCTGTGTAAAGTATTGAAATGTTCCGTCGTCAGCATAATCGGCATGCGTGTAACCATCTTCAAGGGAAGAAAATTCGGACTCCAATATGCGACGAATTTCGTCCAAATTTTTGCGGGTGTCTTCCTCGGCCTCATCTTTATAGTTTTGAAAATGTACAGACGCCTATCGAGTAACTAAAGACGCCCACAGTGGCTGGAGACTGTGTTGGAAAAACAACAACAAATGTTGGATATTCCTATGAATAAATATAAAACTTTTTGTTTATATATTTGAAATATCAGTCCCGTAAAAAGTGATTGCGAAAAGAAAATTGGAGGCATAAACTTTTTTTGGAGCATCCATCAAACATTTAAGTGCTGCCTGCAACGTGGCCAACCCTTGCCCAGCTGCCTTAATCCCTCTTTAGTGCAAGGGAAGCCATGAAGCTGGCTTTGTGAGTTTCAGACTTTTGCTGCACGGCAGCATGGGCCCACACGCCTCATTATCCGCAACGGCCACTCACACAGCAGGAACGTTACATTCCAACGCTGCCAACGCCCTAAAGTGGAGCGTTGGCAAGCGTGCCTCAAGCGAGTCGCTCGACGTTGCCAGGTGGACCTCAAGCCGTCAGTGATACTGCACATCGCAAACTGACGCAGGATGCCGAGTACAAACTTGGAACTGCTCCTGAAGCTGCACCATGTCGTCACCCGTTGCTTCTATTTAGCTCTTGTCCGTGATATGTGCTCAACAATTTAGCATTGGATGCTACCTTCCAGAAGCATAATATTCTTCAAAATTGCTTTTTTTTCTGTCTTGCCCGGCCTTCTAGCGGTAGCTCAAATTGACTTTAAAAAAAAAAGTCGCGAGATACCGTGACTATGATTACGAAGTTGGCCACCGCTCATTACTTCCGAGTTGTAGTCGTGGCGCATAAAACAATAAAAAAAACCACACAATTTTTTTCCTCTCTAACTTAATCATTGCGGGCGAGCGCATATGGACACGGTGCAGTTCATTTGCAGAGAAGGCGCCGCGTGTGAGCGTGGGCGCGCCGTTCGATCGCGAACTTCGTTAAATTGCCTGCTTTTGTTTGGGCTAGTGTGCGCTGGATGGCCGCATTATTGATCGCTCCTCAGCGTGCCCTCGGGATCTTGGGGAGGGGGTGGGGGGGTGGTGGGGGAACTGCACCAACAGGTGACCTCGGGTTAAGCTACCGACCCACTCGCTATCTCTTTGACGAAATCTACCGGCGTCTGCAACGGAGTTGGCGGCGGACGGGGGTGGTGGGGGGGGGGGTGCAGGGGGCTAACAAACAACAACAAAATCTACAAAAATCCCATCGCGTTCCCAAAGGCAGCGCCGTGACCTCGCGCCACTCCATTCTCGTACCGCCCGCCCGCCCGCAGAAATGATTTGTAATTAGCGCGATAACACTTGTTAGTCGCCGTCCTCACGTGTGCGATATTGAGGGGCTCATAATTGGATACAAGTTTTGCACGCACGTAAAAAAACAACGAACCGCCCCAGCATCTGCGTTTTTGAAAAAAGTTATTTTAGTTCATATTTGTTTTATTATCATTATATTCACGTGGCATTTTCTTTTAAAAGTGCTTCTTCTGCACGGTGATTTAATGCACGTGGAATTGTTAGCCAAAGCACGCTAACGTAACGGAGCATGTGCGTATTAATTGTGGGTTGTAATTATTATATTCACTGTAAGCTGAACATTTATATCATTAGACCTCCTTTGCCAGTACCAAAATGTAATAATAGGGTTTTTCCCCTTTTTTCTGGCAACAAAACTGAAACCTTGGTGTGGACCAATCAGTTTCAAGGACAATGCATATATTATCATAGTGTGTTTTTTGTTTACATTTTGACTGCAGGTATTGTGGTTAATGCAGACATGAATCCTTGTAAAAAAAGGTTTCAGTTTTGTTGCCAGAAAAAAGGGGAAAACCCCTATCACTGAACATATTTATTTGCTTTTACAGTCACAACCTGGGAGAAAAGGCCCCAGGGGTGAGAAGGTAAATACAACTTCGCATTTCACATCACATACGTTCGCTTGTGAATTTCATATTTTGTTAATCGCAGTCATCGTGGGTCTACGATTAAACCCCATTCGGAAATCACTCCTTTTAGTTCAGTTGACGCCAGGGGTGTTGATGCTTGTCACAAGTTGTGCCACCCGATATGACATGGCTCGGATACACTGAGGGACATTGACAAAGCAAATGGAAAAAAAAACCAACAATCAACGGTGAAAAAAGTGTGCAAAGAAGCATGGAGAAGGATGCGTACTTGAAATGGCACCAAGCGACAGGAAGAAGAGCCACATTTGACTTTGGAACGTGCGCAAGTTTAGAGACATCGTATTGGCCGCTCGTAAAAGTGTGAGTGGGCTTGGGTCGGGCACGCCGCCGGAAGGGTTTGGTGGCGGGTGGTCGAGACGGACGACAGAAGGAGCAGCCGACGAGGAACACAGTCCCAAGATGACGCCCACCACAGAGGTGGAACGGCGACTCCAGCTCGTGGCCAGGAGCTGGATGGATTGCTGCGTCTAGATTGAAAACTCACTTTGCGTTTTTGGCTGGCCATCGGACAAAAGGCGGTCGCCGCATCGCTCGTTCTTTCAGATGCGCTACTGCGGCCGTCTGGAATGCTCTTTCTGCCGATATTAGGAAGCCACTGGAGTTATGTACTTTTAAATGTAGATTGAAAACTTATTTCCAGAGAACTGCTTTTTGTGTGTAGTTTTCTGTCCTTCCCCCACACCTCCGATTAGTACGATTGGCTGCATACGATGCGAAAGACCTTCAACACACGGCACATATCCGTGACACAATGAGAGGTAGCGACAGCTCAGAGAGTCCTTCATCCAGCAGGGTACAGATCATGACTGATTTTTTTTTAATATACAGACGGTGTTCATCTCTACCGGTGGCCCCTGAAACAGTGGCTGTAAATTCCATGTTCCTATGGCAGAGACCATTCAATCTGTAGTACAACCCTCGTTAGCATCGCTCAAAAGTGGCACTCTGACGCCGGCGGGATGGTGATGGGCTAAGGCACAGGTCTAACTGTCATAATGATGCGACGTTGTGTGAGAATGTGGTGACTTAATGTGTAGTGCAATAATAATGTCAGTTATAAATGACAGCCTCGTTGAGTTTCTAACTCTTTCAGGTAGGGGACCGTATTGGGATGTTTGGGTAATTCCATTCTAAGGATATGGGAAACTGGAGTAACTGGAGAAACCTACACATGTCGAGGGGGATAACACTCCAAGGTCCACGGAGGTTTATAGACCCACTCGCTGTGAAGTCATCCAGCCTCGCAGGTTCATGGGTTCGTCAAATTTATGAGAGCCCCACCGACACTTGTGTCCAGATCATTCTGGATCAGAGACACGCGCCTGCACGCCTGGTTCAGTAGCGATGTAGCTCAGTGTTGTGGTAGTGGGAATGCGTGGCGCGTGACGTACGGTGACGTAGTGTGCAGTGTGCGATGTACAAGGCTAGGTGCGGTGTCGTAGTGTGCAATGTTTGTGTTTTTGTTCAGGGAGAGCCGGCTGAGATTGAAGGAGGTGGCACGAGCATCAAGGGAATGCCAGGGGACAAGGTGAGTCATCGGGGAGTCTTCCTGCCGCTCTAGCATTCTGGCACGAGCAGAGTCTGGCAAACTGAGCGTTCTCTGCCCACCCGGCAGCGCGGAACGTGTTCGCCGCGGTCGATCGGCAGGTTCGCGTACGGTGGGGCAAAGTGTGGGCGCTCCCACCTTTTCGGTGACGTCTGGCCCCCGTGGGCAAAGCAGGCTAAATAACCCTCTGGGCGAGTTTGATCCCCCACAGTGGAATAGGCTCTTCTGTGAGCAGTGGTGTGAGCGTGAAATGCCGTGGGTTTCAGCTTTACCTGCTAAGCACTCCCGCGATGATTATTCTCACTGTTGCGGCATGGTTTTATGTTCATATTCTTTTCTTACGTTTCTCCTCCCTCCTCCTCCTCCCTCCTCCTCTCGACAGGGGGAGAGAGGCAGCCGGGGCCCTCCGGGGAAGAAAGGCGAGGAGGTTTGTTCTGAGAATTTGAGGTTTTCTGGATTTCTGGTGCCGTTTTCGTTAGCACCACTCTCAAGTGTATTTGTTCGCAGGAGACACCGCACGCATTTTGATCTTTGTCGTCATCCTCGTCTGTGTCACAGGGCGAGCTTGGAAAACCCGGGCTTACGGGGTCGGTGGTAAGTGCCATAAAAATAATTGAGGGTCATTGCCCGACACATTCGTCTGTTGCATATCTTTATTACGGAAGGCAGTTTTAATGATGATGATGTTTGCGTGTGCGCGTGTTTTTTTTTTCTAACGTAAATATTTCTTACTATTCTTCGTGTGGTCACTTGTAATTATTTGTTCATGAACTGTGTTTCCGAACCTTTTCAAACTTTGCCTGGAAATAAAAACCTCCAGCCTGCGACGATAAAAGATCCCCTAAATATTTTGTCTCTTTCCAGGGCCCCAAAGGAAGCCACGGGGAGAGGGGACAGAGGGTACGTCCACCCACACACAACCACCCCCCTTGCGTTTACTGCTATCTCCCGAGGCGTACCTTAATCAGAGGCCTCAGCGGCCATCTAGGAAACTCACGGTGCCATCATTAAAGCCGCCCACAAAGTAAACATCTAAATTGCGGCAAGAGAGCGGAGAGTTGCAACGGGCTGGACACTTGCGCAAGGGTGGAGGAGAGAGGAGCACGTCAGCAGGAGATAGGCACCATGGGGCGTGGCCACCCCCAGAGGTGTGTGACCCCGGGAGGAAGACCTCAATCCAGAAGATGACGTCGCCGAGGAGATTGTTACGATGCGGCCCAGAGAAGGACGCGCCAGCCGCGTAACAGTGGGGGGGACGCCGTCCACTCGTGCAGACGGTGGGACAGCGGAATGAGAGCGCCTTGGAGGGCAGGAATTGACTCCGCACCCGCTGGATCTTGCACAAGAGTGGAAGCGACGCGGCATTGTGGCGGGGGCCTGGCGGAGTTGATCGCGATGACCTTGTTGTTGGTCGCGATGACCTTGTTGACCTTTACCGGTCACGTCGTAACCCGGTTTACGCCGACCCTGACCGTCTTGCCGCAGGTCCAAGCGGCGAGCAACAATCGGCACTCTGATGGGATAATTAATCGATCCAAGTTGATATTGATTTTTTATTTGGGTGGGGGGGGGGGGGAAGTGACAACGGGAGGGAATTCCAAAGTGGAAGTGTGCGAGGGAAGAAGCGCTGGAGTGTTGCAACCTGCAGTGTGGTTGAGCCGTGGTGCTGTTGAGTCTAAACAATTCAGCCTGGATGACCCGAGTCCTCAACAAGGGGTGGAGGCAAGGCTTCATTTCAGCTGGATATTTTATGGGACTGAGCTCCGGAATAAATTCAGGCACTGCGTATATGTCCCTACAAATGTTATCACATTCTGCTTGTCGTACAAAATTGTCAAACCGTGCTCGCCTTTCGACATTGCGGTCCTGCTCATGAACCAAATCAAGTTGGTGCATTTTCCCACGTGACGCGACAACTCGAATTGATTGGCTCCGTCGGCTGGGCGAACGGTTACGATCAACAACAACAAATAATTGACATTACACCAACGTGACGTTGTAACCCAAACAAAGAAAGCAGTTATCAATTGCAGGTTTGGAGCCCGCGTATGGAATGAAACCCGACTCTTTTGCGTTTACTTTTTTTGAGACAGGGCGACGCAACCTTGGGGAAACCTGGGCCGGATGGCCTCCCTGGTCCTGCTGGCTTTAAGGTGAGGTTCACAATAGGGCCCTCAAATTTACGAGACGGGCACGTGTTTGCCCCGGGGAAAAGCCTCGACGGATAATAGTAATAATTCTAGGCACGTTTGCAGGAGCGATTGACTGAGTGAGTGAGTTAACGGGTAGTTTCAAGTTTTCAAGTTTCATTTATTAGGTATAGCCCTGTGAGCCATGCGGCTCTTAAGTCGGGTGCAACCGCAGCAAACAAAATTTGAACACAGAACATCTTAAAGCGACAACGCGTAACAGAAACATCCTGGAATAAACCAGCAAATATTCCACACACAAAAAAAGTATTAAAATGCTGTGTGCAAAAATCAATGATGTGATGGTTGGTGAGTGAGTGAGTTAACGGGTAGTTGGTGTGATGGTTGGTGAGTGAGTGAGTTAACGGGTAGTTGGTGTGATGGTTGGTGAGTGAGTTAACGGGTGGTTGGTGAGTGAGTGAGTTAACGGGTAGTTGGTGTGATGGTTGGTGAGTGAGTGAGTTAACGGGTAGTTGGTGTGATGGTTGGTAAGTGAGTTAATGGGTGGTTGGTGAGTGAGTTAACGGGTAGTTGCTGTGATGGTTGGTGAGTTAACGGGTGGTTGGTGTGATGGTTGGTGAGTGAGTGAGTTAACGGGTAGTTGGTGTGATGGTTGGTGAGTGAGTTAATGGGTGGTTGGTGAGTGAGTGAGTTAACAGGTAGTTGGTGTGATGGTTGGTGAGTGAGTGAGTTAATGGGTGGTTGGTGTGATGGTTGGTAAGTGAGTTAATGGGTGGTTGGTGAGTGAGTGAGTTAACGGGTAGTTGCTGTGATGGTTGGTGAGTGAGTGAGTTAACGGGTGGTTGGTGTGATGGTTTGTGAGTGAGTGAGTTAACGGGTAGTTGGTGTGATGGTTGGTGAGTGAGTTAACGGGTGGTTGGTGAGTGAGTGAGTTAACGGGTAGTTGGTGTGATGGTGAGTGAGTGAGTTAACGGGTAGTTGGTGTGATGGTTGGTAAGTGAGTTAATGGGTGGTTGGTGAGTGAGTTAACGGGTAGTTGGTGTGATGGTTGGTAAGTGAGTTAATGGGTGGTTGGTGAGTGAGTGAGTTAACGGGTAGTTGGTGTGATGGTTGGTGAGTGAGTTAACGGGTAGTTGGTGTGATGGTTGGTGAGTGAGTGAGTTAACGGGTAGTTGGTGTGATGGTTGGTGAGTGAGTGAGTTAACGGGTAGTTGGTGTGATGGTTGGTGAGTGAGTGAGTTAACGGGTAGTTGGTGTGATGGTTGGTGAGTGAGTTAACGGGTGGTTGGTGAGTGAGTGAGTTAACGGGTAGTTGGTGTGATGGTTGGTGAGTGAGTGAGTTAACGGGTAGTTGGTGTGATGGTGAGTGAGTGAGTTAACGGGTAGTTGGTGTGATGGTTGGTAAGTGAGTTAATGGGTGGTTGGTGAGTGAGTGAGTTAGCGGGTAGTTGGTGTGATGGTTGGTGAGTGAGTGAGTTAACGGGTAGTTGGTGTGATGGTTGGTAAGTGAGTTAATGGGTGGTTGGTGAGTGAGTTAACGGTAGTTGCTGTGATGGTTGGTGAGTGAGTGAGTTAACGGGTGGTTGGTGTGATGGTTGGTGAGTGAGTGAGTTAACGGGTAGTTGGTGTGATGGTTGGTGAGTGAGTTAATGGGTGGTTGGTGAGTGAGTGAGTTAACGGGTAGTTGGTGTGATGGTTTTTGAGTGAGTGAGTTAATGGGTGGTTGGTGTGATGGTTGGTAAGTGAGTTAATGGGTGGTTGGTGAGTGAGTGAGTTAACGGGTAGTTGGTGTGATGGTTGGTGAGTGAGTGAGTTAACGGGTGGTTGGTGTGATGGTTGGTGAGTGAGTTAATGGGTGGTTGGTGTGATGGTTGGTGAGTGAGTTAACGTGTGGTTAGTGTGATGGTTGGTGAGTGAGTGAGTGCGTGTGGTGAAATGAGTCAACGTGTGAGTGAGTGAAGTAGGCGAATTCGGCGATGGGCAGACAAGTGAATGAGTGAGTGAAGGAATGAGCAAATGAGTAAGCGTGAGAGCTCGCAAGTAAAGCAAGTAAATCATAATAAAATGTGAGAGTGAATGAGTGAATTGGGCAAGTGAAGGGAGTGGGTGAGTGACCATATGAATGAGGAAGTGAGTGAGTGAAGCGGTGAGTGATCTTGCCAGTAAGTGAAGTGGTGAGTGATCTTTCAAGTGAGTGAAGTGGTGAGTGATCTAGCCAGTAAGTGAAGTGATGAGTGATCTAGCAAGTGAGTAAAGTGGTGAGTGATCTAACAAGTAAGTGAAGTGGTGAGTGATCTAACAAGTGAAGTGGTGAGTGATCTTTCAAGTGAGTGAAGTGGTGAGTGATCTAGCCAGTAAGTGAAGTGGTGAGTGATCTAACAAGTGAGTAAAGTGGTGAGTGATCTAGCCAGTAAGTGAAGTGGTGAGTAATCTAACAAGTGAAGTGGTGAGTGAGCTAGCAGTGAGTAAGTGAAGCAGTGAGTCATTCAAGTGAGTTAGTGAAGTGATGAGTGATCTAGCATTAAGTGAAGTGGTGAGTGATCTAACAAGTAAGTGAAGTGGTGAGTGATCTAACAAGTAAAGTGGTGAGTGATCTAACAAGTAAGTGAAGTGGTGAGTGACCTAGCAGTGAGTAAGTGAAGCGGTGAGTGAGCTAGCAAGTGAGTGAGTGAAGTGATGATTGATCTAGCAAGTGAGTGAAGCAATGAGTGAAGTGAGTGAGCGAGTGAAGTGGTGAGTGAAGCTAGCAAGTGATTGAGTGAATGAAGACATTGAGCAGGCAAGTGAGTAAGTTAGCGAGTGAGTGCACAGGTGAGCCGTGCGTTTGTCGCTCTGTGTGCCGCCCCACCGTGACCCCTCTGACAGGGCAGCGCTGGCCTGCCAGGCCCCACCGGCGAGCAGGGGCAGCCGGGCAAGCCGGGCCCTGCGGGGACACCTGGATCACGAGGTTTCGGCGGAAACCCAGGTCCCCGGGGAACCCCGGGCGAGCGGGTGAGGCCCCCCTGGCGATGGTTGGTCTGCGACAGTCATTGGTGACCGGGCTGAGACCGTCAGCTCATTACGCTTGAGAACCCGGTTCGATCCGACCGTGTCCGTCCGGTGCTCGCCGAGCTGCAGTGGCTTCCGGTTGCCAAACGAATAAATTACGAGGTCGCACTAATTACGCACAAAGTGCCTGCCACAAATGAACCACGCGATCTCTGCGCGTTCTCGCACCGCCTTTAGAAGTGCTTCCGCGGCCGTGTGGAACGCTCTTCCTTCCAATGTTAGGATGCCACTGTAGCTGTGCACTTTTAAATCATCTTGATTGAAAACTCATTTCCATGGAACTGCTTTTTGTGTGTAGTTTGCTGTCCTTCCCCCGCAGCTCCAATTAGCACAGTTGGTTACATACGGTGCGAAAGAAGTTCAACATGCATACATACTATCCAGGATCTTGGCTGTGCCGGCCCAGGGCTCTGATCACTGAGCCACTCTGTGATGGTTTTGCCATGCCAGCCGTCATCGGTCCTCGCCGTCACAGCACTTGGCCCAACAACCTGAAAAGGCTATATGAGTGACCTTTGTCTTTGTGTGTGTGTGACTTTCTTTAGGGCGAGCCAGGACCCCAGGGTAAGAATGGAAGCCCTGGGCAGGCCGGAGTGCGAGGGCAGTCGGGGCGTCCGGTGAGCTCCTGCTTTCATTTCAAGAGACTCTGTTTAACGAGGCAACACATCTCGTCAAAACGTAACAAGATCAATCAGCGGACATATAGACGCCATTTTTCTTACGTTTGTGTCTCCACGGAAAAATATATATATCTTTCTGACATCCAATTGGCCCGCACGGCCTTCTGGGAGTGCGTCTCTGCAACAGCGGCGGTTTAACACGAGCAAACTCAGGACCGGATTTGACATTCAGTCTCTCATCATCGGCAGAGTCAGGCTTGCTTGAACCAATGCTGGCAAACTGCCCGATGTTTACAGGCAAGGACCTTCTCTGTCCGTTGTGGGTCAAAGTTCATCTCACACATTGGGCGCATTACAGCTGATTTTGTCACATAGGCAATCATTGCTAGCCTCTCTGTTAACAATGATAATTTTCACAATTACTATCCAAATCCCTACCCCCTACCAAAGTTTTTACATTCTTATTATATAATTATTACTATATAAAATTATTTACGCTACATGCTCATCGTTATTAGTAGTAATTTGTCATTTTAAACGTTTAAGGTGAGGTTTATCTTTCTCGTGTTTTTTTTGTCTTCTGACAGGGCTCAAGGGGAGCCCCTGGGGAGAGAGGTGTCAAGGCAAGTCCCCAGCACGATACTGAACCCATCCAATCAGCTGGGCATGAGAGGCCTCTCCAGTCGCGTTAGGGGCTTTGTTAGACCCTTGTAGGCTGATGGGATTGTGTTTGTGTGTGTGTGCATGTGTGCCTGTGTGCGTGCATTGCACGTGTGTGTGTGTGACTGGTGCAGTAGTGTAGCGGTTAGCGTGCTGCGCTACGAACCTGGCTACACAAGTTCGATTCCTGCTCACGGCCACCACCAGTGACGTTTATCTGAACTTGTCCTGGGCCTCCCCTAGGTCGACTCAGCCTCAAATGTGTACCTGGTGCGGTGTGTAAAACATCGCCACTGGGGAGACAAAGGCGGCTGGGCGTGGTGTTGGCCACCCAACCCCTCGCGTGCCGTGCCGACCTTCAGAGGTGCTCGCGAACAGCACTTGCCCCAACAGTCTGTTAAGGCTATACGGGGCTATACGGGGTCTTTGAGTGCGTGTGACTGGTGCATCAGCCAGTCAGCTCAGTCAGCCAACGCATTGCACCCGGGTCTGTCCCCGTGACCTCCTGTCAGCTTTCCACAACTGCACGTGGTCTCGAAGTGCACCTAGCACTGGCACAAGCGCTGTGGTGATGTCACCGCCACTTCGTGGTGAATGGCGGCTGTTGTTTGTGTGAGTGCTTGCAAATGCATGCATCTGTGTGTGTACGCTTGTGCATGTAATTGTGTGTGTGCCTTGATAGGTGCTCGCTAACAGCACTTTGTTAAAAATAAAAGTCTGTATGTATGAGGGAAGCGGTAGAGGAGCGGTTAGCGCTACGAACTCAGCTGTCCGAGTTCGATTCCCGCTCAGGGCCAACCCCAGTGACGCTTATCTGAACCGGTTGTGGGCCTCCCCTAGGTCGACTCAGCCTCAAATGAGAATCCGGTACGGTGTGTAAGCATCGTCACTGGGGAGCCAAAGGCGGTCGGGCGTGGTGCTGGCCACCCACCCCCTCGTGTGCCGTGCCGGCCTTCGTAGGCGCTCGCTAACAGCACTTGCCTCTACAGTCTGCTAAGGCTATACGGGGGATCTTTGTCTTTGTCCTGTTGCTCAATGTGCGCGCGTCATCATCGCAGGGCGAGAGTGGAGCAGGTCCTCTGGGACCTCCGGGTGACACGGGTCTGAGCGGAGCTCGGGTAATTAATTATTTAAATCCTGTTATTTTCCTAATTCTGAGCCGAGTAACACTCACTTCATTCCAATTAGTACACACAATCTTTCCTAAAGTTTACTTCATTCTGCCCACGCTAATGATGAATTTCACATATCCTGTGAAATGAAAAGAGTGTGAGAGGCAACTTATTTTTAACCTGTTCAACTCCCCTCGTCCTCATTTCCCAGGGTGCACCAGGAATGCCTGGGCTGCCTGGGCCAGCGGGAGAACCGGTGAGTTTCAGCGAGGGCGTCCGCCGGCTGATCCTTGTTCATACCCTCAACATTTATTTTCTTGTCGTTGTTATTCCCCCGGTCGTGTGAGCTCCATGGGAGGGATCTGCTCTTGTGTCGCGTGCAGGGCCTGTCTGGAAGCAAGGGTTACCGGGGAGAGAAGGTGGGTTTCTCATCATCATCATCATCACCTCTATCATCACCATCATCATTGTTCTCCTCGTCCCGCATTGAAGACAATCAGAATTCCCGAAGCAACTTCCCGCGCTGCTGTCCGGCTCTCCGGCGTGTTCCATTTAGTTCCATTTAGTTCCATTTATTTGGTGTAGCCCTGTGAGCCATTCGGCTCTTGAATCGAGTGCAACCGCAACAAACAAAAAACAAAAACACGAACAAGAAAACATCTTGAAGTGCCTATGTGACTATATGCAAACAGAAAATCCAGGAAAAAAAACATCAAAATATTCCTGAAATAGCACCGTACACCAACGCTGTGTGCAAAAATCCCAGTGGGATGCAAGTCAAACAACAACAACAACAACCACAAGACAACTAAGATTAAGGCCATCAGTCCAACTCCGTACTACAATAAACAAAAACATGGCCAAAACCAAAAAAACGTTTTCGAAATCATCAAAATAAAAAGTCATAAATGCAATGTAACAGTGATCATAGGGACTGTGACCGAATTTTTTGTGGTCGGGTCGTTCCGTTTTCTGCAACTGCTCCTTTGGCGTCGTCAAACATTTATGTTCCCTCTCGTCGCAGGGCAACTCTGGGAGTCCTGGACCGAAGGGTGACGACGTGAGTCCCTCCAGCACCTCCTCGTTACCACGGTATCTCCGGGTCGTTATCCCGTAGCCACGTCTCTCCGCGCACATCTCAATGTTGGTCGCATACGGTGAGCTGGCCACTTGCGTGCGAGGGCGGAATAAGATGGAGAAGTGTGGTGAGTGAGTGAGTGAGAGGGTGAGTGAGTGAGAGGGTGGGTGAGTGAGTGAGAGGGTGGGTGAGTGAGTGAGTGAGAGGGTGGGTGAGTGAGAGGGTGGGTGGGTGAGTGAGTGAGTGAGAGGGTGGGTGGGTGAGTGAGTGAGTGAGAGGTGAGGGGGTGAGTGAGAGGGTGGGTGAGTGAGTGAGTGAGAGGTGAGTGAGAGGTGAGTGAGTGAGAGGGTGGGTGAGTGAGTGAGAGGGTGAGTGAGTGAGAGGGTGGGTGAGTGAGTGAGTGAGAGGGTGAGTGAGTGAGAGGGTGAGAGGATGAGTGACTGAGATGGTGGGTGGGTGGGTGAGCGAGTGAGAGGGTGAGTGAGTGAGTGAGTGGGAGGGTGAGTGAGTGAGAGGGTGAGTGAGTGAGAGGGTGGGTGAGTGAGTGAGAGGGTGAGTGAGTGAGAGGGTGAGTGAGGGAGAGGGTGGGTGGGTGAGTGAGTGAGAGGGTGGGTGGGTGAGAGGGTGAGAGGGTGAATGAGTGAGTGAGAGGGTGAGTGAGCGAGTGAGAGGGTGAGTGAGTGAGCGAGTGAGAGAGTGAGTGAGTGAGGGAGTGAGTGAGAGGGTGGGTGAGTGAGCGAGTGAGAGGGTGAGTTAGCGAGTAAGAGGGTGAGTGAGTGAGAGGGTGAGTGAGTGGGAGGGTGGGTGAGTGAGTGAAATGGTGGGCGAGTGAGCGAGTGAGAGGGTGAGTGAGTGGGAGGATTGGTGAGTGAGTGAGAGGAAGGGTGAGTGAGTGAGTGAGATCGTAGGTGAATGAGTGTTGAGAGGGTGAGTGAGTGAGAGGGTGAGTGAGTGAGAGGGTGAGTGGGTGAGTGAAAGGGTGAGTGAGTGGGTGAGTGAGTTGGAGGGTGAGTGAGTGAGTGAGATGGTGGGTGAGTGAGCGTTGAGAGGGTGAGTGGGTGAGAGGGTGAGTGAGTGAGTGAGTGGGTTAGTGGGTGAGTTAGAGGGTGAGTGAGTGAGTGGTGGGTGAGTAAGTGGGATGGTGAGTGAGTGAGTGAGATGGTGGGTGAGTGAGCGTTGAGAGGGTGAGTGAGTTAGAGGGTGAGTGAGTGAGAGGGTGAGTGAGAGGGTGAGTGAGTGAGAGGGTGGGTGAGTGAGTGAGAGGGTGAGTGAGTGAGTGAGTGGGAGGGTGTGTGAGTGAGTGAGTGAGAGGGTGAGTGAGTGAGTGAGATGGTGAGTGAGTGAGTGAGATGGTGAGTGAGTGAGTGAGATGGTGGGTGAGTGAGCAAGTGAGAGGGTGAGTGAGTGAGAGGGTGGGTGAGTGAGTGAGTGAGAGGGTGAGTGAGTGAGAGGGTGGTTGAGTGAGTGAGAGGGTGGGTGAGTGAGTGAGTCTTGTTGTGAGCTGCAGTGTGCTGATAGAACACAGTGTGATGGCATGATCTGGTCGGCCGAGTCCTCACCATGGGTGGAGCAATCGCTGAGTAAAGTTAACAGGCAGCGCTCTGTTCACTGGTGCTTATTCATTCCAGTTACATACATCCAATTGGACAAATTGCATATCTAACTTAATTCGCTGTCTTCCACAGCACTTGTTATACCTATAATTGCCCAAGTCAAAACATTATTTTCATTCTGTTGTTTTCTAAATTTAAATTGAGTCGTTACAATTTACGCTAATTATGAAGGATTCCGGATATAAATTGAAACTATGCAAGCGAGGTGGCGGTGGGGGTGGATTGATGCCCACAGAGAAGAAAGCTCGTACCCCACGGGACACTGCCACGTTGATGGAAGTCGGTGTAGGCTGGCTTGTGCACAACGCAAAGTAATCCTGCCTCCCTGCCTCCCTGCCATCCCTCCCCCCCACCCCCTCCCTTCACCCCTCCCCCCACTCTCCCTGCCTCCCTCCCTGCCATCCCATCCCTCCCCCCCACCCCCTCCCTTCACCCCCCCACTCTCCCTGCCTCCCTCCCCCTCCATCCTTTCCCCTTCCCCCCACTCCCCGTCTCCGTGTGGACAGGGAGACGGCGTTGGGGTTGGGCCGCCCGGCAGGAGAGGAGCCAAAGGCGACAGGGTCAGCGCTCCCCCCCCCCAACTCACCTCACTCACCTCTTTCACTCCTCGCCTGCTCACCTTGTTTCACCTTCATCATTTACTCACCAATCTCACTCGCCTACAACGTTCGCTCACCCTTTGTTCACTCGGGCTCATTCGCTCCACTCAATTCCTTGACTGGACACATCCGTTCAGCTCATTCACTCAGCCTAGCCGTTGTCCACTCAACTCCTTCACCGGACACATCCGTTCAGCTCATTCAACCTCCCCGTGTCATTGTCCCCTGGGTTCGGAATGCCGCAGGGCGACCACGGCCCTGAAGGTCTGGACGGGAAGAAGGGAGACAAGGGCGAGCGTGGACCCGTCGCACCGCAGGTAGGTCGTCGTCGTCGTCACCACCACCACCACCACCCTCGCCGTCGTCAGCCACGGCCTGTCCGCTGCCGGACGAAGGCCTCGCCAAACCGTCGCCACCTCCCCCCGGCGGCGGCCTTGCCGTGTGACACTCCGCGGCGCTCCCTCCGCCGGCGCCGATCCCGTCGCTGCCCCGTCTCTGCGGGGGACGTCCTCTCGGGCGCGTGCGTCCCCCTCCCCGGGCTGCCGTTCTGCCGCCAGTCTCGACCGCCGGCCGTCGTCACTTCCAGGGATGTGCCCTGCCCACGCGGCCGCTCGCTGAGTCCAACACTGACGACGATGTCCCTAGCTCGCGCGTCTATCTCTCATCCGCGGGCCCCTCCTGCTGCTGCCTCTCCGTGTGGTGCCAGGCCCTGCACCTCTCCCCGCTTGCACCTGCCCACGCTCATTGGCTGCGTACGTGCAGCGCTGCGAAGGCTTCAGAATTCCGCGCACGCGTGTGGCGTACCAGGGTCGTTTCACCTCCTCTTGATTGCCTCGTTTTAGTTTTGTTTTCCTTCGTCCCCGCGCGCACGAGACTGAAGCGTGCGATTTACGTTCACAGGTCCCTCCAATGAGATCAATAACCTCCTTGAGCGACGTTGCTCTTTCCCTTTGCGCCTGTGGATTTTTTTTCTTTCTCAAAAGCTCCGCAGTGCCCAGACGCAATTCGTTTGTTTTTTTCTTCTCTCTTTCTCGCAATATACAAAAAAAATATACAGGGACTGCTCTACTTGCAAACGAGTTCGGTTCCGGAGGTCTGTTCGTAAGTCGATCTGTGCGTAAGTCCGACTTTACTGCTGTCGATTCCAAACGTGTTGTACGGCGTGCACACTAAAGACGGGGAATGGCTTTAAACGTTGTATAATCTCCTGTAGCTGCAGATGCCACTGGTTCGTAATTTTTATGCAGATGGAGGTGCCACCATCGCCATTTATTGCGACTGTTCGGACAGGTTTGTTCGCACCTCTGAAAGTTCGTAAGTCGAACGTTCGTAAGTAGAGGAGTCCCTGTATAAAAAAAAAAATAACGCTTGCACTTGTAAATGCTCAATAGCCGAACTGACTTGAATGTCCGACACCCGTTGCCCACAGGGAAGCAAGGGGCAGGGCGGAGACAAGGGAGCACGAGGAATCCCCGGCCTCGCGGGGATTGGCGGTCCCAAGGTAAACGCCACCTCAAGGACTCGCTTCCACGGGGCAGCCAGCTCGGCTCGGCCTGAGGTGGCCTGACTCGCACCGTCCCCGGGTTGACGGACGACTCAAGGTGGTTTAAGAAGCGGGCCTTTCCGTGGCTTTTATTCCATTCGTGATGCGGGTCAGGGCAGGCCTTTCTCAGAAATACTTCCGTGGAAGACCGCACCTCCAAGTAGCACGGTTGGGCATGTACGATACGAGTGCTTGTGAGTAAAAGACCATAACTGCATTGTTTGCAAAGGTGCGTGTTAATTTAAATGTACCTGCCGTCCATAACATTTTTGATCGGCCTGTACCAGGCTGACCTGTTTCCACTCAGCCTAGAGAGTGCAAGCCAGCCCGTGAGGTGACATTGACCCAGAGAATTCAGGCTACTGCCTGAAACGACATTGATACTAATCCAGGTTATTTTGGAAGGAGGACTGACTGCTCACATCTTTCTTCTTGATTTTCGACAGGGTGAACCAGGAGAGCTGGGAATGCCGGGCACTGCTGTGAGTTTTCATATTCACAGTCACGATGTCACCCACCTCGCGTACCGCACGCACCAAACGCACCACACGCACCACACACTCCGTACGTATCACACATCCCTGGGGAAACGTGATGACATTTTTTTGAGAAAAAAAAATCACTCTCCATTCATGCACGTCACCATTCCCTCCTGTGTGCCCTGCTTCCCTCCACGCTGCTCCCCAGGGAACCCCAGGTCTGCGGGGACGAAGCGGATTCAAGGGCATCAAGGGGGAGCGTGGAATGTACAGTGAAAAGGGTGAAAATGTGAGTGGCAAAACGCAAATTCGCGCACGAAAGACAAAACGCCCCTCGGAACTCCGGCGTGCGCGCGGAGTGAAACGTCGGACCTCGTGCCGAGCAACTTGGCAGGATGTGGCGTGGATGCCGTGCAGCACGATTTATATATTTATTTTATGCACGCAACGGGAAACGTCAAACACGGCACTGCATCGACGAAACGCACGACGTGAAACGCACGCCGCCTCGCTCATGACAGCGCGTGGACAAGAGTCGTGGACCTGCGATCTCATTCTGCCGTGTGGCCTTGCCCATACGTATGTGACATACGGGTTGGGGGGGGGGGCGCTCGACTCAGCCAATTCACTAAGGGGGGGGGGGGGGTTGGGTTTTCTGTGTGTGTCGGTGCGTGTGTGTCTGTCTTAATTTTTTCCTGTTGCACGTGCGTACGTTGAACTTCTTTCGCGCCGTCACGTAGCCAACCGTCACGTAGCCAACCGTCACGTAGCCAACCGTCACGTAGCCAACCGTCACGTAGCCAACCGTCACTTAGCCAACCGTCACGTAGCCGACCGTCACGTAGCCGACCGTCACTTAGCCGACCGTCACGTAGCTGACCGTCACGTAGCCAACCGTCACGTAGCCAACCGTCACGCAGCCAACCGTCACGTAGCCAACCGTCACGTAGCCAACCGTCACGTAGCCAACCGTCACGTAGCCAACCGTCACGTAGCCAACCGTCACGTAGCCAACCGTCACGTAGCCAACCGTCAAGTAGCCAACCGTCACGTAGCCAACCGTCACGTAGCCAACCGTCACTTAGCCAACCGTCACGTAGCCGACCGTCACGTAGCCGACCGTCACGTAGCCGACCGTCACGTAGCCGACCGTCACGTAGCCAACCGTCACGCAGCCAACCGTCACGTAGCCAACCGTCACGTAGCCAACCGTCACGTAGCCAACCGTCACGTAGCCAGCCGTCACGTAGCCAACCGTCACGTAGCCGACCGTCACTTAGCCAACCGTCACGTAGCCAACCGTCACGTAGCCAACCGTCACGCAGCCAACCGTCACGTAGCCAACCGTCACGTAGCCAACCGTCACGTAGCCAACCGTCACGTAGCCAACCGTCACGCAGCCAACCGTCACGTAGCCAACCGTCACGTAGCCAACTGTCACTTAGCCAACTGTCACCTAGCCAACCGTCACCTAGCCAACCGTCACGTAGCCAACTGTCACGTAGCCAACCGTCACGTAGCCAACTGTCACCTAGCCAACCGTCACGTAGCCAACTGTCACGCAGCCAACTGTCACGTAGCCAACCGTGCTAATCGGCGGCGTGGAGGATGGCGATGGGGAACGACAATAAACTAAACGCAAAAAAAGCAGTTGTAGAGGAATTAGTTTTCAAATGAAATGGGCCTCGATCACGTTGCCCGTGTTCGTGGGGGCTGGCGTTGGGACCAGTGATCGACTTGCTGTGATCGTCGCACGTGGTGATTTTGTACTCGAGTAATCATCTTGCTGCGGCGTACGCTCGGGTCGCCGGCGACGGGAGCTGACCGTCTGCGATCTTTGCCGGCAGGGCGACGTGGGCTTGAAAGGGCAGTGTGGCGAGGATGGAGCGAAGGGAGCCAAGGTTTGTAGCCGGCTCACCGTCGTGACGGGCACCGGCACCGACACCGCACCTCACCGCACAGCCACTGCCGGGCGCACGCTCTCTCCACGGAGGAGCTTCCGGCGAGGTCCGTTAATCCGGCCGTGTCCCCCCCACCCACCCCCCGATCCCCCCCCACCCCACCCACCCCACCCACCGGGTCCCCCTCCCACCCCACTCACCGCCCCCCCCCCCCCCCATCTCGTTCTGCGTGCAGGGAGACCCTGGGCTTCCCGGAGGCCGTGGTTCACCGGGGGAGAGAGGAGAGAGGGTGAGGCTTTGGTACTCGCAGGCCAGAGGTGGCCGGTTCGATTTGATCTCCCGGCGTGGCGGTGGAAACAGCGGCGCGAGTCTTTTTCAATCCGCACGTCACCCCACGCCCCTGTCCACCCGGTAGTGATGTAAATTGACTCTCCGCGAGTCATCTATTTGTGGGTTGCGTGCGGTGAAGAAAAAGCCAAAATTACTCTCGAGGCCCTGGAGGTCCTCTCCAGGGCTCCGTCGAACGGAGGCTCTTCTGCCAGGAGTAGCGTAGGCAGGCAATTACCCAGCTGCACCTTCCCATTGCGTTTACAGTCATTACACACGGAGCGCTTTCCAAAAACAAACCACAATACCTTGCTGGTCTCGTCAAGGAGCGTAGACCATCACGCGAATTTCGGTCATCCTCGCGGCAGCAGTTTTTGGCTGGCCCTCGAACAAAGACGGTCGCTGCATCGACCGTTTTCAGATGCGCTTCTGCGGCCGTCTGGAACGCTCTTTCTGCCCATATTAGGAAGCCACTGGAGCTTATGCGCTTTTAATTCTAGATTGAAAAGTCATTTCTTTAGAACTGCTTTTTGTTTTGAGTTTGTTGTGCTTCCTCCAGCACCTCTGACGAGCACGGTTGGCTACGTACGGCACGAAAGAAGTCCCACACACGTACATACAAATGCATGCTGCGAATGGGTTGCTCTTCATGGAAAATAACGGGGGTTCCGTTGACAGAGCGGATTGTGCCGGGTGTGTGCCCCCCCTCGGTATTTCAGGGGGTACACGGCGTGCATTCTAAATACCAGGTTCGTCGTCTTATCGCGCCTCTTGCCATCAGCCTTGCCGTGCATCCCGCCAGCAGGCGTGGCCGCGAGCGATCGCCATCGCTGCCGGTTAAGCCGCGTGCCAACGGGCATTTCACGGTCTCACGCACGCACCCACGCCTGCCGCGTGGAGTCTGACAAATCGTCGTAATGGCCAGATAAACGAACCGTCACATCAAGAGAAGACAATTAAACTGCCAGGCCGATTACGGTAAGTCACCGAAACCCCTCACCCACCGGTACGGCCGTGCCGTGCCGAACCAAGCCCCTTACGGCCCAGGAAACATCAACAGTGGGGAAACAAAGGCGGCCGGGCGTGGTGCTGACCGCACTACCCCCTCGGGTGTCGTGACGGCTTGTGATAGGTGCTCACGAGCTGCACTTGCCCCAACAGTCAGTATGTGAGAGGCTATATGGGGGATCTTTATGATTGTATGTGTGTGTGTGTTGGCAGGGTGAGCGAGGCATGCTGGGTACTCCGGGAGCACCCGGGCAACAAGGGGCATCAGGACCAAAGGTGAGAGGTCAAGAGGTTCATAGATTAAAGTTGAACACCGGCCAGTGAATATTTTATTTATTTATTAAAACAACCCTGTCGAAACGCTAACCGCATCAACAACAGCTGGAAAGATATTAACACAGTTCGAAGCCTGTTCAGGTTCAATGGTGCTGGGTTACTCCTATCTGCTGTATGGTTCTGAAACGGGGTTTGCACCGACTAAACATATTTATAAACGATGAGATGTGGTTAACAGCATCAGAGCCTATTGGCTGAATAGGCCAAATAATCAGGGCACGTGTCAAGTTTCTTCTAGTACGTACGTATGTTGAAATTCTTGCACACCGGACGTAGCCAACCGTCCTACTCGGATGTGCAAACCATGTTTCGATAAATAGCGTATCGTAAGCTTTCAAGCAACTTCTCATTCATCGCAAATGATTAAGCGGCCTAGAAGGACTTATCTGGACACACACACACGCACGCGCACATACAAATAAACAGCATTCAGCATAGCCACTTATACAGGGTGGGCCATAAGTAACTGTCTGATTTTAAATAGTCGGATTTTTTATGTTAAACCATTTTGTTTATTTTTTTTGTCACAATAATAAAGTATAAGCCTGGGAGTTTATAATGAACCGGTATGCACGTCAGCAGCCGTGCACGAAGAGTTGAAATTAATTTCAGAAACAATCGTTCAAATATTTCACAGATATTTTAAGACCCGAACGGCTCCAACTCCGCACCGTATTCGGGCGTTGGTTTCCCGATTGCGGGAGTGGGGAAGCAACGGTGGATGCGAAGCATCGCGTTGGCAGACCTCGAAGCGGCCAAATCTCCGGCTCCTACTCAGCAAGTTGAGGGAGAGTATTCAATGAGAACCCCTGAACTTCGACGAGGAGACGCTGCTCCGGTCAATTGGGGATCGCGCGACGGTCGCCGCGGCGGTCATTTACAAAGAAATTATTTTTCATGAATTAAAAAAAAATTTCTATCATTTACAGATTGTGTTTCTATTTAATTTTTGTGGCCCACCCTGCATATATATTGTTTAATACACTTCAAAAACACTCGCGTCCCCGACATGGCTTGCACCTTAACGTATTCTTCTCATCATGACGCACTTGTTCCTCTGTAATTCAAAGCAATAGTTGTAGCTTGATCTTAAAATCTAGTAGGCATGAGCTCGCGTGAGTGGTGGTGTGTGTGACCAGATTTGTCAGATGCGCCACCTGTGCCCCCTACTCTGTGCCAGTCATCTCGGGCAGTCAGCCCATGGCACCTGGGCTGCCGTTATTGTAGCATCGCACCTCCGATTAGCACGGTTGGCTATGTACAGTGCGAAAGAAGTTAAACATACTAACGATATTGTCGTTGTGATTTAAAGCTTTCGTGACTGCAGGGATTCATATTCTTGGTTCTTTCGGTAAAGTCACCACGTAGAAGGGAAACAATAAAATTATAAAAATATAAAACAATAAAATTCTCACGACGTTTCGACCGCAACACAAGCAGTCATCATCAGGTGTGAAAACCACAACAAGAAAATTTTAAAAAAGTGGCGGTTTTTTAACGTTAGCACCACGGATAGCGATTCATTGTTTCCCTTCTACGTGACTTTACCGAAAGAACCATGAATATGTTATTGTTGTTGTTGACCAGATTTTTTATAACTTTATTGACACCGGGCTCAAGTTTCAGTGGTGCGTCTCGCGCTGTCCGGAGCCGCGGGTCGCGCGTGCCGCTCGTCAAGTTCCATTTTGCTCGTCGGCAGGGAGAGGTGGGCGCTGCGGGAGTGGACGGGAGGAAGGGATCCCCCGGAGACAAGGGGCTGCAGGTGAGAGCTACCTACGGATCTCTCGCGTGTGCGTGAGCCCCCTCCAACCCTACCCCCCCCCCCCCCCCAGATCTCTTTTTCGGTCGCCCGCTCAGACGACGGACGCTGCCACGTGGTGGCGGCGGCGGCGGCATTGCCGGCGCGGTTCGCTGGGCTTGCAAACCCAGGAGTTTGGCCGGTTCAATTTGGACTCGCCGCCAAGGCAGTTCAAACGCAGTGGCAGCAGGTTTTGTCTGAAAATCGCCCGCGTCGCGTTTGGCTGCCCGTCGCGTCGGCAGTGGGGGTGGCACGGCCACGAATTGTGAGCGCTCGCGTAAGCCCGTCATTCACAAATCAGTGTAGTCGTGCACCCGATGGGTGATTTTTCTGGACAGATAATTGTGGCCATGGAGATCTGATTGCGACCATGTCGAATGGCGTCACCAAAATTGCACGTATAACCAAGGCTTAATTTTAGTTGGTGCTGTTTGCGCCTTAACTCCAGAAAATATATCCCTGACCCCCCCCCCCCCTCTCCTCCTGCTGTCAGAGGGTAGGGATGGGGGGAGGGAGGATCACGATCTGGTGGGTGGGGGGGCAGTGCCTCCGGAGAGAGTTCCATGAGGAACTAAGCCCTTTTGTCAATTGAAATAGTCTGTATACGCGTGGTTACGTGTTGTGCCACATACGTGGCGATTGCCACCCGGGACACACGAATGCGAACGAGATTGTCCTTCGCAAGCAATTCTCCAGGTGGAATATGTTTATTGATGAATAAACGGCTAAGTATAATCATCATTATAATAATGCACGCAGACAATGCTCGAGGCAGGCTTGTCTGAAAAGGGTAAGCGTTGTGGTTTGTTATTCGAGACAGCGGCCCTGCACGCACGCTTCCGTCTGAGTTTGCCATCGCAATATGGAAAGTGTTCGAATCAGTTTAACCACGAGCACTGTTTTTAATTAAATAAACGGAAGGAATAATGAAAATAAGTGACTGGTGTGCCACTGCGGAACACGAGCATGGAACCTTCACATCTTAGTCCTTTAATTTTTCGTTATGAATGGCAGGCCACGAAGGTGGCGCTTTTAATTCCTGAACTTTAAGTTGGACTCACTCGTGTCAAAAAAAATGAAAATCGGTGGCAATAAAAGGGTAATTAATTAATGACCGTCCAGACACTGACTGTGGAATATTTCAACAGTCTCAACCTCAAGATCCAAACTCAATTAAGTCAATGAAAGAAGTCTTTGAAAAAAAAAAACGTAAAATATAATCACATTTTTTTTTTTAAAGAGTTATTTCCGTGCAGCCTCTCGCCATTTTCCCAACCTCGTGTGCGACCCAAACTTCATTAAGCGAATGAAAGAACTCTCTCCGCTGTTTAACAAAGGGTAAGTGACACCACTTGCAGCAGTGGCTCCTTCTGCCATTTCCAGACACGGTCGTGTCCCACGCGCCCCCCGCTCCCTCTCGTTAGTGGTGGGAGTCGAGCTCCAGTCATTTCGTCCCATTAATCGCGTCGCAGGACACCGTGGCAAAGTGCGATAATTACGCCGAATGGACAGCTTCCGTAATTTCCCTGGCGTCTCCGATCCAAGACTGTTTTTTTTGTAAGTTTCTTAACCCGCGTTGATGTGGGTGGTGGGCATTCGGGGAAGCGTCGCAGTTGAGAGCGACTCTTTATTTTCGTCCCGCTCCCGCAAACGTTCAATGGAACCCAACTGTTGTGGTTTTTTTCCATTCCGAAGTGGTTTCTGCCCCCCCCCCCCCCCATCGCGGACCTCGAATTCGAATCGATTTTGTTGTTTGTTTCGTTTAAAATTCAAGAACGGGAGAACCACAGGTTTCTTTACGGAAGGAACGGGACGGTTTTGTTTTTTTCAAGAGCGCGAGCGTCGCCACCAGGGTTAAGCCGTCCTATGCAGGGGGGAGGGGGGTCCGCAGTATCGTCGAGAATTAATTCCCTTCATCAGTTCTGTCGTCTCTCCTTTGTCGCGCGTGCAGGTCGTGCCCCCCCCCCCCACCCACCATATGTCACCGTGCACTTATCTTGCCGTAGGAGCTCGTTTATTCTCGCGCTTTCTCGCTCTCTCTCTCTCTCTCTCATTTGCTTCCGATCGCCGTCGCGTTCAACCGATAGTTGTTTCGGTCCTCGGTCGTCACGTGTCTCGGTGTTCACGAAAGAATAATGCCGGGTCTGTTGGCCCGCCTGCCGGGTAATGAGCTTCAGTTTCAAGGCGGGGAGTGCCGCAAGGAACCGACGACGCCTGTGTAATGGGCGCAAGCGGCGTGATTATTTTTTTATTTCTCTTCTAGACGGTCTCGCCAAAGAAATCTGCACGCAGATCCGCGTCCCTTTGTCGTGCGCGCCCTGTCTCTGCGTTGTGCGGTTCTTTTTTTAGTTTTGTTGTTTTAGCCTGCTCCAGATTGTACTCTTTTCTTTTTTTTCTTCCTTTCCACGTGTGCTCATTGCGTAGACGCGACCGTAAGCCGCAGCCAGGACGGCATATTTAGAGCGCGTCACAGTGTGGAGGAGCACTGCTTCGACTGCGGAGGCAATCGTGGGGCACAATCGACAGTGCGCCTGTCCGTGTGTGTCGTGTGCATTGCGGGGAGCGGCGGTGCGGTGGTTAGCGCGTTGCCCCGCGAACCCATGACCCTGGTTTGATTCCTGCTTCACGGCCAATAACAGTGGAGAACATCTGAACTAGTCCCGGGTCTCCCCTAGGTCGACTCAGCCCTAAATGAGTACCTGGTGCAGTGTGTAAACATCAGCTATAGGGAGACAGAGGCGGCCAGGTGTGGTGTTGGCCACCCGCCTACTCATGTCCCGTGCCAGCCGTCAGCACTTGTGGTGGTGAGATGTTAACTACTTTGCCTGGTATGCAGGATGTCGTGGCTTCAATCCCGACACCTGGTCCCTGTATATTTGGAGTTTGCGCGTTCCCCTCCACGTACTCACCGACGCCGTTTACCCCGGGCCAGAGTCTAAGAATAAAAACAACAACAAAAAACACGAAATCTGAACCGGGGAGTGTGAATTGTTTGAGTTTAATTCGTCGGACGGACAGTGGTCTCGCGTAGCCGGTTGTGGGGCCCTTCTACGCCGGAGATCTGCGGTGCGGTGTGAGCCCCCAGCCGCAGCAGCAGCAGCAAGGAGACAGAGACAAACACGACTCCGAGTGCGTCGTGTTTGTCCCTTCGTGGAGTCGAAGGCGGCGCACGTTAAGGTCTCTTTTCCTGTATAGGGGCCCTTGTTAAAAATCTACTTCCTGCCAGCAGTTTGATGGTTAAAAACAGCCGCCTCACCGACGTACGTAGGTGTCGTTCATTACGAAAAATAGATCTAACCCCGGGGGGGGAGGAGGTGTGGGGAGAGTGGGGGGGGGGGGGTGCGTACGGAGGGGGTGTGGTTCTCACGAACATAGGTCTCACGCTTCAACATTTTTTGCGGGGGGGGGGGGGGTGGGGGGTGGGGGGGAGATAACGGAGGCTGTAATCAACATGCATCATAACTTGGCTCGGTGGGACGACGGGAGCAGGTCGAGGGATTAACCCGGCTCCGTGGGGGGGGGGGGGGGGTCCCGCTGGCAAGGAGATGTTACCCCCTCGCCTGGTACACAGGGTGTTCAAATATTTTGTTTTATCCTAAATTAATTTCAAGAGAGAATTCACGCGGGCATTAATGTTAATGGTAGCCAGTTTGAACGTTTGTTAAAATATTGATGAAATAACCCTATTTGTGATGTCAAAATAAATATAAGAACCCTACGTGTCCTGACTTTTGGGCCACCCTATATATAAGCAATCTGAGCTGGGATGGTAACGTTACCAGCCACCCCTGACACAAACGGGGTGCCGCTGTGTCGAGATGTTACCTCCCTCGCCTGGTATACAGGTGGCCGTGGGTTTTATCCCGACCCTGACGATGCCTGCTGTATATTTGGTGTTTGTGTGTGTCTCTCTCTCTCTCCCCGTGGTCACGTTGGATTTTTTTTAATCCGGGTCCTCCGGTTTTTCCGTATACATTTAGAATCAACGTGCGTTCCGAGTATTTGGCTGCGATGAATTTCCACGCGACGATAAGCCGCTTCCCTGCGCTAACATTTGTGATGGCAGCAAGGTCGCTTCTTAAAAAAAAAATATAAGCTAAGAGCTCAGTGGGCCTTAACCTGGTTAAATAACAAAAAAAAGTTTTAGTTTTTTTTTAATCTAATTGCGGAATAAAGAGCTGGCGCGTCGCCCGTCATGACGAGGACGACGACGCGGCGGCAAAGCCACGGATGGGAGCAGCACGGGGACCGCAAGGACGGCGAGGGCTTCTTTCGCTCAATTAAAAGTCATTCGCTTAATTCTCCCATGCGTCGGGGGGGGGGGGGTGAACTTGTGGTCGAAAGGGGGTGCGTTGTATTTAAATGAAGGCTCGTGGCGATGAGCAATTTGTGGCTGGTGTTCTTTTTTCGGGCGCGAGCGGTTTCGGGCTTCGGAGCGCGTTTTCCGGTCGGCAGATGTTCTTTTAATGGTTTTTCCGTTTTAAACGCGGGCCCTGAGTCTCGCTGCAGCTGACGGCGAACGAGCAGCGTGCCGGTGCTGCGAGCGTCATCGCCCACCGTCGCCACCACCGCTGGGCGCTCATTAAAACGATCCGGACGTTTCTCGCGTCTCTCCCTCACCCCCCCGCCCCCGCCCCCGCCCGCCACCACCCCCCGCCCCACCTCGAGTCCATTTATAGTGCTTAAATATTTACCGGGCTTATTTTTTTAATATATATATCAGCTGCTCTCCGCGGCACTGTGTGCAAAGAAAGTCGCACCAGCAACCTACACCGCCACCGCGTGCCCCTTCTTCTTCCTCTGTACCACTTTGTGTGTGGCAACTCATCGGTTCCGTGGGTTTTGCCCCGAAGGCCAAAAGCACGGCCTCCCCGTGGGGGGAAGCTGAACGGATGACTTCTTCAGTGCCTCCGCTGAACCCAACCGAGGTTCCCAATGCCTCACGATGCCGTTCACTGCCTGCTCAAGGATTATCCACACAGCCACACGCCACCGGTTGCATGCTCGAGTAGATGGTGGCTGCATCTGCCACGGGTGCCTTGTAAGAATTAGTGCAAGGCGCCTTCCACTAATGTCTCAAGGCGCCTTGTAAAAATAAGGAAAGGCCAAGAGAGAAGGAGAAGCTCAATAGGATAAACGAACTTGAGAAGTATATTCTTGGTTCTTTCGGTGAAGTCACGTAGGTGTGAAAACCACAGCAAGAAAATTTTCTGGCTGTGGTTTTCACACCTGATGATGATTGCTTGTGTTGCAATCGAAACGTCGTGAGAATGTTATTGTTTAAATTTTATTATTTTATTTTTTCCCTTCTACGTTGACTTTACCAAAAGAACCAACAATATGAATCCCTGCAGTCACGAAAGCTTTAAATCGGAACTTAAGAAGATGTGTGAGACTGAAAAGTGTTCACGTTTTCAGATGAACGTTTTTCCAACGGGAGGGAATTCCACAATCGCGGCGCAATCGTAGCGAATGCCCGCTCACATCAGGAACACAACCGCGATAGAGGTATGCACAGAAGGACAGTCTGCGGATCTTAACAACCTTGGGGGGGTGTACGGATGAATTAACTCGTGAACGTATGGTGGTGCCAACCCATGCAAGGCTTTAAAAACTAGTCGGGAGGCTCTTAAACTTCACTCGTTTCAAGACCGGAAGCCGGTGTGATGATAAGAGAGCCGGAGAAATGGGGTCACGTGATGGGGCTCGGGCGAGCACCCTACCTGCCGCATTCTGAACAATTTGTCGTCCACCAAGGACCTTCTTTGAAACCCCAGCCAGCGCTTTGGTTTTGTCTAAAACTCTCGTCCGGGTTCTTGGCGTTGAAGCCCCCGAAACGCTCGGGCGCCTCGGCTGAATTCCAGAATGGGTTTGCGCGACGATCTTCGTGGGTGGGTGCGGGTTCGGGTTCGCTCGAAAGCGGTCAAATTTATATTCACGCGGTGTAACCCCCCAGTGTAACCACTTATGGATGATATTGGCCGCGATGGCCTACGAGTTAAACCAAGGTGGCATTCTCGTATGCCTTACACCACTAGCAACCAGTGCGCTAAATGTTAGGCATCCAACGATTTCTCCATGCCGCAGTTCGATGAAATGCCATGAATCTGCGAGGTTTTTGTATCCTTTAAAGTGATGCGTTGTCGTGCATCTCTTGACTGCTATTGCCACATTAAACTAATTCCATGCGACGTGCACGAACCGTGACAAAAAAAACCCTCGAATATCACGTGCGCACGTGGTTTGATTCGTGTACCGCGTGGGTGATTGGTTTTAAAGGTGGCTGGGTGACTCGGAGGTGACGGCGCAGTTGCGAATCCAGGTCTCGGCCGTCTCTGATTAAACCGGGTTCCCCAGTGTTGCGAGTTGATGGACTCAGCTGCGTCGCTGAATGAGTGCTCACAAGAAAAGAGTCACAACCGTTTGACCGTGCACGTACGACGAACATCACTGTCCGTGGCAGGCTGGGCGTCAAAAGTCCTGGGTGCAAAAGGTCACTCGGAGGGATCTCAGGGGTAGCGCTGTGATGCCCGCACGTGTTTTTTTTAGGAAATTCTCTTAACACAAAGGGTCGCGCTAAATCTCCGCTATAGATCCGAATGGAAAAGTCACCGCATGGTATGACGCCAGTAGCATCACAATCGCGGTGAATGAGGGACAAAGGCAATGAAAAAAAATTCCCCTCCTTTGTACCCTCATCTCCCCCCCCCCGCTCTTTCCCATCTCCCTTCTCCCCTTGCAAGTTAATGATCTTCCCCTTACCGATCCCCACCCCCCACATAAACTTTCACTTCTCCGCTGGAGCCTCCCCCCCTGGTTTGCGCAGTGAGGCCCAATCCACCACAGCCCTGCTGCGGCCTCGATCTCGCCTTTGCTTGCGGGATGTATGCCTCCTCCCCCCCCCTTCCCACACCCCCTCCCCCCTTCTTGTTTTGTGATCGATGTTCGCTGTCAGCTGAGTAGAAAATATTTTTGTTTTGTTTAATTTTCACCGATTCACCGATGCATCATTACATGGCTAGCTACGAGCAACCCGGCTACCTCGTGGCTTAGAAGCATGGAGAGGTGCATGGCTTATGCTCGGAATTACTACATCTAGAGACAGCGTTCAGAACTCTTGAGAAATGGCGAGTAGGCTTGGGCAGGGCACACATCACTACGAGGGCACGAGGGCGGACGACGCTCAAGAATGAGTGATTACGGAGCAACGAAAGCCAGCCCGGGTGCAGGTGCAACGTGAATTATTATTACATCGCAGGACCACTGCCTTCATCCAGCAGTGGATCGATGAATACAGAGAATGGAGGACGTGACAAATATGTTCCCCGAGTCTAATGTGCGCTCCGGTCCGGCCCTCGCCGGCCTTCTCTGTTGCAGGGCCACCCGGGCTTGCTAGGCCCTCCGGGGCCATCGGGGCCAGCCGGAGAGGTCGGCCGCGTCGGAGAGAGGGGGCTCGAGGGGTCGCCCGGGAAGGAAGGCCCCAAGGGCAAGAAGGTGAGGGCCTACACACGGCCGCTTGGAGGGGCACAGCCCCCGCGAAAAGTTGTGCAACCGGGTTGCATGCAACTTACACGTGGGGACGTCTCGACGTCCCTGCACGTTCAGAAACACGCGTAGAGATTTTTTTTATTATTTTTTGTTTGGCTGCGATAAACGTCACGTGATGAGCCCCCCCCCCCCCCCCCCGTTGAGCTTATCATTTGTGATGGCCAGGACGCTTCTGAAAAATAAGCTAATGGCATAGTGGATCTTACCTGGTAAGGTACAAAATCGTTTAGTTTCATTAGAATATTTGTTTCAAGTAATTTGATTACCTTTCCTATACTATGCACTCCTATCATGTTGTCGTACTGTTTGTTGTTATAACGTTCTGACCCTGTGCCTCTACTGGACATCTGTGAAAAAGAGCTTTATAGCTCATCGGATTCCTCCAGTATAAATAAATATTCTGATTCTGATTCTCCGCAAGCGGTTGCGAGCAATTGCACTGCCAGTTGCTTACAGTTGACTCTGCTGGCAAGTGTGGATCTGCTCGGCGACTTTGAGCGACGTATTCCGTCACGTGCTGGGCATCTAAACCTCTACTGTTGGTACAATCCCGAATCCGCTGTTTAATTTCCTTGGTGTGCAACCACTCGCTCGGATGTGGTCAAAGCAGTTGCGGGCAATGATCCAGTTGCGCATTTTCCAGAGAGGTTTGGTTTGTGTAACTGGTAGCTCAGGTGCAGACCGCGGCTCTGGGTACAGAGTGTGTGCGCGCGAGTGCGTGTGTGTGATGTGTGTGTGTGATGTGTGTGTGTGTGATGTGGTGGGGAACAGGTAGTGTAGTGATTAGCGCGCTGTTCTACAAACCCGGCGACCCGAGTTCGATTCCCGTTCACGGCCAACACCAGTGGCGATTATCTGAACCGGTCCTGGGCCTCCCCTAGGTCGACTCAGGCTCGAATGAGTACCTGGTGCGGTGTGTAAAACATCGTCACCGGGAAGACAAAGGCGGTCGGGCGTGGTGCTGGCCACACCCACCCCTCCGTGTGCCGTGCCGGCCTTCATAAGTGCCCGCTAACAGCACTTTCCCCAACAGTCCGTTAAGACTATCGAGGAATCTTTGTCTTTGTGCATATTTTGTTTGCTGGGTTCGTGCTGCGCTCCGTGGTGTGAATCCTGATGTACGTCGGTGCCTGCAGGGCAAAGAGGGGCCCCCTGGGATGGACGTGACCGGAGCCAGCGGCCTGCCAGGTGAACCTGGCAGCAAGGGAGAACAGGTGAGCACGAGGTGCACTCCTATCGTCGTAGTCATCATCACCGTCGTAGTCATCAGTCGTCAAGAATCAACAGAATGGTCATCAGTCATCATCGTAATCATCGTATTCGTCATCATCACCATCGTAATCAGTCGTCAAGAATCAACAGAATGGTCATCAGTCATCATCGTAATCATCATTGTCGTCGTCATCATCGTTATTGTGAACATCACTCTCTTGGATATAAGAATAGGTTTTACCCTTTCTGGCAATAAAACATTTGTGTTAAGATGTTAAAACTCCAAATTGAAACCTTTTGCAAAGAATCATGTCTGCATTAACCACTTATACTTGTGGTGAACATGCAAACAAAAAAAAACATTATTTGGTAGTACATGCATTGTCTCATGACGATGGTGATGATGAGAATTGGTATGATTACCAGATATCACGAATCTTGACATTTCTGCTGTTCATTATTCATCATAATCAACTGCCGTTATCTTCAGTCAACAATAATTGATCACCCGTGAATAACCATTAATTATCACGTCTTCATTCATCAGCGAGCTTCCTCTCGTGACCGTTAATTTATTCCCGTTTGTCGTGTATATCATCTACGCCGCATTTGTCGGACATTCGTATTCGTTCTGCAATCACTTGCTGACTGAGTAATTATCCTGAAGACCCTTTCGTCACGGTGGCTAGACATCCAGGGGAGGCGAGCTATGAATAAATACAAATAAATAAACAGCTGCAGATTGGTGCCGAAAAAAACTTCCCGCTGGGATCAAAGCCAACGGAGGGTTGGTCGTCGTGCGGGAAGACCGACCGACAACCCCCCCCTACCCCCCCTACCTCGGCCATAGGAATGTGGAATTCCCATTCGCCGGTCCCAGGGTCGTAGCCCAACCGCCCGTTTGAGCCGGGAGGCAATTTGCCTTCGACTCGTAACGAGCACGGCTGCCGGTTGCTTGTCGCCTCTCTCTCTCTTTGACTCTCCCTTCTTCCCTCGTCGCGAATGCAAGGGGAGCTCGGGCAAGGTGGGAAATCGCGGCTACAAGGGAGAAGTGGGGATCACGGTGAGTGCGCGCGATCGGTGCTCGCGAGACGGTCTCGCTCGGCAACACGGAATTCGTCGCGCGTCCAATGTGACATTCAACGGCCGTCGGACCGAGAGCTCTCCGGGTGTGGTGTAAAAAGCTCCCCGGGGTTTTGTCCTGGTGCCGACACAAATGATGCCATGAGCCACGATCAGGTCGAGGTGGCGTTTGGCACCCACCTCTAGAGCCCTCTGCTGCCGGTTTACTGCCGCTCGCGTTCGCCCTCTTACGCCCGCCCACTCGGCTCCCTCGGCTTTGACCTCAAACAAATCCCTGAGATTTTTTGTTTTTGTGATGCGGGATTCAATTTGCTCGCTGCGCCGCACCAACCAGAGGCGTTGTGTTTATCTTGCCCACTTTGAGAAGCCCCCCGTTTGTGATGCTGCTGCTGCTCTGCTTTGGCTCTTTGCAGAAGGAGGTGATTCGCTCCATTCTCCATGAAGAGATGAGCGGACGCTGCAGTACGTGCGCGAGCTAACGCACACCCCTTACTTACACCCTGCGCACATGCAGCACACGCACGCACACCGTTCACAAGCACACTGGCATGTACACGTACGCGCACGTACACAAAGATCCCCTCTATAGATTGTTGGGGCAAGTGCAGTTCACGAGTTCATATAAAGGCCGACACGGCACAAGAGGCGCCCAGCCGCCTTTGTCTCCGTAGTGGGACTCATTTGAGGCTGAGTTGACCTAGGGGAGCCCCAGGACCAGTTCATATATTTTTCACTAGTGTTGGACGGGTGTAGGTTCATAGCGTGCTGCGCTATGAAGCTACACTTCCACTCCCCACATACCCACGCACACCTGAACTCACGCACACATACAGTGAGGGAAAAAAGTACAGTGAGGGAAAAAAGTATTTGATCCCCTGCTGATTTTGTACGTTTGCCCACTGACAAAGAAATGATCAAATTTTGATTTAAAGCTTTCGTGACTGCAGTAATTCATATTCTTAGCTCTTTCGGTAAAGTCACGTTACCGAAAGAGCTAAGAATAAAAAAGAAATGATCAGTCTATAATTTTAATGGTAGGTTTATTTGAACAGTGAGAGACAGAATAACAACAACAAAATCCAGAAAAACGCATGTCAAAAATGTTATAAATTGATTTGCATTTTAATGAGAGAAATAAGTATTTGACCCCTCTGCAAAACATGACTTAGTACTTGGTGGCAAAACCCTTGTTGGCAATCACAGAGGTCAGACGTTTCTTGTAGTTGGCCACCAGGTTTGCACACATCTCAGGAGGGATCTTGTCCCACTCCTCTTAGCAGATCTTCTCCAAGTCATTAAGGTTTCGAGGCTGACGTTTGGCAACTCGTACCCTCAGCTCCCTCCACAGATTTCCTATGGGATTAAGGTCTGGAGACTGGCTAGGCCACTCCAGGACCTTAATGTGCCACTTCTTGAGCCACTCCTTTGTTGCCTTGGCCGTGTGTTTTGGGTCATTGTCATGCTGGAATACCCATCCACGACCCATTTTCAATGCCCTGGCTGAGAGAAGGAGGTTTTCACCCAAGATTTGACGGTATATGGCCCCGTCCATCGTCCCTTTGATGCGGTGAAGTTGTCCTGTCCCCTTAGCAGAAAAACACCCCCAAAGCATAATGTTTCCACCTCCATGTTTGACGGTGGGGATGGTGTTCTTGGGGTCATAGGCAGAATTTTTCCTCTTCCAAACACGGCGAGTTGAGTTGATACCAAAGAGCTCCATTTTGGTCTCATCTGACCACAACACTTTCACCCAGTTGTCCTCTGAATCATTCAGATGTTCATTGGCAAACTTCAGACGAGCATGTATATGTGCTTTCTTGAGCAGGGGGACCTTGCAGGCGCTGCAGGATTTCAGTCCTTCACGGCATAGTGTGTTACCAATTATATTATACGGCTTACCAAAAATACATAAAGTAGATACACCCCTTCCTCCCATCGTCTCTACTATCAACTCCCCCACCTACAAACTGGCTCGTTTTTTGTCTGAAATCCTGCGTCCTTTCACTGGAAAAACCACCTCTGCGGTACAAAATTCTACTCACCTGGTATCGACAATCAAGGGTATTTCCCTGTCCCCAGACGACCTGCTTGTCAGTTTTGATGTAGTTTCCTTATTCACCAAGGTTCCTGTACCTGACACCATCGCAATCATTGAAGACTTGGTTCATCAAGGACTAAACACTGAAGTACCCCCCCTGGTGAGACACTGTTTAACCAATGAATACTTTACTTGGAATGGAACTTTCTACAAACAAACTGAGGGCACCCCAATGGGCTCCCCCCTATCTCCGGTTATAGCTAACATTTTCATGGAGAAATTTGAGACTGACGCCATCCAGACTGCCACTCTGCGCCCAACCTTATGGAAGAGGTACGTGGATGACACTTTTGTCATCTGGCCACATGGCCGGCCTGCTCTAGACCAATTCTTCGACCACATCAATTCCATACACCCTGCCATCAAATTTACGATGGAAGTCGACAAAGATGGCAAGCTACCTTTTTTGGATGTCCTAATTAAAAAGAGACCTGATGGTTCAATGAGCCACTCTGTCTACAGGAAAGCTACCCATACGGATGCTTATCTGAAACCGGATTCCCACCACCATCCATCACAGAAGAATTCTCTCATCAAGACTCTGTATCATAGAGCCCAATGCATATCCGACCAGGAACACATAGGCAGTGAACTCAAGCACGTACACCAAGCTCTTAAGGCTAATGGTTACTCCAACTATACAATCCGCAAAGCTATCACTCAAACCATGAAGAAGGACCCTCTTGAGGAGCCTTTCAAAACCATCACTTTACCCTACATTGCGGGGATCACAAAAAATATCTCCAAAATCTTGAATAAACACAAGATCCAGGTCCGTTTCAACACATTACATAAAATCCGTGATCTGGTTCCATCTGTAAAAGATGTGATTCCGGACATACAATACCCTGGTGTCTACAAACTAAGTTGCCTCTGTGGTAGTATTTACATTGGAGAAACTAAACGCCATGTCTCGGACCGCATTCGTGAATACAAAGCAGACCTTAAACACGGTAGGACCAACACCTCGGCCGTGGCAGATCATTGTTATAATTCAGTAGGCTCACATGACATTGACTTTTCCAAGACAGAGGTTCTTTGTAAGCCATCTGGCTACCATGAGAGATTCGTTCATGAGGCTATCCACATATACAAGCACAGAGACAGTTTCAACCGAGAAGATGGATTCTGGCTTAGCAATCATTGGAAAGATTTGATAAACCATTTCAGGTCTTAATTGATTGTTCATGCTTACAGTGGCTTTCAGACAGCATACATTAAATTTTTCGTCTCCCCCCTCCTCTTTTCAGAACATAGATGGACTAGTCCTTCTAAATAAACTGCCAAATCGCTGCGCGTGGCGCTAATGTTTTTTTTTAAAATAAATAAATATATACACCGTTTAAAAATAAATACATTTATGCAAACCGACACACCTGATGACGACCGTTTGTGTTATGGTGGAAATGTCGTGAGAATTTTTATTGTTTTGTATATATTTTATTATTTTATTGTTTCCCTTCAACGTGACTTTACCGAAAGAACTAAGAATATGAATTACTGCAGTCACGAAAGCTTTAAATAAAAAATGTGTTACCAATTGTTTTCTTGGTGACTATGATCCCAGCTGCCTTGAGACCATTGATAATATCCTCCCGTGTAGTTCTGGGCTGATTCCTCACCGTTCTCATGATCATTGCAACTCCACGAGGTGATATCTTGCATGGAGCCCCAGGCCGAGGGAGATTGACAGTTCTTTTGTGTTTCTTCCATTTGCGAATAATCGCACCAACTTTCGATTTAAAGCTTTCGTGACTGCAAGGATTCATCTTCTTTGGTTCTTTCGGTAAAGTCACGTAGAATGAGAATAAATTAATAAAATAACACAATAAAATTCTCACGACGTTTCAGCCACTTGTGTTGTGACCAAAACGTCGTGAGAATATTATTGTGTTATTTTATTTTATCAATTTATTATTTTATTCTCATTCTACGTGACTTTACCGAAAGAACCAAAGAAGAATAATCGTACCAACTGTTGTCACCTTCTCACCAAGCTGCTTGGCAATGGTATTGTAGCCCATTCCAGCCTTTTGTAGGTCTACAATTTTGTCCCTGACATCCTTGGAGAGCTCTTTGGTCTTGGCCATGGTGCCCCTAATCTCAGCTCGTTACCTGTATAAAAGACACCTGGGAGCCAGAAATCTTTCTGATTGAGAGGGGGTCAAATACTTATTTCCCTAATTAAAATGCAAATCAATTTATAACATTTTTGACATGCGTTTTTCTGGATTTTTGTTGTTGTTATTCTGTCTCTCACTGTTCAAATAAACCTACCATTAAAATTATAGACTGATCATTTCTTTGTCAGTGGGCAAACGTACAAATTCAGCAGGGGATCAAATACTTTTTTCCCTCACTGTACCTGAGCACACATACCCAAACACACACACACCCACGTATCCCCACACACACACACGCACAGACACATAGCACGGACGTGCATCACGTACATCACGCGTGATGCACGTGCTCACGCGCGCGCGCATGCAGACAGGCAGCCCCCCCCCCCCCTCCGCCGCCCCCCATCTTGACGCGCACGGGCACACGCGTGTCGCGGCGCGTGGTCCGGGCTCGTGGGCCACAGGGGCGCGTGCCCATAATTGTTTTGGCTTTTAGACATCGGCTCTCCCCGCTGGGGTGGGGGGGGGGCGGGGCGCGCGGGGGTTGGGGGTTAATTTGCGCGGGTGTTTGAGATGCTCGCGGGGACCGTGACGCGAGAGGCGCCCGCCCCTCGCCGGCACCATTAGCGACTGATGCGTGAGTGCCGCTCGCTAAATATCATCCAATTAGCGCCCTAATGCATCCGGAGGGGGAGACCCTGACTAATGACTTCTATTGCACGCCGATTACAGGGCCCCGGTTTTCGTTCACGGCCAAAGTTAATGCCGAGCGTGGGAGGGGGGAAGGAAGCGGAGGAGGTGAAGGGTTCTCACTCCGCAGTGGCCGGGCGTGCGACGCACGGGAGAAGCGCTATATTGGCGTTGAGCGCGATCTTCAACGTGATCGACATGTCACTGCTGCTTCTGCTAGGGTTAGTGTCCGTGCATTATTATGAGCGTCTCACTCGTTAGCGCCAAATGAATTGGCGAAACGAGTTAAAGTTTGTTTATTTTGACATATCTGTATTTATATTCTTGGTTCTTTCGGTAAAGTCACGTAGAAGGGAAACAATAAAATCATGAATTGTTTTATATTTGTATTATTTTATTGTTTCCCTTCTACGTGACTTTACCGAAAGAACCAAGAATATGAATCCCTGCAGTCACGAAAGCTTTAAATAAAAAAATATCTGTATTTGTAAAAGGTTTGAAAGTGTAGAGAGATGGATCACTTTATTTTGATAAGCAAGTGGCAGCCCATCGGGACCACGAGTCTCTTTTTCAAGAGAGTCATGTGTCTATGTGTACGTGCGTGTGTGTGTATGTGTGGCCTCAACGTGCACATAGCCTGGCACAAGCGTCGTGGTGACGTCACCACCACTTAGTGGCGAATGGCGGTTGCGGTTGTTGTTGTTGTTGTGTGGGGAGCGGCCGTGTAGCGGCCTGCACATTGCGCTACGAACTCGGCAACTCGAGTTCAATTCCCACTCATGGCCAACACCAGTGGTAATTATCTGAATCGGTCTAGGGCCTCCCACAGGTCGACTCAGCCTCAAATGATTACCTGGTGTGGTGTCTAAACATCGGCACTAGGGCGACAAAGGTGGTCGAGCGTGGTGCTGGCCACCAGCCCCCACCATGCCGGCCTTCATTGATTCTCAATAACAGCATTTGCCCCAGCAGTTTGTTAAGGCTATACGGGGGAACTGTGCGTCTGTGTGTGTGTATGTCATTGTTTTGGGGCATTTAATTGTGTGGGGCTTCCCACTGTTTATTGGGGACTGTTGGCATCTGCTGGTAGTGGTGCTAATATAAATGCTTAGTATCAAGGCTCTTTGTCACGTGCTTCCAGAATTGGGATGTTTGGCTAAATCCAAGGACAACATCACCATCATTACTATCGACGTCACCACGGTCAACAATTTACTCGTGCAACAGTTTCACGCGACCCGCTCACGATAATCGCAGCATTGAAAAATGATCTCAGCCGTGCGCTTGTGTGAGGAGACTTTTGTTCTTATGCACAGTTTTGTAAATTAACCAAAAGAATAAACTGATAGAAAACGAATACCTCTACCCTTTCTGAGGTAATTACAGGCGTTCAGATGTTCTATGCCAAATAGACACTAATTACGGAGGTGTCCCTTCTGCGCAACCTTTTATACTTGTGGTAAAAAAAAAGCCAAAAAATATGCTAAAGCCTTGTTTTTCATCATTCAGTATCTTGATACGGGCGAAAGGGTCCCATAGTTATTTATAGAACTAACGCTTTCGGAACATTCAGGTTGCAGAAATACACTTTATTCGTCCGTGTGGCATTTAAAAATATAAGCGACGGGCTGCGATGGTATTTTTAAAACTGTGTACGCCATTCCCGTTGAATGAAAGGATTGAGATGAATGAGGCGGATTTAAATATCGCCGCGGGGGTTGAGTCACGGCCCTTGTTGCGTTCTTCTGTCTGCGTGTCTTGCAGCTTGCGGAGGTACGGGGCTTGCGGCGCTGCCGTTGCGTTAAGAGCACCGGCCACTGCTCTTGGCGACACCATGCCACGACAGCCACGGAAATAATGAACCATGACTCACCGCAGCCAGAGACGGACTTGAGACTCGGGGAGTGGGAAGTGGGAGGGGGCGGGAGAAGGAGGGGACGGGAGGGGGTGAAATGGGACGTGTGTCCAGAAGCTAAAGTTCCAGAGGGGCCTGACGGAATAAAATGTACATTCGAAAAATCTATTTAATGAACGTAGGACCTTTTTATCACGTCATTGCTTTAACGTGAACGGTATACGCGATAGTAAAACGTTCACGGTGCAGCCACTGCGGCCGTTTGCCGATGCCTGGCGGAACGGGGCCTTCGCTAGAGGGGTCGATAAAATAAAAAACAGTTGCGGCGGTAAGTCACCACTGCTCGTCCCACGGATTAACAGGCCACCGCCATAGGAATGTGGAGTTTCCACCACCGCCTTCGGGCCGCGATTGGATAATGAGCGTCGCCTCTTGCTCGTTAATCGTTGAGAAAACTCCAAGTTGACTCTTTGAGTATCGTTCCTGCGGTCACGAGAAGTATGATCAAACCACGCCCATGCCCGTCATGGCGTGTACAGACCTCCATCCAGCAGCGCATAGACCAGGGACTGTAGCTTATTATTATTATTTTCATCATTATTACAAATGTAATTGTTGGTAGAGTCTCCGCTGTGAAAGCAGCTTGCTCTGTGGCGGTCCGGGCCACTGGGAGAGTGCGCCAAGAACCTCCCGTTGACATCGGCTCCCTTCACCAGGAGAAGACGGCGGAGGAGGCGGCTGGCGTCTTGGCGTGCTTGACCGGGACGGGGACTACCGGCGCGGGCGACTGATGGGCACGGGTGGCGGCAAGGACCACGTCGCTGGCAGCGAGGGCGGCGCTCACTTCCGGACCGAGGTGGTGGCGCACAGGGGTGGCGCGGAGGCCCAGCCGGCGCTGGGCGCCCACCGGCCGCAAGGTGTTTGAACGTGGAGGGCCGCCCGACGGCTCTCGCGTTGCCGGCAACTCGAGAGCCGTCTTGAATACGATGAGCTATGAGGCTCTTTTTTTTCTCTCCCAGATGTCCAGTAGGGGCAGGTCAAGAACGTTACAACAGCAAACAATACAACAACACAATAGGAGTGCAAAGTATAGGAAAGGCTAAGCAAATCACAAAAAAATATCTATTTTTATTTTATTAGGTAAAGCTATGAGCTTATTTTTTTCATATCACAGTGCCATCGCTCTCTGGCGTGTATTCAGGTTCGTAAGTCAGCCCACTGGCTGTGCTTTCCCTCTGCTGCATGTACTTACGTTGAGCTTCATTCGCACCACCGTACGTAGCCAACCGTGCTAATCGGAGGTGCGAGGGAATGACAACAAACTAAGAATGTTTGCCAATCGCGTAACCCAGCAGCAGCCTGTGACAGCTTTGTCATGCATTTTAACAAAATGACTGAGCACATAATATGCTTCCTTCACATGTCTGTCCCTCCAAACATATACATTTTACACATCCCAATCTGCCTTCTGGGGATTCATCATTTCATCAACGTTGGGTCAATACAAGCGAGCTCTGCAAAGGTTTTTTAACCTTCAGTGTCTCATCAGCCGAGTGAGACTTGAACCATGGCTGGTCAAACTGCCATGTGTTTCAAATCAAGGACGATCCTCTCTGTGAGATATGGGCCCTTGCCCTGCATCCGTTCCCCATGCTGCTTTAAATCTTCTGAGATTTTGACGAGTTCTTGCCTGCATACCAGGCGAGGGAGTTAACATCCCACCACAGGTCATGACTTCGATCCCAACCCTGAAATCTGTATATTTGGAGTTTGCATGTCTGTCTTCCCGTGTTCGCCTGAATGTTTCTCCTGCTCCAGTTTTCCCCTCCACATTTAGAAACGTGCGTTTAAGAGTATTTGGCTGCGAAACTTTTCCACGTGATAAGCCACTTCGTTCAGCTATCACTTTGTGGCCTGGTCGCTTCTGATTAATATATATATAAAGCTCAGTATGCCTTACCTGTTAAAAAGTTAAATTAGTTTTTTGTGTGTGTGTGATCATGCCGCCACAATCCTGGATGTACGGAGCGCTATCCGATTGTCGTTTCAGCGGACACCAAGGTCACGTGGAACAGCACGGAGATTTCCCAGAGGCTGCAGTTCTTGCGCGAGCGAGGTGAGATGCAGTCACTGTTGCCGGCACTTTCTTCACCCCCCCCCCCCCCAAACCACCATCCTCCGTCCGCGTCTTTTCTCAGTCTCGTTCACTTTTTGTCGTCCTCTCGTCGCGCCCGTGGCCGTCGGCGAGATTGAGGTAGCGCTCAGGGACCTCTGTCCACCCACGGTCGGCGTCGTAGAGTGACTAAGACGGGGTGCCCGTGGTGGCTATGAGATGTTAACTACCTCGCTTAGTATGCAGGAGGTCGTGGTTTCGATCCCGACCCTGAAGGCCTGTTGTATATTTCGAGTTTGCGTGCCTCTCTCTCTCTCTCTCTCCCCGTGTTCACGTGGATCAACGTGACGCGTTCAGAGTATTTGGCTGCTACACATTGCCGCGTCATGATATCGGCCACTTCCTCGAGCTATACAGCTCAGTGGGCATTACTTGGTAAAATAAAATAAAAAAAATTGTTTAACGAAAGAAGAAAGAAAAAAAAACACTTTCGCCGACAAATGCGTCTGCCGCCAATTCCCGTAAACTCGTTACCAACATCGCCGGTCACCGCCGTCCCTTTGGGCCCGTTTGGGCCACCCCCACCCCACCATCACCCTACCCCTCCCCCCCCCCCGGCCCGCGCCGTCGCGCGTCTCCGCAGACGCGTGCCGCCTGCCCATGTCGGAGGGCGATTGCGACGAGCACGCGGTGCGGTGGTTCTACCACCTGCGCGAGGACGAGTGTCAGCCGTTCATCTACGGCGGCTGCGGAGGCAACGCGAACCGCTTCGACAGCGAGGAGCGCTGCGTCCGGGCATGCCGCCTCACCCCGCAAGGTGCGGGGGGGGCTGGGGGGGGATCAAACCGTCGAGTTCGTTCCATCCCGTAGAGATTCATAGAGATACGTAGAGACTCGTAGAGACTCGTAGAGATACATAGAGACTCGTAGAGATACATAGAGACTCGTAGAGACTCGTAGAGATACATAGAGACTCGTAGAGATACATAGAGACTCGTAGAGATACATAGAGACTCGTAGAGACTCGTAGAGATACATAGAGACTCGTAGAGATACATAGAGACTCGTAGAGATACATAGAGACTCGTAGAGATACATAGAGACTCGTAGAGATACGTAGAGATACATAGAGACTCGTAGAGATACATAGAAACTCGTAGAGATACATAGAGATACATAGAGACTCGTAGAGATACATAGAGACTCGTAGAGATACATAGAGACTCGTAGAGATACATAGAGACTCGTAGAGATACATAGAGACTCGTAGAGATACGTAGAGATACATAGAGACTCGTAGAGATACATAGAGACTCGTAGAGATACATAGAGATACATAGAGACTCGTAGAGATACATAGAGACTCGTAGAGATACATAGAGACTCGTAGAGATACATAGAGATACATAGAGACTCGTAGAGATACATAGAGACTCGTAGAGATGCATAGAGACTCGTAGAGATACATAGAGACTCGTAGAGATACATAGAGACTCGTAGAGATACATAGAGACTCGTAGAGATACATAGAGACTCGTAGAGATACGTAGAGACTCAAAGAGATACTAGACACTCGTAGAGGTACGTAGAGACTTGTAGAGATACAGTGAGGGAAAAAAGTATTTGATCCCCTGCTGTTTTTGTACGTTTGCCCACTGACAAAGAAATGATCAGTCTATCATTTTAATGGTAGGTTTATTTGGACAGTGAGAGACAGAAAAACAACAACAAAATCCAGAAAAACGCATGTCAAAAATGTTATAAATTGATTTGCATTTTAATGAGGGAAATAAGTATTTGACCCTCTGCAAAACATGACTTAGTACTTGGTGGCAAAACCCTTGTTGGCAATCACAGAGGTCAGACGTTTCTTGTAGTTGGCCACCAGGTTTGCACACATCTCAGGAGGGATTTTGTCCCACTCCTCTTTGCAGATCTTCTCCAAGTCATTAAGGGTTCGAGGCTGACGTTTGGCAACTCGAACACTCAGCTCCCTCCACAGATTTCCTATGGGATTAAGGTCTGGAGACTGGCTGGGCCACTCCAGGACCTTAATGTGCTTCTTCTTGAGCCACTCCTTTATTGCCTTGGCCGTGTGTTTTGGGTCATTGTCATGCTGGAATACCCATCCACGACCCATTTTCAATGCCCTGGCTGAGGGAAGGAGGTTCTCACCCAAGATTTGACGGTATATGGCCCCGTCCATCGTCCCTTTGATGCGGTGAAGTTGTCCTGTCCCCTTAGCAGAAAAAACACCCCCAAAGCATAATGTTTCCACCTCTATGTTTGACGGTGGGGATGGTGTTCTTGGGGTCATAGGCAGAATTCCTCCTCCTCCAAACACGGCGAGTTGAGTTGATGCCAAAGAGCTCCATTTTGGTCTCATCTGACCACAACACTTTCACCCAGTTGTCCTCTCAATCATTCAGATGTTCATTGGCAAACTGCAGACGAGCATGTATATGTGCTTTCCTGAGCAGGGGGACCTTGCAAGCGCTGCAGGATTTCAGTCCTTCACGGCGTAGTGTGTTACCAATTGTTTTCTTGGTGACTATGATCCCAGCTGCCTTGAGACCATTGATAAGATCCTCCCGTGTAGTTATGGGCTGATTCCTCACCGTTCTCATGATCATTGCAACTCCACGAGGTGAGATCTTGCATGGAGCCCCAGGCTGAGGGAGATTGACAGTTCTTTTGTGTTTCTTCCATTTGCGAATAATCGCACCAACTGTTGTCACCGTCTCACTAAGCTGCTTGGCAATGGTCTTGTAGCCCATTCCAGCCTTGTGTAGGTCTACAATCTTGTACCTGATATCCTTGGAGAGCTCTTTGATCTTGGTCATGGTGGAGAGTTTGGAATCTGATTGATTGATTGATTGCTTCTGTGGACAGGTGCCTTTTATACAGGTAACAAGCTGAGATTAGGAGCACTCCCTTTAAGAGTGGGCCGTGAGCGGGAATTGAACTCGGGTCGCCGGGTTCATGGCGCAGCGCGCTGAACCACCTGCACCACCGATACCCACAAAATAACAAAGATCCCCCATTTAGCCTACAGACTGTAGGGGCAAGTGCTGTTAGCGAGCACCTATGAAGGCCGGCACGGCACACGAGGGGGTGGGTGGCCAACACCACGCCCGGCCGCCTTTGTCTCCCTAGTGACGGTGTTTACACATCGCACCAGGTACTCATTTAAGGCTGAGTCGACCTAGGGGAGGCCCGAGACCGGTTCAGATTATCGTCACTGGTGTTGGCCATGAGCGGGAATAGAACCGGGCCGCCAGGTTCATGGCGCAGCGCGCTGAACCACCTGCACCACCGCTCCCCTCAAAATAGCACGCAGGTGCACACACACACACACGTAAAACGTTTGAAAATTGTTGGGGAGAACTTTTCCATCGGTTAACATTGAAACTGCATGAATAAAACAATAACATTGAAACTGCATGAATAAAAAATAGCGTTTCCAAGTGGCAGTTAAAAAAGTTCGGGGCTCCTGCAGCGATATATATTTTAAAAAAAATAATAAACAAATCCACTACAGGAGATATTTCTCCGCAGCGGACGAAGCCGTTTGTGAGCGCGCCCGGCGTCGGCCAAGTGCGCTGCCCGAGCCGATGCCCGCCCCTCCGCTCCAAGGCAGGTGCCGGGAGCAGCCGCGACGGACTCGGTGCGGCGCTGCCCGCAACAGCTGGTGCGGCGCGCCGGCACCGAGTCTCCGGCTGTTGCGAGCCACCCCGGCGCCGAGGCCGCCCTGTAACTGCGATCGCTCATCCGGCCAGTCAGCCGCCCGATTGCTTAGCCGGGCCGCTCGATTAATTCAGGGAGGAGGCAACGCTGCAAATTAAACGGTCCTAGATCCTGTAGCTCCAGATAAGTTTTTTTTTTTCTCTCTCCGGGCCCTCCGGTTTTCCCCCTCCACATTTCCCCCATCCACAGTTAGAATCAGTATTTTGGCTGCTATAAATTTCCACGTGATAAGCGACTTTGTTGAGCGATCATTGGCGATGGCCAGGTCGCTCCTGAAAAAGAGCCGTATAGCTTAGTGGGGCCTTACCTGGCAAAATAAAAACAATTAAAAGATTTAGAATACGTGTTTTTGAGATATATATCCTCACCTTGAAGTCGCGGGTCCGCACTGCACTCCGCTACTCCTGACGCAATCGTCCGGCTCAACCGACGCAATGGAGAGTCACGGTGGTTGGTCGACACCAACTTCAGCCGTACGGAGAACAAGGGGACCAGAGCCAGTGACCTGGGTTTGATTCCCGGCCAAAACTCAAACTGATGGAGGCGCGTGCAAGCGAACTGCCTCTCCCTCCCAGCCTTCACCAAACCCACGCTTACCCCTGACCCTTGAACCGCACGGTGTGGGGCTGCCTGTGTGGGGCTGCCTCCAGCTGCGCATTTACAAAGGGGGTTCCATAATTATTATTTACAGCTTCAGCAAACAAAACTTATAAGCCGGGAGCAAGCGGGCATGTTCACATCTGGCACGGGTACGGAAAACGAAAAAAGGAATGTTTACAGAGACGGACGTCAGGCGATTGTCATCACAGCTGTGATTAGGAGTCTTTGCCAAGAAATAATGAGTTCACAGCATTAAATATGGCCTTGCCCTTCCTCTGCACACATCGACTCGCTCGTGACTCCATTTGCTTCATTCCGTGGTCTGTGCTATAACCGTGCTCAAATGTTCTTCTTCCAGGTGCTGTTCCTGCCTCGTAATCCTCTTCATAACTTCATCATCGTCGTCGTCGTCATTGCAAGAACTATGGTGCTTTCGTCTATTAAGAGTGATCGTATCGGCCTATACTCTGGTGCTAATTTTAACCGCTTTTGCAAGGGGAGACCTGCACTTTGTTGCCGAAGTCAGCGCACGTCCAACAACTGTGAGGCGTGCCATCAGGTTCAAGGCGTGGCTTCAAAAAGACCTGATCGTTTCAGGAGTTCCGTGGAAACACGTGTGCTGGGCTCAGGTGTTGCACGGGCACGAACACAATCTTTATTAAAACGCCCGGCCAGTTTAAGTGGCTCAGAGGTCGGTCAGAGGTCGGTCGGAGGTCCGCGCCCTAGGCCGGCACCACAGAAACACTGGCTGTGAATGCAGGCAACTTTCTGACTATGCCGGCTCCCCAAGTGCATTGAGTTGACGGTCTTGACACCTCGGTCACCAATGACTGCGCGCAAAGCTCTCGTGTTAAACTTGGTTCTGCGCCGTGATTCGGTGAAATGCCAGCTCTGAGAAATTAACAAATAAGAAAATGGCTTGGCCCTCTGCAACAAGCGCGACTCTTTCGCAGGGCAGATGGGGAAAGTGCTGCGCCGCAGTGCGTGCGTGCGTGTCAAGAGGTCACCTTCAGGGATTTCAGAAGGTGTTCTTTGATATCCACTTCTGTGGATGGTTTCTCTCACATGGCAGGTTGCATCTCCCTGTGAGAGTTCACAATTGACTCCTCCTCTACTGGCAGGGCACCGACAGCACAGCCATTCTGGAATGGCAACTTATACAAGAAATTGTTTTAACAACTGAGCAGTTTCAGTCCCGATCTGACCAATACCAAACCTGCGGGCCTTCGTCAGCTGTAGAGGCGACACGTGCCCAGCTGCTCTTAAGGCCAGTGATGTCATCGCTTTTGTGTCTCTATCGCCGAGCAGTAACCACGCCTCGTGACGATCCCACACGGCCATGAGAATCGGTCTGAGCTCCAGATCAGCAGCCCTCACCGTCCGCGTGGCACTCGTCATTCAGGAATATCGGAGCGTTGCGAAGGCGCCTTTAAGATTTGGATCGCTCGCTGAGCCTGTATGCCGTTGCGCAACACGTTGAGCTTTTTGCCACGGTGTTTATTTTTAATTTGCTGTGCTGTGGTTTACATTTTGCAGGGAGCCTTATTTGCAATAAATGCACTAAGTTATTTTTTTCCCTCCCGGTTTCGGCGCCAAGATGCGCAGAAGTGGATTTTATTATTCTGGGATGAAGGAAGACTTTAAGAGCACACGTTTGGCAAAACGCATCAATAACGTTCACAGTTTTTTCACGGAAAGCATATTGCAACGCTCCAAGTTCACTGCGAACAGCACGGTACGGTTCATGAAGCATTTCTAACGCATAACTTTTATACTGCAACTTGCATCTATATTCTTAAGACGTGAAGTTCTCCCATGATTGCCAATGAGGTTTCAAAATATATAAATATTCTCAACCCAGTTAAGGCTCTGCAAACGGAGATTACTTTCGCGAGTCTGGGTCAACAGCTTGGGATTAAACTTCATTGCTGCTTCAGTGGGGCGGAGTGGCGGTGCAGCGGTAAGCGCACTGCACCACGAACCCTGTCGGTAGCTAATATCAGCTGTGTGCAACGTCCGAACCACTCCTGATCACCCCCCCCCCCGTCTCCCATCACAGTCATACACTCCAGCGTGATCGCAGTGGTGTGTTGTTAAGGGCCTTCGTCCAGCAGCGGATTTCCAAGGGGCTGCTAGTTGCAAATAAAGTCGCTGATGCGGTCACGGTGACAGCGACGCATCCATCTCCCCGCATCGCCAAAGCGAGGGGGTCGCCGTTGGGAAAGGACCCCCGTGGTAGACGGGGCGCGTGCGGCTTGGGGGGTGATTGTCGGGTCACGTTAGGGCGTTTCAAGAATTCGCCTGGTTCCTGTTCGGCGCGAAACGCCCGAGCAAAGGCGCCGCCGCAGAAATCTGGACCGTCGGCCCACGAGAATGTGGGGCTAAAGAGTGCTCGGCCACGAGCAGCCGCTCACCTTGCGCCCAGCCCCGAGTCGTACGGCAAAAGGCCGAAGTTGGGGGACGGGGGGAGTTGTGAAATTATAGTAATAGGTTTTTACCCTTTTATCTGGCACAAAAAACTGACACCTTTATACAAGGGATCACGTTTGCCATATCCACAACACAAGTAGTCAAAATGCAAACAAAAAAGACAACTCTGATAATGATGTGCACTGTCCTTGAATTTGATTGGTCCACACCCGAGACGGCTTTTCTTAGAGCCCTTAAGTCTCCACTGGTGTTGGACCAGAAGACGCCAAAAGGCGTACAACTCAAAAACAGCGCACCATCAGAGTATTGAGGGCTCGGGGTGAGCATTTACATTATGAGACCTCCTTTGCCAGTAACAAGATATAGTAATAGGTTTTTACCCTTTTATCTGGCACAAAAACTGACACCTTTATACAAGAGATCAAATATGAGTTGTGAAATTGTACACGGAATAGTTTCACACGTAGCGGGCTTTCGCGAACAATATCATCCATAATAGAGGTTTTTTTGGGGTAGATCGCGTACATTTATAAATGTGTCGTTAAACCCGCCACTACCCGACACAGCCAACCTTATTTTAATTACTAACTAGTTGGCTGTGTCGGGCGGTGGCGGGTTTTAACGACACATTTAAATATTTATGCGATCTAACCCCAAAAAAAACCTCTATTATGGATGTACACGGATTTTTTTCATTTCGTATTTTTTCGTGTGTTTTTATACGTAAAGTGTACATATATATTTTAATTTCATGAAAACCCCGTTTGAACGTGTTCACCGCGTACCGAATAAACGACGCATTTACCTGAAAACTCTCTTGGGAACGTTCTGAAATATGCAAGCGATGATGATGACGACGATGACGACGATGATGACGACGATGACGACGACGATGACGACGATGTGTCTTCGGGTTTTAACTCGCGGGGACAATGTGTCCGCTCTGCCGATGCCTCTTCACGCAGCGCCAAGACCGACCACCAGTGGGGGGGGGGGGGGGGGGGGGGGGGGGGGAGCGAGTTAGGGGGGGTGCCGGGGGGGTGATGCAGATGGAGCTGATGGTGATGATGGTGAGTCAGATGGTCGATGTAGATAACGATGCAAGATGGTGACGTGTGTGTGTGTGTTGAACTTTCGCACCGTACGTGGCCGACCGTGCTAATTGGAGGTAAATCAGGTGATGATAAAACAGCACACGGTGGTGCAGATTCAGTTGGCTGATGGTGCAGATGATGAATAATCGGGTGACGATGCCGATTCTGGTGATGATGCACATGATTGATGATCCAGATTATGACGATGTAAATAATGATGTTGATGTTGTTTATACTGCTATTGATGATGATGATGACTGCTGCTGCTTTTGCCGATGCTGCTGTTGCTATTGATGATGCTAATCATCATCACGATCAGCCTCACCATTAGCATCATCAATAATAAGGGTGATGATTTAGGTTGACAATGATAATTTTGGGCTTTGCTCAACCAAGTGAGCTACGGGCCAGGCACGGAATCTCAGCTGGATCGTTATTTTTGTCGTTGCAAATTTCTGTTGCTGGGATGGTAAATAATTATATCCCGAATGTCCAGCCAGACGGGCAAAAAAACTTAAATTGACCGTGCACATTTGAGAAAATTGCTCGTCCATTTTTTGAAAGTGCCCGTAATTATGACATTTCGGCAGGATGCAAAATAACTTTGCAACGTCGCCCGCTTGCCTGGTGGCTTGGCTTTGTTAATTGCCATAAAATATCTGGCGTCCCGTCGGCACGATTCAAGTTCCGCGCAAACATTCTGCGGCTCCGTGCTTGCGTGAGTTGCAACTTTGAAATGTGAACTCTGGATGCAAAGGGGTTGCTCCAACTAACGGTCGCAACCGGAGGCCGCGTCCGTCGGCAGAGAGAGGGAGGATTTTGCCCGGACGTTCTTTCGCACTTGCGAGGGTTAAAGGCGCAGCCCTGCAATTGCTCAGCTCGCGCCACTGTTCACGGAAGAGGCCTCCGCTAGAGGGCGCTCTGGGACAGTCCTTCGAGAGCAGTGGCTCTTAAACCTTCTACTGCAGCCTGCACCCCTGTGCGTCTCAATGGTTAAAATGTGTTAGAATGCAAATACGTACATAGGTTTGATGAAACAAAGTAGTTGTACTTTCGTGCCCATGCATAATTTGTGTTTAGATGATTTACCTTCCAAAAATAATCTGGCATTTCTCGCACCCCCCCCCCAGAAAGGGCATCTCCCACCCCCAGAGGGTGCGTGCACCCCAGGTTAAGAACCACTGCTCTAGAGTGTGTTTGGCCTACTCTTCCACGCTGTCGATATATTTTGGGAAGAGGTGGGAGCGCCGACAATTTACACCACCACACGCCACCTGCCGATCGGACTCGCTGTGATGGGAACCCAGTCACGTTGCTGGGTGGACAGAGGTGGAGGGGGCAGGGAGGGTGGCAGGGAGGGTGGGGGGATTCAACTGCCGCCCCGGGAGGTCGAATGCAACCTTCGACGTCTGTGCATTTGCAAGTCCAGCGTGCTCACCGTTACACCGCGGGAGAATGGTCTTTTTTATTCTCTCTCATATTTAATAATAATTATTATTGTATTATTACCCCCCCACCACCGCAATGGCACATTTTCCACCCCCGCCCATTAGCGAGCGGCTCTCATCATCATCATCGCCGTCGTCGCAAGAATAGCGGCGAACGACAGCGCTAAACCGTCACCACCCCCACCACCACGACCCCCACCACCACCACGACCCCCACCACCACGACCCCCACCACCACAACCCCCACCACCACCACGACCCCCACCACCACCACGACCCCCACCACCACCACGACCCCCACCACCACAACCACCACCACGACCACCACCACGACCCCCACCACCACGACCACGACCCCCACCACCACAACCCCCACCACCACCACCACGTCCCCCAACACCACCACCACGACCCCCACCACCACGACCCCCACCACCACCACGACCCCCACCACCACCACCACGACCCCCACCACCACAACCCCCACCACCACCACGACCCCCACCACCACCACCACGACCCCCACCACCACAACCCCCACCACCACCACGACCCCCACCACCACCACCACGACCCCCACCACCACCACAACCCCCACCACCACCACGACCCCCACCACCACGTCCCCCAACACCACCACAACCCCCACCACCACGACCCCCACCACCACCACAACCCCCACCACCACCACGACCCCCACCACCACCACCACGACCCCCACCACCACCACAACCCCCACCACCACCACGACCCCCACCACCACGTCCCCCAACACCACCACAACCCCCACCACCACGACCCCCACCACCACCACGACCCCCACCACGACCCCCACCACGACCCCCACCACCACCACGACCCCCACCACCACCACGACCCCCACCACGACCCCCACCACCACCACGACCCCCACCACTCCAAACGGCGCAGACGCCGTCTGAGCGATGCCGTGGCGCTGCCCTCTGCAGTGTCCCCAGGAACGGACTCCACGGCCACGTGGCCCCCGTCAATTGCTGCCCGTTCATCCGCGAGCCGCTCGGGGCTTGTGAGCAGTCCTCGCACGATGTATCATCATCATCATTCTTCTCTTCCTTCTCGTGTGCCGTACGCAGAGACTAAGCGACGGGGTATAGCAGAGGAGGGCTTATTGCTTGGCCCCAGCTCTCCGACGGATGCAGTGCCACGCTGCCGTAGCAGGCGAACTACTTGGTTCACCGATTGTGGGAATGCCACTTTGTGTTTTTAAAGTGATGTAGAAATTTAGAGGCTTTTGGCGGTCGTGGTGTGTATCTGTGTTGTGCATCGGCGACCCGAGTTCGATTCCCGCTCACGGCCAACACCAGTGACGATTGTCTGAACCGGTCCTGGACCGCCCCTGGGTCGACTCAGCCTCAAATGAGTACCTGTTGCGGTGTGTAAACATCGCCACTAGGGAGACAAAGGCTGCCGGGCGTGGTGCTGGCCACCCAACCCCCTCGCGTGCCGTGCCGACCTTCATAGCTGCTACTCGCTCACAGAATTTGCCCCCAGAATCTGTTAAGGTTAAACGGGGAATCTTTGAATGTTGAACTTCTTTAGCACCGTACGTAAGCAATCAACCTGACATCGAAAAGCAAGCAACATTTTTTGCGGATATAAGTATATCATTTTCTTTTTTCGGGAGAGGAGCGGGGGGGGGAGGATATATTTGTTATTTATTTGGTGGCGACAGAGAACGAAGTTCTGCGTACACACGCGCCCATTCTCGTGTACAATCGAAAAAGTATCATCGGGACTTGGCTGCTCGAACGATTTACTGACAGCTGTTGCCGGGCTAAGGCGGCGGGCCGCTGGCCGGAAAAACTCCGCTGCGGGGGCCACCCGCGGGGCTAAATTGAATTTCTTCTTTGGAGCCCTCGGAGGTCGCGGGCTGGGCTTGAGTTGAGAAGCACCGCACGACTCCACGCATCCCGGCCACCAAATTGGATAACAATCAAGAGACGGCGCCTTGACGTCAACAAGCCGGCCTCTCCGCGTGGCCCCGGGGGGGGGGGGGGGGGGTGACGCGGG